CTGATGAACTTCGTGAGGTATTGCCCTGCGCGGACGCGGGGAGGGGAGCGGGAGCGCGCGGTTCAAACGAGACGCGAGGGAAGGCACCCGGGTCGGAGGAGACTACGATCGAGCGCGCGGGGGGTGGGGGGAGACGGCGACGGCGCGCGGGCGAGCGGACGGCGCACCTTCCGCGGGCGCGGGCGCGAGGAAGACGAAGAAGAGGAGCGCCAGCGCGCGCGCGCGCCGCCGCGCGAGCCGCATCTTCGCGACGCGCGACGGCGCCCCGTCGTCGTCCGCGCGCGTCCCGAAATGCCCGCGGCCTCCTCTCGCGAACGAAACTTCCAGAACGACGAAGACGAAGAGAGAACTCTCCTGCTCGTCGTCACTCGTCGTCGTCGCGGACGACCGCGCGCGCACGCGCGGTCGCGAGCGGCGCGGCGTTCGATCGCGCGACCCGCGCGGCGACGGTGGGACACCGTCGACGTCTTCGAGCGACGCCGCGCGAACGTCGTCGTCGTCGTCGTCGTCGTCGTCTGCGCGACAGCCGCGACGATGGGACGATCCCGGGGCGAATCCCCGAGCAGCAGCGACGGCGAGAGCTCGTCCTCGGAAGATCGTCGCGCGTCGGAGCGACGGAAAGAGAAGAAGCACAAGAAGGAGAAGAAGCACAAGAGCAAGAAGGAGAAGAAGAGTAAGAAGCGGAAGCGCGGCGACGACGAGGAGGAGAGGTGCGCCCCCATCCCCGCGCGATCGGACGCGACGATCGATCCCTCGTTTTCATTTTTCGGGCGAAAAGCAACGAGCGAAAGGTGCCCACTCTGCGCGCGACGATAGCGATAGACGACGACGACGGCTGACGCGGACGCGCGCCTTCTTCCTTTCCCATCCATCGCAGGCGCGAGAAAGAGATGCTGAAGGAGGCGAAACGATATCTGAGGATGCAGAGAGAGCTCGGCATGAGCGCCGCGGGCGGCGCGGGCGCGGGCGGCGTGGGCGTCGCCGCCGCCGCCGTCGCCGTCGAGAATGCGCGCGTCGCCGCCGCCGCCGCCGCCGCCGACGACGACGTCCCGCCGACCGCGGCGCGGGCGGCGGCGAAACGAGTCGCGGACGCGCGAAAAGCGGCGCTCGAGGAAGACGCCGCGCTCGCTTCCGTGGGCGCGCTGCGGGAGAGCCTCCTCGACTTCCGCGCGGCCGGTCTGCCTCCCTCGCTGACAGACGTCGGCGCCGGCGGCGACGCAGCCGGCGCGGCGAACGCGCGCGTCGACGCGGCGACGGCGAAGGCGCGGCGAAGACTCGAGAAGGAGCGCCTCGAGGAGCTCGCGGGCCCCAAGGCGACGGGGAGGGACGCGCTGCGAGAGAAACGCCTCGGCATCCGCGCGGAGCATCGCGCGTACCAGGCGCAGAGAGACGACGCGATGCTCGGCGGGATGAGAGAGCTCGGAGGGAGCGAGCTCGGCGGCGGCGGCGGGGATGAATTTCGCGCGGCGCTCGCGGCCAAGCGCCGCGCTCAGGAGCGACGCGCGAACGCGCGGGGGACCACGGCGGACCCGCGCGTCCTCGCGGCGAGGGCGGAGGCGCACGAGCGCGCGGAGAGGGAGAGGATGAGCGCGTTTCACGAGCTCGTGGGCGACGCGGGCGGGGAGAAGATGACGATCCCGCGGCGGGGGGGGTGACGCGACTGGACGGCCCGGCGGACGAACGGCGCGTTCTCGTTCTGTTCGCGTCCTTTCGCGTCGCTTTTTAGGTTTATTCATCCGCCGTCCGACGTCGATTCCGCCCCGCGCGACCCGTCGCGCACTCCGCCCCGCGCGATAGCGTCGGCGAACGACCACCGACGCCGCCACCGCGCTTCTTCCGCTCCCGCGCCGCCGGCATGGCCCCCGACGCCACTCCCACGATGAAAGACGCGGACTTCTCCCAGATGGGCATCTACATCGACGGCAGAACGAAGAACGAACTCGACGAGCTGCTCAGGACGAAGCCCGCCGCCGAGGTCAACGCGCGCGATCTGTACGCGCTGTCGTGCATGCACTACATGGACGACGAGCCGATGCAGAACGCGGCGGCGTTCTTCAACCTGAGCGACGCCAGCGAGGTGGCGTCGCACAAGGTGCTCGACTTCGGCGCCGGCTTCGCGGGGGACGCGAGGCTCATCGCGGAAGATCACCCCGCGTGCGAGGTCACGTGCGTGGAGGTTCAACCGCACATCCACGCCGCCGCGGAGCAGCTCACGTCCATCGTCGGCATCGCCGACCGGTGCAAGCACCAGTGCGTGGACGTGTTCGAGGAAGCCGTGCGCGGCGCGCCGTTCGATCACATGCTCTCCGTGCTCGTCGTGCTCCACATCCCCGATCGCGACGCGCTGTGGAAAAACCTCGCGCGCGCGCTCAAGCCGGGCGGGGAGGTCTACGTGGAGGATTACTTCGCTCGAGCGCCGCTGACCGCGGAGGACAAGCGGCAGCTCGCCGGGCCGGTCGCGTGCCCGTACTTGCCGTCCGAGGAGGAGTACAAGAAAACGCTCGAGCACGCCGGGTTCGTGGACGTGGAGTGGGAGGTCATGAACGACCGATGGCTGCCGTTCGTGGAGCGGCGGCTGGCGGCGTTTCGAGCGGCGGAGGCGCGCAATCGACGCGTGCACGGCGAGGCGATGTGCGCGGAACTGGATCTGTTCTATCGCACGGTGAAGGAGCTGTTCGAGCGCGGGAACTTGGGGGGCGTGCGTATACGCGCGCGCAAGGCGATGTGATCGAGAGGAGGAGGAGGAGGAGGAGGAAGGGAGCGACGGTGGAGTCGACCCCGCCGCGGGAAACGAACTCATCAAAACGAAACGAGACGAAAAGGAAACCGGCGCGGTCGGGGGGGGACGCGAGTCACCCCCTCTCGCGCCGCGCACGGGGGAACGACGCGCGTCGTGCCCCGCGTGGTATCTATTGTATCCGATGTATTTGGTCGACGCCTCACGCGCTCTGAACGATGAGAGCATCGCATCGCCGAACGCGTCTCCTCCGCCGCCGCTACGGACAACTCGTCGCAGCGACACGTGTTACAGGTATTTCGCTCGTCGCGTCGTCGTCCTGCGACGCGCCGCGCCGCGCGAGGGATCCCTGACGGCCCCGGCGTCAGTCGCACACGCGCGACGCGACGTCCTCATGACGTCCATCTTCCGCGCGCTCGCGATCGCGACGATCCTTCTCGGATGCGTCGGCTCCGTCGCCGCCGTCGGGTGCGTCCGCGCGCGCGCGCGTCGCCGTCGCGTCGATCGCCCGCGCGTCGGTCGCGCCCTTTTCCGCCCTCGCCTCGCCGCTTTTTCTCGTCTCGGATCTCGTCGACTGACCCCCCCCCCCGCGCCCCCCCGCCCCGCCGCAGCGAGCTCAAGGCCGTGGACTACGGCGAAGTCGTCGCCGCGCAGCACTTCAACATCGACGGCATCGTCACCGTCAAGAAGATGCCGGGCGTGAAGACGTCGGACGTGAAGGTCACGCTGACGATCAACGGCGCGCAAAAGATCGCGACGCGGATCAAACCCACCGGAGAGTTCACCCTGTTGGACGTCCCGCCCGGGTATCACCACCTCGAGACGTTCGCGCTCGGGTACACGTTCCCGCCGCTGCGGTTGCGGATCACGTCGGACGGCGGTAGGGAGTGCCACTTCGCGGAGGACGTGGACGAGGCGGTGCACGTCAACCCGCTCGTGCTCTCCCCGGTATCCGTCGCGGAGTACTTCGAACCCAGAGGCGGATTATCCGTCGGCGCTCTGATGAAGAACCCGATGTTCTTGATGGTCGCGTTCACGGTCGTGATGGCGTTCTACATGCCGAAGATGATGGAGAGCATGGACCCGGAGGCGCTGAAGGAGATGCAAGAGCAGATGGGGAACCCGCCGTCCCTCGCGGACATGTTCGGGGGGGGGAACGCGGGCGCGAGCGAGAAGGGGACGACGGGCGCGGAACGGCGCGCGGCGGCGGCGGCGAAGTCATAGAGAAGAGAAGAGAGAGAAGAAGCGAAGGAAGCGCGCGCGGATGTGATGATAACCCTATCGTGCGCGAAACTACTACTACTACTACTCCTGCGTCCGGACGCGCGCCGCGTCGTTCCATCGCGCGACGACGCCGTCGAAGTGCGCCGCGCCGACGACGGCGACGACGACGCCGCCGCCGCCCGCGCCCGCGCCGCCGTTCGCGTCGTACGCGTAATACGTTAACGCGTCGTATTCGTCGTCCAGACACCTCGGCCTGGACGTCGGGGTGAAGACTGGAAACGCGACGTCGTCGTCGCCGCCGCCGTCGCCGCCGCCGCCGCCGCCCTCGGCTTCGCGCCACGCCGCGCGAAACAGACGCTCGTCCCTCGTCGTGATCAACGCGTCGACGAGCCACGGCGGCGTCGTCGCACTCGCGAGTCCGCCGCCGGCCACGTCGCCGTCGCTATCACCGTTCCCCGCGCTCTTCCCCGCCACCGCGGCTCGAACGGCGCGGTTTAAATCCTCCGGGGACGTCAACGCCGCGACGCGCAAAGCGTCGAACGCCGTCCCGGCGGCGAGCGCGACGCCGGCGAACGCGCCGCCTCTTTCGTCGATCGCCGCCGCGACCGCGCTCGCGGTCTCGGACGCGAGCGCGTCGCCGAGGACGATCCTCTCCACGCCGTTCTCCATCGCCGCCGCGATCGCGGCGACGGCTTCGTGCCCGGGCGGCGCGCCCCCGGCGTCGACGGCGTCCCCGAGAATCGTCTGCGAAAATTCCGACGCGGCGAGATACAGACGCGCGCGGCTCGGGGCTTCGGACGCCGCCCCGCTCGCGTCCCGCCACGCGGCCCAAATCCCCTTCTTCTTTTTTTTCTTCTTCTTCAAGTTCTTCTCAATCTTCGAGCCCTCGTTTCCGTCGTCGTCGCCGATCATCACCCACGTCACCCCCCCGCCGAAGTCGTCGCCCTCGTCCTCCGCCGCGACGTTCTCCGTCGCGACGTCGAACGCGTCGCGCGTGACGTCCCTCGCCGCGTCCCTCAGCGCGGCGAGGAGCTTCATCCCCTCCCACCGCTCGTCCTCCTCCTCCTCCGTCCGCGCGATCGCGTCGCCCGCGTGGAGCAACATCTTCGCCTCCAACGCCTCGCGCCGCGCCTCTCCGCCGAGCGTCGCGAGCGCGTCCTCGGCCCAATCGAACCGCACATCCGCCATGACGCGCACGTCGTCGTCCACCGTCGCGCGGAACGTCACGTCGACGCCGTCCGCGAGCTCGTAGATCGCGTCCGCGCCGCGTCCCATCGCGCGGTACAAAGGCGGCGCGGCGTCGCCGGGGTCGTCGGGGTCGGAGACGTCCGCGCGGACGTCGGAGAAGAATCCGCCGCGTCGGAGTGTCTCGACGTCGCGCGCGACGTCGTCGGGGGTCGAGACCACGCCGCGTATCGTGCGCAGCGTCAGCAGGAGATCGTTCGGGGACGCGCCGGGGAGGTGCGTCTTCCCGTCGTCGCGCAGCGACGGGACGCCCTCGATCGCGACGGACCTCGGCACGACGGCGGACGCGCAGCCGGCGAAGGAGGAGGAGGAGGAGGAGGAGGAGGAGGACGCCGACGCGATGGAGCGCCATCGCTCGTCGCAGAGCTCGACGACGACCGCGCGCGGGCGGTGATGCTCGATGAGCGCGCGGACGTCCGCCGCGGCGTCGGTCGCGAGGACGTGCGCGACGCCGACGAGGTGGACGACGCCGCCGGAGGGGGAGACGAGGCGCGTCGCGCGCGTCGCGTCCGACGTCTCGGGAGGAGGCCCCGGGGCGCTGCCCTCCGCGACGTCTGCGGCGGCGTTCTCGGTCGACGACGCGGCGCGCGTTCTCGACGTCGCCGACGCGCGCGCGATTCGGCGGCGGCGGCCCGCGCTTCTGAACGAGCGACACGCGCGCGGCGGAGGCGCGAGATGCGCCGCCGTCGTCGCCATGGTCGGCGGGCGCGGCGCGGCGCTTCGGCCTTTGGCCGCGTTCGCGCTTTCTGTTGGAAGCAGACGGACCTGTTTTCTCGGGCCACGTCATCCACTACGACCCGCGCGCTCCTCGGGAGACGCGGGGCGTCATGTCGATGGCGGCCGCGGCGCGTCTCGCGTCGCCGCTCGCGTCGCGCAGTCCGACGCGCGGACGCTCGGACGCGCCGCTCGCGCCGCGGAGGACGACGCGTCGGACCGCGTCGCCGCGGACGACGTCGAGCGCGAGTCGGCACGCGGCAATGATCATGGCGTCGACGTCGTCGTCGGCGGCGTCGTCGTCTGCCGCGAACGCGACCGCCGCCTCGGACGCCCAGCGAGGCGGCGGCGGCGGCGCGTGCGTCGTGTGGTTCCGGCAAGACCTCCGCCTTCACGACAACGCCGCGTTCGCGGCCGCGGCGAGGCACGCGCGCGAGGGCGACGCCCCGCTCGCGTGCGTGTTCGCGTGGTCCGAGACCGAGGACCTCGCGCCGTCGAGACGCCTCGCGTCGAACGACGACATGTCCGCGATCGGCGAGGCGTCCCGGGTGTGGCTCCACCACGCGTTGCGATCGCTCGACGTCGACGTCCGCGCGACGTACGGCGGCGGCGGCGTCAACTTTTTCGCGGGCGCGCACGGCGCGTCGCTCCTCGCGGCGGCGAACGCGATCGACGCGAAGATTGTCTTCTGCACGGCTCGGCACGAGCCCGCGCACGTCGCGCGCGACGCCGCCACCGCGGCGTTCCTCGAGGCGCGCGGGATAGCCCTCGTGACGCTCCCCGGGCACCTCCTGTGGGACCCGCGCGCGCTGAAGATCGACATGCGGCGCGAGAAGTACTTCTTCGGGACGCTGATGCCGTTCGTGCACGCGGCGGAGACGTCGGGCGGGAAGGTGGCGGCGCCGACGCCGGCGCCGAGCGCCGCGCCGTGCGTCGACCTCGAGGGTGCCGACCTGGGTGCCGACCTGGGTGCCGACCTGGGTGCCGACCTGGGTGCCGACGCGAGCGTCCGCCTCACGTCCCTTGACGACCTCGGGGTGTCGCCGCGGTTCCCCCCCGGGCGGGACTGGTCGAGCGGGATACGGGACGAGTGGGACATCTCCGAGCGCGGCGCGAATGAAGTTTGGGCGTCGTTCACGCGGCGGGGTTTGCCCGAGTACGAGGCCGAGCACGGCCGCGCGGACGCGGTCGCGCCCGCGGCTTCGACGTCGCGGATGTCGCCGTACCTGCGGTTCGGGCAGATATCGCCGCGGGCGATGTACCACGACCTGAAGCGCGCGGACGGGAAGCGCGTGTCGAGGTTGTTTTGGCACCGCGTGCATCGACGGGAGTTCGCGTACTGGCAGCTCGCCAACTGGCCGGACATGGGGACGAAGTCGATTCGGAGACACTACGACCGCCGCGCGGACTGGATCCCGGACCCGACGCGCGACGCCGCGAGCGCGGAGATCTTGAGGCGGTGGCGAGAGGGGCGGACCGGGTTCCCGGCCGTGGACGCCGGGATGCGTCGGCTGTGGACGACGGGCTGGATGCACCAGACGGAGCGCATGCTCTGCGCGACGTTTCTGTGCGACTACCTAAACGTGCACTGGGTCCACGGCGCGCGGTGGTTCCACGACACGCTCGTAGACGCGGACCTCGCGATCAACGCGATGATGTGGCAGAACGCGGGAAAGAGCGGTCTGGACCAGTGGGACGTCTTCTCCGGGTCGCTCGCGCCGGACGGATCCAAGCCGTGCCGCGCGCACGACCCGCTCGGGGACGCCATAGCGACGCGGGTGCCCGAGCTGGCTGGGCTGCCGCGCGGGCACCTGCGTCACAGGCCGTGGGAGGCGAGCGACGCGGTGTTGGAGACATCGGGGGTGGTGATACGCGGCGCGGGAGAGGACGGCGCGTACCCGGAGAGGATGTTGCCAGGCGTGGGAGACGTCGACGGCGCGGGGAGGGAGGACGCGCGCGCGCGGATGATATCCGGCGTGAACGACGCGCGTCGCGCGGAGCTCGCGCGCGCGGCGGCGGCGGCGAAGGCGGCGGAGGCGGGAGACGGCGATGACGACGAATACAACAACAGTAACGGTCGGCGCGTGGACGTTCTCGTCGACCCCGTCACGGGCGCGGACTACCTGCTCGTCCCGGACGGCCCCACGGAGTCGAGCGCGGGATTTTTACTCCCGCTGTCCACGCGCAAGGAGTTCAAGACCGCGCTCAGGAGATCGAGCGATGAGATCGTGGGCTCGAAAGACGCCGCGCGAGCCCTCGGCGCGTGGGCCGCGCGCGCGCTGAACCTCGGCGCGACCGGCGCCGGCCGCGGCGGCGCCGGGTGCGCGGACGAGAGCGGCTCGGCGCGGGCCGGGGAGATCGGGAAGAAACGCGAGGCGCGCGCGAAAAAATCCGACGCCGCGCTGACGCACTCGCACTCGCACTCGCACGGCGGGAACGTGCACTCGCACTCGCACGGCGGGCACTCGCACGGCGTCGGCGAGAAGATCGGGCACTCGCACGTCGGGCACTCTCACGACGGGAAGAGCCGCGGCGGCGGCGGCGGCGGCAAGAAGAAGAAGTCAACCGCCGCCGCCGCCGCGTCGGGGAAAGGGCTGAAGAGCAGCTCGTGGGCGAAAGGTTCTGGGTCGGGGCGCGTCGCGCGGGCGAACGCGCGGGATTCCGAGCGCGCGGCGGTGAAGGAGTCGCGTCGGGAGAAGCGCGCGCTCGAGCGGGAGTGGAAGGACACGTAGCCTCTTATTAGAACTCGTATTCGTGTTCGTATGCGTGCGACAAACGAACGAAAGGGAGCGTCGCGATCATAGCGCCGCGTTCGCTCTGTACGTCCCGTGAAACGTGTGCGGGACGTGAAACGGCAGCCGTATCCTCGCCACGACGTCCCCTTCCACGTCCTTCGCGTCGAGTATCACCACGGAACTCTTGTGCGCGCTCGCGTCGTACTCCACGTAGAGCAGATACCCGTCGTCCTCGTCCCCCGAGCCGTCCCCGCGCGGGACGAACTCCACCTCCGACGGAAACGTCCCCGGCGGCGAAATCCGCGTCGCGTGCGTCCCCGACCCGAGACGCAGCTTCTGTATCGCGTCGAAGTACCCCGCGCCGCCGCCGCTGAACCCGAGCGTGTACACGTACTCCGGCGCGCGCCCGCGCGCGGCGCGAGCGATCACGGGGAACTCCATCGGCAGCTGCCCCGACCGCGCGTCGCCGCCGCGCGCGCCGCCCACGGTTGGCGGCACCACCGGCTCCGACGACAGCAACTTCCCGGATTTCAAGTCCACGACGTAGTCGCACAGCGTGTTGTACCCGGGCGCGGACCACACCGCGGCGTACATGTCCGAGAAGTTGCGCTCGAGCTCCGGTCGCGGGCCGATGAGCCGGTTCACGAGCACGTGGAGGGTGCCGTCGCTCTCGCGTTCGTACGCCGTCGCGAAGTGATACGTGCTCATCCTCGGAATCTCCGTCGCGTGGACGACGCTCAGGTTGCTCTTTCGCATGATCACCATCCACGCGGCGTCCTCCTCCGCCCAGCGGAACGCGTGCCCGAACGAGCCCGCGCCGGACAGCGCGCCGGCCATCGCGCCCATCGGCAGCTTCCACGGCGGCACGATGAAGGCGAGGTAGTTTTCGCTCATCGCCGCGTCGTGCATCAGCGTCATCTCCGGGCCGTTCAGCGGCAGCGGCACCACCTTCTCCACGGCGCCGTCCTTCGTTATCTTCGCGACGCTCATCCCGATCGCGGGCGGCTTCGCGAGGCCCCACGTGTACAACGTCCCGTCCGCGTCTCTCTTCGCGTGCGCGCTGAATCCCATCGGGAGGTTCGAGCCGAACACCTTGACGCCTTTCGTTCGCAACGACGTCGCGTCCACCTCGTACGGCGCGCCGCCCTCGCACAGGACGAGCAGCGACCCGGCGTGGAACATCGGCGACGTGTTCCCCGGGTTGGTCGGGAACGCGAAGACGTTGTCGAAGACGGAGTCGGCTTGGGTCCAGGCACCTCGAACAGCGACGGCGTTCGCCGCGGCGCCTCCCCTCGCCTCTTGCCTCTCGTATCGCTCCGTGCGGACCATCTTCGCGCCCGCGCGCGCGGTGTTCGTCTCCGGGTCGAGGTGGATCGCGAAGATGAAGCCGTCGCCGTCGAACCAGTGGGCGTACTTCTTCGTCCCGAGGCGGATCCGCCCGGGGCCGACGCGGTAGAGCGATCCCGCGAGTTCCGGAGGGATGACGCCCTCGACCGCGTCCGCCGGGAGCGGCGCGACGTCGACGTCGCCGCACGGTTCGAGGCCGCCGCGCCACGGCCACGCGTTCACGGCGTCGCGGACGTCGCTCGGCGGCGCGTGAGGGCCGGACGACGGCAGCGGGACGGTCACCGCGTGCTCGCCTCGCGCGCCGGAGGAGCTGACGCGGAGATCTCGACGCGACGACGACGGCGCGACGACGCGACGACGCGACGACGACGCGCGCGCGGCGGCGACGACCGCGGGCGGCGGCGCCGCGCTTCCCCGCGCGGCGGAGGACCCGACCATTCGCGAAGTCGCCGTCGTGCCGCGCGGAAGGGGCGCGCGACGCGGAGTGTCGAGGATTCCGATAAGCAGTTCGATCCTTACAGTAGTCTGATGACAGTCCCAACTGCACGACTGAAGATGTCTCTACGCTACTCGGCTCCGTCGGCGTCACGAGTAATCCGGGATCTCGATCGTGAAGTCGTCCTCCCGCGTCCCCGGCGGCCACCGAAATAGCTTCCCGTCGATCCACATCGCGGCGACCCCGCCCGGCGCGGCGACGATCGCGTCGTTGGGATCCAACTCCGTCCACGGTTGGTCCCAGTCCCCTTCCTCGAATAACCCGTCCTCCTCCGTCAACCCCAACGCCTCGTCGTCGTCCAGCGACAGCTCCGGGATGTCGTCCGGGATGTCCCCGGCCCAGTTATCCCCCGCGCCGACGCCGGGCATGGAGAACAGCCTGGACGAATCCCACATCAGCGCGCAGTCCGCGGACGACGCCAGCTTGCCTCTCCCGGTGAGACCCTTGTTGGACTTTTTCGCGATCGCGTTGGCGAGCGTCCAGTACCCCTCCGTGACGCCGACGTCGCCGTCCGAGCTCAGCAAGTTGGCGTACTGCGGCCGGTGCATCGACTTCGACAAGAAGTCCCCGCACACGGTGACGCCCGCGCAGAGCCCTCGCTGCGCTTTGGCGAACTCGACGCACCCGCGCATGCCCTCGTCGCGCGTGACGACGACGACGCCGACGGAGCCGGCGTTGGCGACGGCGCGCGCCGCCTCGTTGTCGTCGTCGTCCGACGCGTCGAGGATGCCGCCCGAGCGCACGAAGTTGATGCAGTCCGTGCTCAGGACGACGTCCGAGCCCTCGCTTATCTTCGGGCAGACGGTGACCGTCACGCCGATCTCTTCCAGATCAGCGCGCGTCTCCTCGTCGATCGTGCCCTCGCGCGCGTACGCGCGAAGGTGCGCGATGTCCGCGAACTCGAACGCGGCCTCGATGAGCCGGTACGCCCAGATGAGCTCCATGCCCTTGGGCGCGCGCACGTTGTCGAGGTCCCAGAAGATCGCGCACGCCTCCGCGGACCACGGGACGCGGCCGTGGTGGAGCGAAGAACCTCCTCTCGCGTCGGACGATGTTGACGAGGAGGCGGACGCGGAATTTGAGGACGACGCGTCGTCGCCGCTCTTGACGCGCGTCGACGGCGTTCGCGCCGCGGAGACGCGACGCGCGAGGGACGGGCGAGGGACGGACGCGCGCGAGGCGAGCGCGCGCGCGGGGGGGAGCGCGTGAGCGGCCATGACGAGCGTGGACGACGCGCGGACGCGGTGTGATGGCCGGAAGGGCGGGAACGCGGCCAGGCTGGCGGACGCGGACTGGACGCCGCGCCGCGCCGCGCCGCGCGCGCGCCGCGCCGCGACGAACCAAATCTTCGACCGACAGACGGCGACGGGGGCGTCAGATCTCCCGCGCGCGGCTCGCGGCTCGCCGCGCCCGACGCCGCGAGCGCCCTCGCGCGCGACCGCGCGTCGCGGCGGCCGCGGCGCGCGTCGTCGACATGGCGTTCACCGGCCAGGGCGCGACCGCGTACACGATGCCGAAGAGACCGAGCGAGGAGATCGTCGACCGAATGGTGCGCAGAGGCATCGCGCGGTCGTCCGACGCGCTCCCCGCGGTCGCCGCGCCGGGTCTCATGCCGCGGGACAAGCCCCCGGTCCTCGCCGTGGACGGGCACGCGGACGGCGGGACGTACCTCGCGGCGTCGCAGAACGGCAGAGGCGGCGCGGAGGAGGAGGCGGGGTACAAGAGAGAGGCGAGGTTGCTCGCGTTGAGAGCCTTGGATCCGAAAGTGCGCGCGAAGCTCCAGAAGCTGCGCGCGGAGAGGACGGCAGGTGGGGGTGGGGGGGATAGTGAAGACGACGACGACGACGACGACGACGACGACGACGACGACGGGGGGGGCGACGTCGAGAGGAAGAGGAAGAGGTCGTCGAAGGGGAAACGGAAGCGGCGGCGGGAGATGGAACGCGGCGACAGCTCGAGCTCGTCCTCGTCGTCGTCCTCCTCCTCCTCTTCGTCGTCGTCGTCGTCTAGTGAGGAGCGTAAACCGTCGAAGATGACGCGCGAAGAGCTCGAGGCGGAGCTCGCGAGGATACGACGGAAGAACGACCGGAGCGAGGAACAACGCGGCGGCGGCGGCGAGAAGAGAAGGATGAAAAAGTCGTCCAAGTCGTCGAGACGGCGGCGGCGGAAGAAGAAGTCGAGGTAGGGCCTCGTCCTCGGAGGCGCGCTGTGGTCTACTGTACACCTAGCTACTAGCGAGACGTCGATCGTCGCGTGCGAAACGATGCGATACCCTCACGATAAACGTCGAATATGATACTACGCGCGCGCCTCGGTCGCGTCTCGCGCCTCCGAGACCGTCTGCGCCCCTCGTCGTCCAATCGTCTACGTCCACGTGTCCTTGCTCACCAACCCCCGGTCCTTCAGCTTCCCTATGATCGGCGACACGATCGTCGCGAGCATGTGCACGCCGAGCAGCGGCTGAAACAAGAACGGCCACAGGAACAGCCACGCGCCCAAGAAGGGCTCGTCGTACGACAGCCCGTTCCCCGCGCTCAACCTGACCACCACGCCGATGACGAGCCACGCGAGGATGAACAGGATGACGAAGAAGTCGTACAGCAGGAACGTGTCGATGGCCTCCTTGATCCCGTCCATCTTCACCTGCGCGTCCGTTTTCAGCGCGACGCCGGCTTCCTTCGCGGCGGCGGCTTCCTTCGCGAGCGGCGAGTCCGCGGCGAGTCGCGCGATGTCCGCCTCCATGTCCGCGAGCGGATCGAACGAGGACTTCCCGACCGCGGGTTCGTCGTCCGCGTCGTTCGCCGCGTCCGCGGCGGTCGCGCGTCGTCGCGACGCCGCGGCGACGGCGCGGCGGCGCGCGAGCGACGGCGCGCGAGCGCGTCGTTCGCCGCCGGCGCGTCGCGCGAGGGTCGCGTCGATCGTGCTTCGGGCGGATATCGTCGACGACACCCTCGCGGTCCATCGACGCGTGGCCGCGGAGGGGCGACGCGCGGTCGTCAGGCCGCGCGTCGCGCTCGCGAGGCACGCCATCGTCGCGGTGGGTGGCGTCGACGGGGTGTGGTCGCGCGCGAGCGAGAGTGCGGCGACGCGAGCCGAGTGGGGGCGGCAGGTGGTCGCTGTGTAGTTGCTGAGGTGGCTGCGTGAAGAGAAAATCTCTTCGAGCGAGAAAAGCGCCCCTGAGAGTTCAAACCACGACAAGAACGCGCGCGCGCGACGGCGGCGCGGCAGCTCCGACGACATGGAACCCGGAGGCTTCGATGTCTCCACGGACCTCGCGTGCGTGATCCTCTCGAAGATCCATGATATCCCGACGCGAGCGGCGCTGATGTGCGTGTCGCGGGTGTGGCGCGAGGCGGGGAAGGAAAAGGCGTCCGTTTCCCACGGAGCTCGACTTCACCACCGTCCCCAACCTCTCGGAGGTGGGCTACGGGGACATAGCCGAGTTCATGGAACGCATCGAAGGGATTCACATAATGGAGGAGACAAGATTTCAAGGCGTGTACAGGCAGACCCTCCGCGACGGGGTGGCGCTCGACCGTATGCGGCTCGCGGGCTGTCCTTTGGACAACAAGGCGAACAACGACGAGGTGGACTTACTGGATATGTATGTCAAGCACGACCGCAGCAAGGTCAAGGCGTTCGATAAAGGCCCGTTCGATGTGTGGACGTGCGAAGAATGCGAAGCTTTTCTCGACGACAAAAGTAAGGCCTTCGTGTGCGTCGACTGCGAAGGCAAAAACACACTCGTCTTGTGTGAGGACTGCGTCGAGGACGTAGACGAAGAGGAGATTTGTTTCAAGTGCAACCAGTTTCTGTGCAGTAAGCACAGCGGGCCTTTTATCAACTTGGACTGCGATACGTGTGGAGAAGTATTTTGCATGAACTGCTTGGGTGAAGCAAGAGTTTCCTTCTGCTCGCGATGTGACGAAACGATTTGCGTGCGTGCCCTTCTCACTCCTCCTAAAGCGCTACGACTCACCGACCAACCCCGAAACTGACCGCTCTTCTCTCGTCACCTCCATCCTGTCAGGACGACTGTCAGGTGAAGGAAAAGAAGTTTGTTGGCTTTTGTGAAGAATGCGATAAACCATTCTGTTCCGATTGCAATCCCTGTCTGATGTGCTACGGATCGCACAAGGGGACGGAAAAAGGTTGTCTCTACATGTGTTGCTCAGAATGCAGCCCCGGTAAGATATATTTCTGCGAAACGTGCAACGGGTGCTGGTGTGAAAAGTGCAGGCCTTCCTTCGTGTGCTTCGGATCGAAAGAAAAGAAAGGTTGTTTCAAAATCCGCTGTTTGGATTGCGGACGCGATGACTTTGACTACTGCGAAATGTGCAACGGGTGGTGGTGTGAAAAGTGCAGCCCATCCTTCTGCGGCGATTTCAACGACCACTGCGAGTTCTGTACACGAAACGTCCCGGCTGAACGTGTATAGAGTACTCATACTCGAAAGACAGAGCGAGGGATGACGGGCTGGACACGACGAGGCAAGGCAAGAGAATAACACGAAGACGCACACGGAAAACCCCGACGACGACGCGAGACGACGACGACGCGCGCACGGCGAGCGGCGATGAATACGATGTACACGGCTACGCGCAAAAAACTACTTCACCGTGGGCGACTTCGACCGCCCCCGCGGCGTCGTCGACCCCGTCGACGGCCTCGGCGACTTCGCGCGCGTCGTCGTCCCCTCCACAGCCTTCCCCCACGACGACTTCGCAGCCTTCTTCGCCGCGGCCCTATCGTCCCCGCGCGCGCCGTACGACGTCACCTTACCCACCGCGTCCGCGTTCCTCGCCTCCGCGCTCTGCATCACCTTCCCCGCCTCGCTCAGCGCGCGGTCGAAGAACCCGCCGTAATACGTCGGCGGAGGCGCGAGCAACGCGTTGGCGCCGACGCCGCCCGTCGCGGGCGTGCCGTACCCGCCCGCGCCGCCGCCTCCCGCGCGCCCGTGCCCGATCCCCAGGCGCTCGCGCTCGGACGCGAGCGACGCGACGTGCGCGTTGGCCTCCGCCAGCCGCCGCCGCAACGTCTCCATCTCCGCCGCGACGCCGATCTCCGCGGCGACGCCCACCTCCGCGACGCCGAGGCCGCCGCCGCTCGCGCTGAGCGCGGGCGAGGTTCGGCCCGACATCGGCCCGTGGTTGAAGCTCGCGCTCGCGCGCGGGGTCGCGCCGCGGCTGATCGCGGACGCGGCGCCGCGCGACGTCCGCGGGCTCCTCGGCGGCGGCGCGTGGTTTTTCAGCGCCGCGAGCTCGTCGCGCATCGCCGCCATCTGCGATGAGAGATCCGCGACGAGCCTCCCGCCGCGGCTCATCGCGACCTCGTCCATCGCGGCGTCGTCGAACTCCATCGCCGCGGCTTCCGCGATGGTGACTTCGGTCTTCCCGGCGACCATCTGCGCGGCGAATCGCACGCGCTCCGCCGCGGCGAGGTCCTGCCGCAGCCGCCGCGACGTCTCCTCCATCGTCGCGATCTCCGGGCCGAGCTTCGCGGAGTTCGCCGCGGCGGAGTACGCCTCCGCGGCGCCCTTGCGCGTCGCGCGGAGCTCGTCCTCCAGGGCGATGATCTTCTCGGAGAGTTCGAGCTGTTTATTCGCCGCGTCCGCGTGCGCGTCCTTGAGCTTCCGTTCCAAATTCCGTATCGTCTCCTCCGCGGAGACCATCTGCGCGTGCAACGACGTCGTCCGGATCTCCCACTCCTGCGCGTGCGCCTCCGCGTCCGACGCCCGGCGCTCCGCGTCGCGTCGCGTCTCCGCGGCGTCCGCGGCGAGTCTCTCCGCGCCCTTTCGCCCTTCGCGTTCGCCCTCCAACGCCTCCCGCAACGGCGCGACCTCCGCGCGCGCGACGTCCATCCCGCGCCGCGCCTCCTGCTCCGCCGCCGCGCTTAACGCCGCGGCGTCGACCGCGGTCTTGAGCTCCGCGGCGACGCGTTTCGCCTCGCCCTCGCGCGCGGCGAGCGCTTTTTTCGTCTCGGCGAGTTGCGCGTCGCGCTCCGCGAGCGACCCTCGCGCCGTCTGCGCGTACTCCTCCGCGGCGTCGCACGTCGCGCGCGCTTCGTCGAGCTCCGCGGTCATCCTCTCCACCTCTCTCTTCGCCGCCGCGGTCGCGCGCTCGGCCTCGCGCGTCGCGCTCGCCGCGAGCGCCTCCGCCGCCGCGAGCGCCGCCGGCAGCGGCGCGCACGCCTCGAGCTTCGCCGCGAGTTCCTTCTTTTCATCCTCGATCGCCGCCGCGCGCGCGATCCTGTCCACGTTCAGGTCCATCTCCGCGCGGTACGCCTCCGTCTCCGCGCGGTACGCCTCCGCCTCGGCGATCGCGCGCTCGGTCGTCTCCGCGGACTTGGCCATCTCCGCCTCCGCGCTCTCCGCTCGGAGCGAGAGATGATGCATCTGCGATCCCCACGCGTCGTCCCACGCGCTCAACAGCGAGTCCGCGAGCGGCATCGCCTCCGCGACGCACCGCAGCGCGTGCTGCCCGGACTTTAACCGCAGCGTCGTCGTCATGTACGGCGCGCCCGCGCCGGAGCTGAACGCCTTGTGCAGGTGCGCGTGCGCGGTGGTCACGCGCTTCGCGAGGTGGTTGGAGTGCCGGAGCAGGCGCTCGTACGCGGGGCCTCGCGTCGCGGCCTCGCCGGTGATCGTCCGGTGCGGCGTCGCGACGGGGATGATCACGGGAGCGGCGTCGGCGATGTGGTGATGCGCGGGGTCGCTCCTCCACACCGCGCCCGAGGACGGCGTCGCGCCGGGTCGCGGCGTCGCGGCGTCGTCGCGCGCGGCGAGATCACATTGTTGGTGTCGTCCCGGCGACGCGCTCGCGCTCGGCGGGTCGCGGTCGCGAGGGACGACGCTCAGCGGCGAGCGCGCGGGCGTCGCGGCGAGCGCGCCTCGCGCGGCGCGTCCGAGCCTGCCCTCCACGGGGTCGTCCTCCCCGGGCGCGCCCATGTCGTCGCGTTGTGATGACGGCACGTCCGACGTTTTGGATTTATCTTTTCGTACCCCTTCGCGTGAAGTCGGCCTTTTCGTGCACAAGTTTTAGATTACACGTACAGGGGGGGTCTCCGCGCCGCTACGATACGCGTCTCTCTCAATCGGCGTACCACTCGCCCTTCCTCACGCGCGCGTGCGTCTCCTCCATGAGCTTCGGATCCTCCTTGAACACCTCCTCCAGGGTGATCGTGCTGAGCTTCTCCTGCTGCGCCTCGAGCTCCGCGAGTTTCTGGTTGATGCTCTCCAGCTCTTTCGTCGCGTTGTCCGCGACGGCGCGCGCCTCCGCGGCAAACTTCGCAAACTCCGCGGCGCTCTCTTTGACAACGTCCTTGCCCTCCCACACGCCATCCCACGACTTGAACGCGTGGGACGCGTGGACGGCTTCGTACTGGTCCACGATGTCGGGATGGGGGGACTTCGCCTTCAGTCCGGCCCAATCGACCGGCTTGGACGACGTCTGCGGGGAGGATGAAAGGAGAGGGTCGGTGAGCGTTCGATCGATCTCGAAGGACGAGCTCGTGGGTGAGACTGCTTCCCATACGACCCCGTTCGCGATGTGAACGCCGTTCCTTAAGGACTTTCCCTCCGCCGTCGCCGTCGCGCGCGTCTCGACGTCGATCGCGGCGGGACGGGAAGTCGAACGCGTTCGGGAAGTCGAACGCGTTCGATCGAGGGCGAACCCGCGGCGTGAGCGAGGAAGAAGCGCGCACCTGGGCGGCTCCGGCGTCGCGCGCCTCGTTCAGCTTCTTTTGAAGCAGCGCGAGCGAGCGCTTGGCCTCGTCGGAGACGGGCGCGGTCGTGACCTTCGACCATTCCTCCGCGATCTGATCCTCGGACATGACGGCGGTGGACATCGCCCGCGAGGTGACGTGCGGGGCGTTGAACCCGCGCGCCTGATGATCGAGCGGGGGAGTCGAGGGGGAGGATCGGGGTCAGCCGTTGATTCGCGCTCGCGCATCGCGGGTGAAAAAAATGCACGCGCGCGGAAACCCTAGCGCGCGCGAGGACGCGCGCGGGGCATCGCGCGCGGGTTCGCGCGGGCGCGCACCTGGCGGACCGCCCGCGAGGCGAACGTGCGAAGCATGACGGCGGAAAGTTCCGTCGCGTCGCGCGGGGAAGTGCGATCGCGCCGCGCGATGGCGAGCTCCTCGAAGGGGCCACATCCGGCCGCGTCGACCGACCGCGTGTCCTTCTGTTCGTCTGTCGTCAACTTTCCTCCCGTCATCATCAGCGCGAAAGTCTCGCCCACCAGGGTCGATCGCGCGGACGACGCGGCATGCAGAAGCGCGACTCGAACCCGGACCTGCGGCGGGATTCGTCCAAGGCGACGTCCGTGTCCGGCCGCGTCGTGCGCTTCGGCACGACCGCGCGCCACACGATCCCGTACAAGGTTCTGAAAGCGCGCGGGTGGAAAGAGGTGGACGACGACTCGTGGGACTTCTTCTACGCGGACGTCGGATGGATCCACGAGAACATCACGTACACGACGTCGAACAAAGGCCTGACGTTAGAGCCTCACCAGCGCGTGAACCACTTCCCGAACCACGTGGAGTTGACGCGCAAAGACCTCATGGCGAAGAACGTCAAGAGAGCGATCAAGCTCGCAGTGAAGGAAGGTCGCGATCCGTCCGAGTTTGACTTCATCCCGGTGACGTACACGCTCCCGAGCGAGGGAAACATGCTGTTGAGGGAGTTTAAAGAACGCGGCGGGACGTGGATCATGAAGCCGATCGGCAGGGCGCAGGGCAAGGGGATTTGGATCGCGTCGAAGCCGTCGCAGATCGAGCAGTGGATGAAAGAGCGAGGCATGGGGAAGGCGGAGAACAACGTCTGCTACGAAAACTTCGTCGCGCAGCGGTACTTGGAAGACCCGTACTTGGTCGGCGGCAAGAAGTTCGACATGCGCATATACGCGGTGTGCCTCTCGTATAACCCGCTGCGGGTGTATCTGTACCGAGAAGGCTTCGCGCGGTTCACCGCGACGAGGTACAGCAAGGAAGACTTCGATAACCCGATGGTGCACTTGACGAACCACGCGATTCAAAAAAAAGACGACGCGTACGACGCCTCCGTGAGCGACCTCAAGTGGTCGTTCCCGTCGTTGAAGCGATACATGCTGACGAAGCACGGCCCCGCGGCGACGACCGAGTGCTGGGCGGGGATCCACAACATCATCACCGGCTCTCTGAAGGCGGTCCAAGGCGTCATGATCAACGACAAACACTGCTTCGAGATGTACGGCTACGACGTGATGATCGACGACGATCTCAAGCCGTGGCTCATCGAAGTCAACGCGTCGCCGTCGATGTCGTCGGACACGCAGACGGACCACGACCTGAAGTTTGGGCTGCTGGACGACATGCTGACGCTGATCGACATGACCGGGTCGTTTCGAGGGCAGCTTCCGCCCAGGGTGGGCGGGTTCGATCTCGTCTACGACGGCGAGCCGAAGCGACACGAGAGCTGGGGGAGCTATCCGACGATGCTCGGGTGCAACAACAGGGACCGCGAGGACGCGCTTCGACGGCTGAAGAAGTGGACGGAGAGCTTGGACCCGAACGCGGAGAAGAAAGTGCGGCCCTCGGACGCGGTGACGATCGTGTCGTACATGGAGAAGGAGAAGCGAGAGAAGGAGAAGCTAGAGAAGGAGAAGGAGGAGAAGGAGAAGGAGGAGGCGACGGGGACGTAGAGTCGGCGCGAGCGATGATGTCTCTTCGTATTCTCGTCGAGCGTCGCGCGCGGATGGCTGCCAAAAAATCGCCGTAGGCTGTCGTCTTCCTCTCTCTCATCACTCCTTGAGGATGGGCTTCCCCGCGTCGTCGAGCGGCCACGGGTTCCCGTCCGGGTCTACCGGGACGTCGAGTTTCTGGAGCTGCGGCTCGGACCACGGGTACTTCTTCACCATCCCCCACTCGATGGGCTTCCCGAAGTTGCGCTTGAAGTTCTCCGTGAACTTTCGGGAAAACTCTTTGAACTCGGGGGTGTTGAACGACATCCGCGGGTCCTCGTGCTTGCGGAGCTTCGCGAGCTTCTCCGTGTGATCGCGCATCTCCGCGAGGAGCTCTTGCGCTTCCTTGCCGCCGCCGCCGTTCTCGGCGTAGTCCTCGAACTTCTTGAGCTTCGCTTCGTCCGCCTGACGGACGCGCGCGGAAATGAATGAGTGACGACGTAAGCGGGGAGGGAAGGGGAGGGGGCGGGTCGCGCGGACGGGTTCCGCGCCCGCGCGGCGCGAGACGACGCGCGCGACGGCGACATCGAACGCGACGAGCGCGCGGACGCGAGGCCTTCCGCGTCGCGTCTCGACGACGACGCGCACCTGTTGCGCTTCGACGCCGCCGGTGTAAGGGACGGGCATGACGATGGCCGTTCGACGCGCTCACGCGTCGACGTTCGCACTGCTCGCCGCGCGCGGAGAGAGAAGACGGGACGTCGTCGCGTGCGCGACGGACGAGCGGCGGGACGTGCGCGGCGTGAAGAACGCGAGCGCGCGCGTGCGCGTGGGATGCGAGAGTGCGCCTCGCGGGTGCGTGCGGTGCGCGCGAGCGTGTGCGCGCGCCTCGCGCGCGTCGCGGGGGCGTCGTAGTCGAAGCGTTCCCCGAGGCGTTTTCGGGAGCTCGAACGCCAGCCCTGCCCGCAGCCAGGCAGCGTCTGGTCGCGACGTCTGCGGCTCCGAGAGGTCGCGGAACTTTTGCCGAGAGGGCACCATCGCGCGCCCGCGCGCGTCGCACTTCGCGCGACGCGCGCGGGGCGAGCACGTCGCGCCGCCGCGCCCGCGCGCTTCCCCGCTGAAGGAAGCGACCGGCGGACGGCGACTTCGCGCGCGACGCCGCGAAGCCGCGACGCGATGGCGGTCCCGGTCGCGCTCGAGATCTTCTGGGTCGCGTGCAAGGCTGTCCTGAAGGTGCTCATCATCGCGAGCGTCGGGTGCTGGGCGAGGAAGAACGGGCTCCTGAACGCGGCGACCGCGAAGACGCTCTCGAAGATCAACGGCGTCGTGTTCCTCCCGTGCTTGCTGTTCACGACGTTGGGGAAGTCCGTCTCCGCGAAGTCGTTGCGAGACGTGTGGCTCCTCCCGCTCGCGGCGGCGTGCAACATCGCGATGGGCGCGCTCTTTGGAAATATTCTCATCCGCGCGTTGCGCGTCCCGCGCGCGTTCAAAGGCCCCGCGATCGCCGCGAGCGCGTTCGGGAACTCGCTCGCGATGCCCGTCGTCCTCATCACCGCCATCGTGCGCACCGGTCGGGTCGGGAACGTCGTCTTCACGCCTGAAGACGAGGCCGCGGCGTTCGTCTACGTCGGCGCCTACATGACGACCTTGACGGTGCTGATGTGGACGATCGGCCCGCCGTGGATGGCGAGCTCGAAGACGCCCTCGTACGACGACGGCGACGGCGACGGCGGGGGAAGGGAGATGATGCGCGCGATCGAGGCGGGCGTCGGGGTGGGCGGCGGGGTGAGCGGCGGCGCGGCGGGGTCGGCGGAGGGCGCGAGAGCCGAGGGAAAAGGCGGCGGCGGCGGCGGCGGCGGCGGCGTCGTGAGGAGCGAGAGCGCCGTGGAGCTCCTGGGCATGGACGGCGGCGGCTCCGAGGACGACGACGCGGTCGCGGTCGCGTCGTCCCTCTCCGCGCCGGCGCCGCCGAAACCGAAACCGCGCGCGTCGCGGACGTCGCGCGCGCTCGCGGCGTTGAGACCGGCGGCGAACGCCAACGTCTTCGCGTCGCTGCTCGGCATCGCCGTCGGCCTCGTCACGCCCGTCCGAGACACGCTGTTCGAGACCGACGGCGCTTTATACGTGTTAGGGGACGCGCTGAACATCATGGCCGGCGCGGCGATCCCGCAGGTGATCGTGATACTCGGCGCCGAGCTCGCGGACGGGCCCGATCACGCGACGTGCTCTCGCGACGCCGCCGTCGGCGTCGGGATGATTCGCCTCGCGGCGCTCCCCGCGATCAACGTCGGGCTGTGTCTCGCGCTGAAGGCGGCGCTCCCGCCCGCGGCGGTGCCCGCGTCCGCGGTGTTCTGGCTCGTGTTTCTCATCGAGGGCGGCACGCCGACGGCGAACAACATGATGCTTCAGGTGCAGATGTTCGGCACGAGCGACGCCGCGGGGGGGATCGCGACATGTTTGTTCTATCAATACGCGATGGCGCCCGTGATGCTGACCGCGAGCATATCGCTGTTCTTACACCTGATATGAACGACGACGCCGACGCCGCGGGGCGGGGCGGGGGGGTCGGGCGCGATGGCGTGATGGCGTCTTGATAGCGCGTTAGAGCGTAGCGAAAGGATAAAAGTAGAGCCTCGAGAAGGCCTTTTCCGGGTTCGCGCGAGCGCCCGAACCCACGTGATGTGCTTATGTGGCAACGTTCGTCAGAAATTAATCACGGGGCGTCTATTTCACCGAAAATACAACCACAAGAATCAGTGCAAAAAAGCAACACGTGATAACTCAGATCTCTCTAAGATCGCGGGGATCTTGTCTCGGAAGATCAAAGTTGCGGCTTTCCGCAGATCGTCGTCATTCCCTCGCACGCACGACACGCAAGATGTCCGCTCAAATGTTCGCCTCCTCTACGGTCGCGCGCGCCGCGCCCGTCTCCAAGTTCGGCAAGAAGGCCGACGGCGTCTCCGCGCGCAAGGCGATCGCCCGCGCGCCCATGACGAACCGTCGCGTCCAGGTGAGAGATATTTCAGATTACTTCTCTCGGAAGGGGGTTTTTACGGCGCGCCGATCGCCCCCGCGACGGCGGCCGATATCGACGCGCGCCTCGCTCGATCCGTCCCCGGCGTCCGGGATCGCCCCGTGTGGTGTTTTCGCGCCTCGCGCGCGCGCGCCTCGCTCGTCGCGCGCGCGAACCCGCGCGCGCGCGCGCCGCCGATCGTCCTCGATTGCAAAAGCGAACGAGGATAACATGACATCCCTCGCGCGAGATTATCCAACCCGACCCCCCCGCCGCGCGTCGCCCTGACGCCCTCCCCCCCCCCCGCCCCCCCGCAGACCTCCCCCAAGGCTGCGTTCACCGTCTACGCCGCCGTCACGAAGCTCAAGACCGCGATCGTCACCGGCGCGTCCTCCGGACTCGGGCTGTACACGACGAAGAGCCTGATCGAGAAGGGCGACTACCACGTCGTCATGGCGTGCCGCTCCGTGGAGAAGGCCGAGCGCGAGGCGAAGCGCTTGGGGTTCGACAAGTCCAAGTACACGGTCATGGAGCTCGAGCTCGGTTCCCTGGAGAACGTCCGCTCGTTCGTGAAGAAGTTCCGCGGGAACGGCAAGCTCTGCAAGAACTTGCAAACCTTAATCTGCAACGCCGCCATCTACTACCCGAACGCGGTGGAGCCGACGTTCACCCAGGACGGCTTCGAAGAGACCGTCGGCGTGACCCACCTCGGGCACTTCCTCCTGTCCAACCTCCTCCTCCGCGATCTCGTCGCCGCGGACGACCTCGGGATCGACAAGCGTCTATGCATCGTCGGGTCCGTCACGGCGAACACGAACACGCTCGCCGGGCAGGTGCCGCCGAGGGCTGCCATCGGGGACATGTCCGGGCTCGCGAACGGCCTCAACGGCGACCGCAACAAGGGCGCGATGATCGACGGCGATCGTTTCATCGGCCCCAAGGCGTACAAGGACGCGAAGCTGTGCAACATCCTGACGATCAAGGAGATGAACAGGCGCTGGCACGAGGAGACGGGGATCACGTTCAGCACGATGTACCCCGGGTGCATCGCGGACACGCCGCTGTTCCGCAACCACACCCCGATTTTCCGCTTCCTCTTCCCGCTCATCCAGAAGTACATCACGAAGGGGTACGTCACTATGGAAGAGGCGGGCAACCGGCTCGCGTCCGTGAACAGCGAGCCGCAGTACACGAAGAGCGGCGCGTACTGGGCGTGGAAGGGCGGCGGCGATCAGCTCATGGACAACTACTGGGACAATTCCAACCGCACGGAGGCGTTCGATAACACCCCGAGCAAGGAAGCGGGCGACATGCAGAAGGCGGCGAAGTGCTTCGACCTGTCCGTCGAGGTCGTCGGTCTCAAAGAGAATGAGGTCGGCCCGAAGGCGGGGTCGTACAACTTCCTCAACCTTCTCGGTGGGAACAAGAAGAACTCGAAGACGCCCGTCGCCGCGTGAGCGAGAATTTATCCGACGAATGCGTTCGAGCGAGGAGAAAGAAGGAGACCTCATCGCGCGAGCGATGCGACGATTCGCATCGCGCGCGCGAGATGAGGAGGCGATAAAAATCGTTGAGGGTCGTCGACGTGTCGTCGTCGATTCGATTTGGCTCTGCGGACAGCATCGTTAGAAGCCGTGACATAAACACCACATGTGCATTTTCTTTTCGACTAAAACTCGACCACCTTGGTCTTCTTCTTCTTCTTCGGCTTCCTCTCGCCGTCCCCCCCCGACGCATCTTTACTCCGATTCTTCCCGTCCTTCTCCCCGCCGCTCTTGCGTTTCTTCGAGTAGTCCTTCAACACCTTCTCGCCGTCTTTCGTCTCCCACTCTAGATCCTCGGGCGCGGGCGCGTCGTCGTCGCCGCCGCCGCCGCCCCCGCCCGAGTCGCTCGCGCCGTCGTCGTCCTCCTCCTCGTCGTCCGGCAGCTTCTCCCGCCCTAACGCGTCGCCGATCTCGAAATCGAAATCGTCCTCGAGGTCGTCACCGCCGCCTCGAGGTCGGACCGCGCCGCCGGCCTCGTGTTTCATCCCGGTGTCCGCGTACTTCGACCGCTTCTGCGTCTGCGCGTCTCCCTGAAACGTGCTAAACTTCGGGCACTCCGACGAGATGTGCCCGTCGCCGCCGCATCGCAGGCACTTGTCCCTCGACGGGCAGTCCTTCGCGAGGTGGTCCGTGCCCTTGCAAATCTTACACGCGCCGCCGTTGATGTAGATGCCCTGCTGGTTCTTCGGGCACGCGCGCACGAGGTGCCCGGTCTCGCCGCAGGTGAAGCACACCGCGAACTTAAAGTTGGAGTTCGGGGCCTTGCAATCCCTCGCCGCGTGGTCTTCGCTGCCGCAGTTGTAGCACGTCTTCTTCCCTCGCATGCCGCCGTCCGCGCCGCCTTTCTTCAAGCGGCAGTCCCTGAGCGAGTGCCCGACGCCGCGACAGCCGAAGCATATCAGCTTGCTCTTCCAGATCCCGCCGTCTTTGGAGCCACCGGGGAAGTTTCCTCCGCCGCCCTTTCCGCCGCCGCCGCCGCCGCCCTCGTTCGCCCAACCGCCGCCGCCGCCGCCGCGGCCGCCGGGTTTGCCGTACTTCGCGCGCTTGTAGTCGCGCTTGTTCTGCCGCGCCTCGAACCCCATCTTCGGCGAAGGGAAAGTCCCGCGTCGGCGCGCGCGGAGTGACCGGGACGCGGCCGCCGCGTTCGCATTTTCTCCGGAACTCGTCAGCAGAAAAAGCGGCACCGCGAAGTGCGACTTGGAGTCGTCGTCGACAGGCACACGTCGCCGCGCCACGGCGGTCGTCATGACTTCACCGATCGTCACCGACGCGATTCACAAGCCGGAGCGCGATGCGCGGCTCTATCGCAGGGTCACGTTCCCGAACGGCCTCGAGGCGTGCCTCATAAGCGACCCGTCGTTGGTGCGTCGCGTCGTCAGATCCTCCGCGATCGGTCCGATCGCCCTTCCAACCGTCCACCTAACCAACCGTCCGTCGACACGCGCTGACGCCCTCGCCCACGACGAATCGAACGCGCCGCAGGCGGGGATGCAGACGCCGGAGGACGACAAAGAGCCGATGGACGACGACGGCTCCGAGGAAGGCTCCGAGGAGGGCGCGTCCGAGGAGGGCGCGTCCGGCGAGGAAGACGACGACGACGACGACGACGACGAGGAAGAAGCCGGCGCCGGGATGAAACTCGCCGCGTGCAGCGTCGACTTCAACGTCGGGTTCTTCTCCGACCCGGAGTCCGGGTTCGAGGGGATCTCGCACTTCCTCGAGCACATGGTCTTCATGGGCTCGGAGAAGTACCCCGGGGAGAACCACTTCAGCGACTGGCTCTCGAAGCACTGGGGCAGCGAAAACGCGTGCACGGACTCGGAGCAGACGACGTACTACTTCGACTGCCACCCGAAACACTTGCGAGAGGGTCTGGACATCTTCAGCGGGTACTTCCTGAACCCGCTGCTGAAGATGGACGCGGTAGAGCGAGAAGTCACCGCGGTCGAGTCCGAGTTCGAACGCGTGGTGAACAACGACGCGAGTCGCGTGGAGGCAATCTTAGGTCACGTCGCCGCCGAAGCGCACCCGTACAAAGTCTTCGGCTGGGGCAACAGAGCGTCGCTGACGGAGTCGACGCTGTGGAAGGAAGGGAAGATCCGCGACGCACTGCTGGACCACTGGCGGAAGCACTACCACGCGGGACGGATGTCCATCACGCTCCTCGGCGAGCAGGACCTGGACACGCTGCAAGGTTGGGTCGAGGAGCTCTTCAGGGACATGCGCGCGGACGGCGTCCCGAAGCCGGACTACGCCCTCGCCGGGCCGCCGTACGCGAACGTCCTCCCCATGATGATTCACACGACGCGCGTCGCGGAGGGGAAGCAGCTCGACCTCGTGTTCACCGTCCCTGCGGAGATTCGAAGAGACTACGCGTCGAAGAGCACGGAATACGTTGAGGAGCTGTTAGGGCACGAGGGCAAAGGGAGTCTGTTTTCGCTGTTGAAGTCTAAGGGCTTGGCGGACAGGATCTCCGCGGGCGTCGGCGCGGGAGGGCTCGCGGACACGTCCTGCGCCGCGCTGTTCACGGCGACGATCAAGCTCACGGACGAGGGGTACGAAAAGGTGGACGACGTCGTCGCGTTGTTTTTTCAATACGTCGCGATGATGAAAAAAACCGGCGCGCAGGACTGGTCGTGGAACGAGAACAGAGCCCTGCGGGGGATCGAGTTTCGGTTCAAAGAAGAGGAGTCCGCGGCGGACTACACGGAAGGGATCGCGATGACGATGCGGCGGTATTCGCACGAGGACGTCCTGCGCGGGGATTACCTCTACGCGTCGTACAAGCCGGAGAAGGTGGCGGAGCTCTTGGATTTCATCGCCCCGAGCGCGTGTCTGTACGTCCTCAGCGACCACGGCTTCGACGTGAACCAGCCCGGGGTGGAGCGAGAGAGGTGGTTCAACGTTCCTTTCAAGCGCGCGGAGGTGTGCGCGGAGTCGCTGCGTCGGTGGGAGACGAGCGAGCCGGACGCGGAGCTGCGGTATCCGCCGAGGAACGAGTACATCGCGGAGAACTTCGACATCAAAGGCGGGAGCGCGTCTTGGGCCGCGACCGCCGCGGCCGCGGGCGCAAGCGAGCCGCCGCCGCACCCGCTCGTGACCCCGCCGGAGATTGTCCACGAGTGCGGCGTCATGCGCCTGTGGCACCGTCTCGACGACAAGTTCGACCAGCCGAGGGTGTGCGCGTATTTCCACGTCACCCTCCCCGCGATTGAACCCACCGCGGCGGCGTACGTCGCGGCGGACGTGCTCACGCTGTGCGTGCACGACTCGCTGCAGGACGAGGTGCGGTACCCCGCGGAGCTCGCGAGTTTGAACGCGGGCCTGGACGTCGTCGGGCAGCACACGATGTTATCGTTCACGTTCGACGGGTTCAACGACAAGCTCGGCGAGCTCGTGAAGTCGTACTTTGGCGCCGTGAGCGCGTTCGACGTGAACGAGTCGCGGTTCGAGAAGATCAAAGAGAAACGATTAAAAGACCTGAAGAACTATGGGCTAAAGCCCGGGCGGCAGGCGCGGTCGCTCCTGCACCAGCTCCTGAAAGACCGCGAGGCGTCCGAGCAGTCGAAGATCGACGCGTTGGAGCGCCTCACCTCGGACGCGTTGCGGGCGTTCGCGCGCGCAGCGTGGTCCGCGGCGGCGCACGTGGAGGGCCTCGTCATCGGCAACGTCACCGCGGACGAGGCGTGCGCGATGGGGGAGATGATTCGAGGAACGCTGAAGGGCGGGCCGATCGCGAGGGACGCGTTCCCGACGCGAAGGATAACGATCGTCCCCCCCGGCGACGCTCGGTTCGCGACGCCGACGCAAAACCCGGAGGAGGGCACCAACGTCGTGTACGCGTACTACCAGCACGGCGTCGCGTCGCACGAGCTGCGCGGGATGCATCTGCTCGTGCACCAGCTCATGGCGGAGAAGCTCTTCGATCAGCTGCGGACGAAGGAACAGCTCGGGTACGTCGCGAGCGCGAGCTTGGAGAGCCTGTACGACGTCTACGGGTTTCGAATCACGGTGGAGTCCGCGTTTCACGCGCCGAAATTCGTCGAGGAGCGAATAAACGCGTTTCTTCGCGGGTTCCCGAAGCAGCTCGAGGAGATGGACGAGAGCGAGTACGCGAAGACGCGCCGCTCGCTCGTGGACTCCGTGCTCACGATGGACGTGAGCTTGAGCAGCGAGGCGGACCGGCACTGGACGCACGTGACGAACCAAAAGTACCAGTTTTACCGCGGGCAAATCATCGCGTCCGCGATCAACCAAACCGGGAGACGAGCGGTGATCGACTGGCTGACGAAAAATCTCAACCCGGACGAGCCGTCGTGCCGCCGCGCGACCGTGTTCGTGCACGGGAAGAACCACCCGATCGAGTCGGGGGATTCGTCCTCGCCGCTGCGGGTGGACGACGTCGACGGGCTGAAAGAGAAGTGGGGGCTGCACCCGGCGCAAGGCGACACGACGACCGTGCCGGAGCTGCAGACGCCGCCGGAGGACATGTGCAAGCTGTCGAACACGAACGCGTCGGAGATTTTGAACGCGAAGAGAGCGAGCGCGGCGACCGGGGTCGGGAACCAGTGGGCGCGAAGGGCCGCGGAGCGACGCGCGCAGTGCGCCGCGGGGTGCGCGTGTCTGAAACCGGGCGGCGCCGGCCCGTTCAAGCTCCCGCGACTGCAGTAGACGACGGATACGGATCAGACGTACAGTAGTAGACTAACGAGCACGTCGAACGCGATGGCGAGAGCCGCTATGGGGGTGGTGACTAACACAAAACGTCGCGGTCGCGCTCTACATCTTCGCGCGCGGGTTCGGTTTCTTCTCGCCCTTCCCCTTCCCCGACGACAGCCGCTCGATGACGTTTCCCATCGCCGTCTCGATCGCGGGCTCGTTTAACATCGCCCACCCCCCCCTCGCCTCCTCCGCGATGTACGCCTCCCACTCTTCGCTGAAAGCGCGCACGACGTTCGCTTTCGTCGCCGCGCGCGCGTCGTCGGGGAGCTTCAACAGCGTCGCGAGCGCGCGCTCCGCGGTCGGCAGGAGCGCGGCGTCGCTCGCGGCGAGCTCGTGTATCAGACCGATCCCTTTCGCCTCCGCGGGCGAGAGCAGCGCGCCGCGCAACAGCGCGAGCGTCGCGTCCGCGCGCGACGTGGCGCTCTCCACGAACAGCCTCGCCCAGAACTTCGGGACCGGGATCCCGAGCGCGACTTCGTTCAGCCCGAACGTCCCGTGCGTCGTCTGCGCTCTGTAGTCGCAGCATAAGGACACCGCGCATCCGCCCGCGGGGCACGCGCCTCGGATCGCGCACACGGTCGAGAGCGGCGAGCGCAGGAGCCGGCACAGGAACGTCGTCTGCGTCTTCCAGAATTCGGCGTACCTCGTCGCGGACGTCGACGGCGCGTGGAGCTCGTTGATGTCGTTCCCGGCGGTGAATATCGGCTTCCTGAGGTCGGACGCGAAGACGACGCCGCGTATCGTCGCGTCGTTCTCGAGGTAATCCAGCGTCGCGAGGAGCGATCGCCACAGCGTCAGCGTCATCGAGTTAACGGGCTCGGACGACAGCCACGCGATCGCGTATTCTTTGCCTTTGATGTTCACCCCGCCCGGGTTGGACCGGCGCTCGATTCGGATCCCCGGGGTCGCGGGGGGGGGCGACGGGGGAGGCATCGCGTCGCGCGTTGGTGAATGAAAGAAGTGTTTCGGTCGTGCTACTGTAACGCTCTACTGCTAGTGCTTAGTTACTCTGGTCTTTTACCTTCGAAGGTGACAACTCTGTTGACCGCGTTGCTGTGTTGGTAGGGCGCCAGCGCATCCGTCGCCTTCTCGTCCACCTTCGTCCGCGGCATGTTGTCCAGGTCGACTATCAACATCGGCAGCGTCTTGGGTTTGATCATGTTCAACTGCTCGTCCCCGAACATCCGCATCTGGTCACAGAATTTTTTCCCTCGCAGGAGCCGAGGGAAGAGGTAACCCTGCTTCGCGAATGCCCCCGAGAACGCCGGTTTCTGGGCGAAGAACGAATCCGGATCGTAGTACACGATCCCCGCGTTCACCAGGATGCCGTGGTTATCCGTCGCGGACATCGACACCCGGACCATCATCAGCGATTGGAGGAGGCCCTGGCTCGGATGCAGCGGCGAGTTCTCGTCGATTTCGTGCTTGATGGTCAGCGGCATCGCGGACGTCCACCTGGCCAGCGTGGGCACCGATATCGGCAGGGTCCACGACTTACCGCCACTCGCCACGAGGTTCATGGTGAACTGCAGGTTATACAGGGTAACCGTCGAGTGCCGTATGACCTGCATTCGAACGCTCAAGTCTCGGTCGGAGAGGCACGCGTCTGGCGCGAAGATGACTTGGCGCAAGGGTTTGAGCGCTCGGGCGACGATGACCGCGCCCGCGATGGAGAGCAGGAGCCAGTGGAACCAGCCCTGAATGGCGAGGATCGCCACCTCGATCCCGGACGAGGCTCTCCTACCCGTCCACCCGAAGATGGAGTCCGTGCTGAGCCTCACCGCGGTCAGGCTCAACATCATTTTGCTCCTGAACAGCTCAGCATTTGTCTGGTCATCCGTGAAGCTCTCGGCGATGTCCACCACGAACAGCAGCAACGCGAAGGATACGATCATGAACAGCTCCATCATCACCTCCAGCAGGAGGAACTTCGCGATGGAGAGGTCCACGGTGAGAAGGTGCCAGATGTCCTCTGCTAAAGAGATGCTGAGTGCAGACTCGTCGCCCTCCGCCGCGTTCGCGGCCCTCCACACCTTCTCCTCCACCTCGCTGAGCCTGGAATCGATGGTCTTCCTCTGCATGTCGACGAAGTGGGTCTCGCCTGTGAGACCCTTTTCTAAATCCATGAACCCGTCCCGGTCGACCTCCTGCCACGCTGACTCACTCCAGTCGACATACGACCTGTCCTGCGCATCGCGTTTGACGACGCCGGGGACCTTCAGCCTCTCGCCTTTTTTTAGGTTCTCGGGATGGCACGTGAAGTGTCCATTATCGTAGGGGAGGCCTAGGAAGGCGCGCAGCCGACGCGTGAAGGTGCTCAGCTGAGGCATGGCGACCCGTGCCGTCTTTGAATGACGGGGGAGGCGTCGCGTCGCGCGTTGGTGAATGATGAAAGAATGTTTCGGCTAACCTGTGCGAGGGCCCACGGTAGTTCGGGACTTGTCAACGAACGTCGGTCTCGGATTCGTCAAAACGGCGAAGGGTACTCAAAACGGCAAAGGGTACTTAACTCTAACTTTCCGGGGTCATTCCATGTCTGAACAACGACCAAAAACTAAGCGCCCGAGTAAAATCGGGATTGTGTATCCTTGGGTAAACAATACGAGACTGAATAGTCAGTCTCGGTGTTCCGTAGTATAGTGGTCAGTATCCCACGCTGTCACCGTGGAGACCCGGGTTCAATTCCCGGCGGAGCAGACACATCTTTTGCATTTTTGACCGATGGCTTGACCGCGGAATTTTTTCCGCTGCCGTTTTGCCAAAAGAGACCCTCGCTGCTTGGGCGCGCGCGTCCCGTCGCGCTCTGCCGCGGGAACGGACTCGCTGTCGCCAACACGGCGCGTTCGGTTTCATTTCCGCGCGGAGACGAGCGGCGTCGACGCGGCGCGCGCCGTGGGGACGTGCAGAGGGGATCGAGCACGAACCGATCGATCGCGCTTTTACCATTCGGCGAGGATAGCGAGAGAGCGAACGCGCGGCGGCGCCGTCGTCGAGCACGACTCTCGTCGTCGAGTCGTATAAACAAGCGTCGATCCTCTCCGCTAATAAGTAGAGGCATCTCGCGCAACTAGTACACCCACTCGCGTTTCTCCCGCCGACCGCGCCGCGGTCGCCTGCTCCCTAAAGAATCATCGTGTCCGTCGAAATCGCGACTCACGGCTTGACGACCTTGGTGACCAAGAACCGCGTCATCTGCTGACGGTGACCGTTCTTCCGACGGTAGTGCTTCTTGCGCCGGTACTTGAACACGATCAGTTTCTTATCCTTGAAGTTCTCGAGCACGGTCGCCTCCACTCGAGCCCCCTTCACGTACGGCGCGCCAAACGTCGGCGCGTCGCCGGAGAGCGTCGCGAGGACGCGCTCGAACGCAATCTTCGTCCCGGGCTCCACCCCCTTCAGGGAGTGGCACTCGTAGTACCTTCCCTCGGAGACGAACTGCTGGGACCCGCCGACCTCGACGATGGCGTCCCACGTGGGGGACGCGCCCGTGCTGGGGGGGGTCGCGAAGCCGATCTGGTTCACCGACGCGGTCTGGCCGATCGCGGACGCTGCGAGAGAGAGGCGGGCGCGGGGAGGGAGGGAGAAAAAGGTGTGGCGGTTTAGATAAGGGGCGCGAGGAATGATGCAGGGGGGGTGGGTGGGAGCGCGCGCGCGCGATGAAGACGGCGGGCGCCGGCGAAGCGTGCGAGGCGCGACGACGCGACGCGCGGAAGGTCGTCGTCGCTCGAGAGCGGGAGGACCAACCGCGCGTGCGCGCGCGCCTCGCGGCGACGCGCGGCGCGCGCGCCTCGCACGATTCCACCAGGGACGGCCACGCTTCAGGGTTTCAGGGTTTGGTGGGTTCGTTTGCGAATCCGCGCGCGGAATCGACGCCGACGACGGGTCCGCGACGCGAATCACGGGCGACTCGACGCACCTGAGATGCAGAGACCACCGCGGGACTGCTTGCGCGTCGCGGGGGCGCCGAGGGACATCGCGCAGAACGCGTCGCCCAGGGCCGCTTTCCCGGAAAGCGCGGAAGCGCCCATGAACGCAGGTTTCGCGGAGACGGGCGCCGCCGTCGAACGCGTCGCGCGCGCGGGCGCGACCGCGGAGAGAGTCGCCATCACGGCCGACATCGTTACGTTACACGCGACGTGCGTACGCGTGCGGGGTGCGAAGCAGGCTCGCGCTCGCGTTCGCTCGTAATGCCGCGTCGTCGGCGACGTCGACGCGTCAAGTTAGCCGGCGAAAAACTCTCATGCGAGAGCGATTCCATACTGTACAAAAAAAGTTCACCGGTCAGTTGAAAGGGGAAGCCATCAAATGTTGAAACCGGGAGATGGGTGAAAAACGTTTGTATAGAACGCGCCTGCCTGAGCGAAAAAGTTCACTTGCTGACAAAACTCGCTCCGAGGCAACTCTCACTCGTCGCCGCGCGCCCCCCTCTCGCGCGCCACGAGAGCACGCGTCATGACGGCCGCGGCCGTCGCGCCCGTCGCGCGCGCGACATCGCGCGCGCCCGCGCCTCCGCCTCGCGGTCCCTCTCGCGGCGCCGTCCGCGCGGGGGTCGCTCGCCGTCGCCGCCGCCTCCTCCGCGCGTCGGCGGTCCCGGAATCGTCGTCGTCGTCGTCGGACGGCGGCTTCGGCGCGGGCGTCGGCTCGAGCGCGACGACGTCGAACCCCCTGGACGACCACGTCCCCATCGACCGCTTCTACCCGGGCCTGCGTCAGCTCCACGCCTCCCCGGACGTCTTCGTCGTGGACGGGTTCCTCTCCGACGCCGAGTGCGACTCCATCGTCGCCGCCGCGAAGACGCGCGCGATGGACCAGTCGCCCGTCGTGTACGCGGGATGGACGAACGACGTCGGCGACGTCGTGAGCACCGTCGCGCGCGGGCCCGCGATATGGGGCGCGACGCTCGCGATGCTCGCGACGTCGTCGACGCGCGGCCCCGGAGGCGCGTCTCATCTCATCACACTGACTGGTCCCCATACGACCCCGTTCGCGTGGTGCTCGCCGTTTCTTAAGGACTTTCCACCCGGCGTTTCGATCCCCGCCTTCGACGCCTTTCAACTCCGCTTCTGACGCCTTTGAACTCCACCCCGACGTTCGCTCGTATGGACAATTACCCTCAGTCGGGACGCTGGGCGCGGGCGCGCTCGCGTACGCCGCGATCGTCGCCGCCGCCGCCGCGGGCGCGCGCAATCGCGTCGAGGCGAAGGAAAAAGAGCTCCAGGGCATGCGCACGAGCACGTCGTGCGTCCTCGACGGCGGCAGCGACGGCGAGCGCGCGTACGTGCGGAACGCCAAGGCGCTCATGTGCGGCTGCGACAGCGACACGTTCGAGGCGCCGACGGTGATTCGATACGAACCGGGGCAGCGACTCGCGCCGCACTTCGACGCCAACAGAGGCGCGGACGTCGAGGACGCGAACCGCGGCGGGCAGACGCTCGTGACGATGATCGCGTACTTGAACGACGCGGGCGACGGGGTGACGCGGTTCGGACGGTTGAACGGCGGCGGGGGTGGGGCGGGCGGCGGCGGCGGCGGTGGGTTGGAGGTGGCGCCGAAGAAGGGGTCGTGTTTGGTATTTTTCCCCGCGACGCGGTCGGGCGCGTTCGACGACCGCGTGGAGCACGAGGGCGCGGAGGCGGGGGAGGAGAAGTGGATCTGTCGGATATGGCGGCACGCGAACGAGGTGCGGCCGCCGTTCGGGCTTCCGAGGGGGTACCAGCCGTGAGGGTGCGGCGACGCGTAGCGAGCTGCTGACTTGTCGCGCGGTAAAGTAGCTGAGAGGAAGTTGGTTTTTGTTCATCCGATCTCGGATAAAGCGAGTGGACGACGACGCGGCGTCGGCGTCTGGGCCACTCCGCGCGCGCGCGTCCGCACGCGCTCGTCTCGATCACGATGTCCGCCGTCTGCGCCGCCGCGCCGCCCGCGCCGCCCGCGCGCCATCGCGCGCGCGCGTCCCGCGCGACTCGCGGCGCCGCGCCTCCCGCGCCCGCGCGTCGTCGTCGTCGTCATCGCGAGTGGACGACGACGTCCTCGACGTCGTCGTCGTCGTCGTCTGACCCGCGCTCGCTCGTCGTCGCCCGCGCGGAGTTCGCGCAGATCGACGCGGAGTCCGAGGACGCCCCCGGCGGCGTCGCGGAGGGCCGCTTCGGCCCGGACGCGATCCTCATGGTCGGCTTCACCGCGGAGGAGACGACGCGATGGCGCGCGGAGCTGGACGACATCGAGGCTGAGTTCGTGAAGCTCGTGACGTGCACGACCGCGATGGCGTCCGGCGCGCTCGGCGCCGCGCTGGAGGCGACGCAGGACGACCCCGCCGCGGTCGCGGCGTCGAGCGAGGCGTACGACGAGAACGGGCGGGTCATGATCTTCTCCGGGATGATCGGCGGCGAGGTCGTGGCGCTGGTGGACCTGTGGAGGGAGACCGGGTTGGACGACACGCTCTTCGCGTGCCTCGTGCCAAACAACGAAAACTCCGACGTCGCGGGGTTGGTGAGCGAGATCGCGGACGATCACCGGGAGATGCTCGCGAAGGTCGCCGCGGAGCGAGAGGGGAAGTGACCGAGGAGAGGAGGAGGACGCGCGCGGCGAGCGAGCGAGCGACAGCGCGTGTCTATTCGACGCGTCGGCGGCGCGTCACCAACGTTTCCCTCGTCCTCCGCGCCCGCGTCCGCCGCCCCTCCCGCCGCCCCTCCCGCCGCCTTTCCCGCCTTTCCCGCCTTTCCCCGCCTTGTACGTCGCCACCGGCGGTCGGTCCTTGTAATACCCCAACCCTCGCGGCCCTCTCTTGAACGCGTACCCTCGCTTCGCGCCCGCGAACTTTTTCGACGGCGCGAACTCCGCCTCCTCGCGCGGGATCGAAAACACGCTGCTCTTCTTCGTCGGCGCCGCCGCCGGCGTCTTCGCGGACGTCGACTTGGGCGCGTTCGCGTCGACGTAGTACCCCACGCCGTCGGGCCCTCGCTTGAAGTAGTACCCGGGCTTGGCGCCGGCGAACTTCTTGGAAGGGATGAACGCCGCCGCCGCCGCCGCCGCGGGCGCCGCCGCCGCGGGCGCCGCCGCGGGCGCGGGCGCGGCTTTCGTCTTCTTCGCCGTTTTCGCCGCGTCCTCGGGGCGCTCCTGGAGCTCGCGCGCGCGCTTCTTCTCGCTCGCTTTCTTCGGCGGCGGCGGCGCGGGCTCGGACTCGGACTCGGACTCGGACTCGGACTCGGACTCGGACTCTTCGTCCAACTCCGCGTCGTCGTCCTCCGACTCGTCCTCGGACTCGTCCGTCGCCGTCTCCATCTCTTCCTCGGACTCGGACTCGGACTCGGACTCTTCCTCGGACTCGGACTCGTCGTCCCCCTCCTCGTCGTCCTCCTCCTCGACCGGCGGCGGCGCGTCCGCCCCCGCCGCGATCGCCGCGCCGACCTTCGCCAGCGCCTCCAAGTTTGGATCCACGAAGTGCCCCCCTTTCCTCAGCAACTTCACGAGGTCCGGCGCCGTCGGCGCCATGTTCCGCGTGAAGAAAGTCAACGCCGCGCCGCGACGCCCCGCCCGCCCCGCCCTGCCGACTCTGTGCGCGTACTGCTCCACGCTGCCGGGCATGTCCCAGTTCACGACGTGTTCCAGACCGGTGATGTCCAGGCCTCGCCCGGCGACGTCCGTCGCGACGAGCACGGGGCACTTCCCGCTCTTGAAGTCCCCGAGCGCGAGCTCGCGCTTCTCTTGCTTCATCTCCCCGTGGAGCGTGCCGGTTTTCTCGCCGTGGCGTCTGAGCATGTCCCCGACGAAGTTCACCGTCTTGATTCGGTTCGCGAACACCAAGACGCGCGACCGGCTCCGCCCGTCGTTCTTCCGCAGCTCCGTGATGTGCTTCAGGAGCTTCCTGCCCTTCTTGTGCTCCGCGCACACGTGCACGGTCTGGTCCACGTTGGAGACACCGCGCGCGCCGCCGTCGCCGTCGCCGGCTTTGCCCCCCGCGGCGACCGCGACGGTCGCCTCGTTCGATCGCTTCCCGCCCTTCTCCGACGCGTCCGCGGCTTCGATCTTCACGATCGCGGGTCTAGGCGCGAGCCACGCCTTCGCGACCGCGCGCACGGTCTTCGGGAACGTCGCGCTGAACAGCAGCGTCTGCCGTCCCGGCCTCGACCCGAGCCCGGCGGCGGCTCTCTTCCCGTCGTCGCCCGCCGCCGGCGCCGCGCCGTCGCGTTCGTTCGCCGGCAGCCCCGACCCGCGGAGCTTCTCGAGCTGCTCCGCGAACCCCAGCGCGAGCATGCGGTCCGCCTCGTCCAGCACGAGCAAACGCGCGCGCTCCAACCCCAGCGCGCCGCTCTCCGTCGTCGCGAGCAACCTAATGTCGGGGTGGAGTTGAAAGGCGTCAGAAGCGGAGTTGAAAGGCTTCGCGGTCGGGGATTGAAAGCGAGGGGTGGGCGGAGAGAGACGACGGCAAAAGTTCTTAAGAAATGGCGTTCACCACGCCAACGCGGTCGTATGGGGACCAGTGTACAGAACGCACCTCCCCGGGGTCCCCACGACGAGCAACGCCAACGACGACGGCTGCGCGAGCTCCTCCTCTTGCTCCGCCTGGCTCGCGCCGCCGTAGACGGCGACGCAACGCACCGGCGCCGCGCGTTTCAGTTTCCGACACACCGTCGCGACTTGCATCGCGAGCTCGCGCGTCGGCGTGATCACGAGCGCGGACGGTCGCCCGCGCGGGTCTCTCTTCGCGCGGGGGAAATCGCGCGCGTCGCGCAACGCGAACTCGACGGCGGGGAGTAAGTACGCCAGCGTCTTTCCCGAGCCCGGCGGCGCGATCCCAAGGACGTCTCTCCCCTCGCAGCACGGCGGCCAGCACTCGCGCTGGATCGGCGTCGTGCCTCGGTTGTGTCCGAGCGTTTTGAGCGCGTCGGCGAAGTAGTCCGGCACCGCCGCGGCGTCGTCGGCGTCGGCGTCGGCGTCGGCGTCGGATCGCGATTCGTCGTCGTCGGACTCGGAGACGTCCGAGCCGCCGCCGCCTCCGCCGCCGCCGCCGCCGCTCGCGCCCGGGCTCTTGATCTTCGACAGCGGCTTCGCGGCGCCGCGCATCTTCTTCGCGGCCATCTTCTCTCTCAGCGCCCTCGCCGCTCTCTTCAGCTTCTCCTGCTTTTTCCGCTCGCGTCGCTCCTCGGCGGCGCGGACGTCGTCCTGCTCGCGCAGCTTCGGCGGCAGCGGCGGGTCCTTCGCGCACATCCCGCGCTGCTTCCTCGGCACGGTCTTCCCGCCGCGGATGCGCTTCCCGTCCTCGGTCTTCCGCGACATCCGCTTGCTGTTCTTCCTCCCCTGCTTCCGCTCCTTGAAGTCGACCGTCATCGCGCCGGGCGGCGTCGAGTCGAGTCGATCGTCAGCTCCGACGTGCGTCGGCGGCGGTGTCGATCGTGCCGACGGCGGCGGCCGCGCGCGCGGAGAAGGCGGACGACCGCGCGCGAGTGCCGGGACGCGCGCGGCGCGTCGACCGTCGTCGGTTCGAGCGCGGTTCGCCGAGTCGACGACGCGCGCGGGTCGCGCGCGGGGACGGCGTAGGGCGCGCGGCGGCGTGTGACGGCCGCGCGTCGCTGTCGGAGCCATTTCGTTCGTCGCGTCGCGTCGTCGCGTGCTGCGCTCGGAAAAAGTCGTTGTCACCGCTCGTCGGATTTGAACAGTCTGTCGCCCGACTCCTTCACTTCGACGCGCGCGCGAGGCGAGGACGCGCGCTCGAGCGCTCCGCCGCGCGCATGACCACCCCGGAGACGTCCGTCGCCGAGCGGTAGCGGCGAGTATCGCGCTCGGGGACGCGGCGTTCGCACGTCGACGCCGCGCCATCTGAGACCATCACGAGACAGCTAGATGAGCGACTACCGGCGATGGCAGCGCCCCGAGCCGCCGTCCGCGCCCGTCGCGCCCGCGCCGACGCGACGGGAGGAACCGCGCGACGACGGAGCGCCGGCGGAGCGTTTCCCCGCGTACTTGCCGTACGTCCACGTCGCGAGCCCGCGGTCGCGGCGGCGCGAGGAGAACCGCCCGCCGCGCGCCGCGGACGACGACGACGCGCGCGCGGAGACGATGCGCCTCGCGGTGCGCGCTCGGAAGGAGCGCATGATGCGCGTCGCGCGCGAAGACCAGCGGCGGTCGACGTATCGCGCGCTCACGACGCGCGCGCCGCTGTCGGACCTCACGTACATGGCGCCGCCGAATCCGCCGTCGCGCGCGGTCGCGGACGACCTCGCCGCGGTCGCGACGACGGCGGCGGCGGCGGCGGCGGCGGGCGTCGAGCGCGCGCGATTCGCGGCGGCGGCGACGAGCGCGAGCGCGAGGTACGACGCGCTCGGTCTGTCCGACACGAGCCTGGCGCGGGTCGCGAGGGCGTGGGACGAGCGACGCGCCGCGGAGGAGGAAGCGACCGACGACGCGGCGAGGAGGACGCGCGAGGAGGAAGCGAGCGGCGGGGCGAGAGACGACGAGACCGCGACCGCCGCCGCGACGCGGGACCCTCGCGCCGCCGATGACGCCGACGCCGAAGCCGCCGCCGCGGCGAAAGCCGACGCGCCGTCGTCGCTCGTCGAAGACACCGCGCGCGATTTCGAGCTCGAGGTGGAGATGCGCGCGATGCCGTACGACCGACGCATGGGCCCCGGCCACGGCGCCGTCGCGCGAGAATTTGAGCGACGGCGACTGCGACGCGAACGCGACGCCGCCGCGACGCGGTGCGAGCTGTGCGACGCGCGCGAGCCGCACGGCGCGGCGCGTTGCGCGTTCACGCTCGGTCTCGTGCGCGGCGCCGGCGGCGAGCGCGCGGGCGGGACGTCGCTCGCGAGGAAGCTTCACGACGCGCGAGGCGACGCGATTTCGGAAATTTGGTCGAGAGCGGACGAGGACTGCGGCTTTCGCTCGAGAGAGGCGCTGACGTCGCTGAAACTGGACGGCAAAGGGATCGATATCGTCCCACGCTTCGGCGAGGCGGGCGCGCTGCCGAACATCGCGGAGCTGTCCATGTGCAAGAATTCGATCAAGCGGCTGCCCGCGAAGCTCGACCGGTTTTTACCCAACCTCGCGCGTCTTCGCGTCTCGAGAAACGCGCTCGAGGGCGCGTTGTCCGACGCCGTGGGGCGCCTGACGAAGCTCACGACGCTCGAGCTCGACGGGAACGATCTCACGGCTTTGCCGAGAGACCTCTCCGGCCTTGTCTCGCTCGTGGAGCTGAACGTGTCCAAGAACAAGCTGAGCGCGTTTCCGCCGTCCATCGGAAAGTGCGCGTCGCTTCGCGTCGTCAACGCCAACGACAACGCGTTGACGTCGCTCCCGTCCGAGTTTTTCACCGGGTGCGTCGCGCTCGAGGAGTTCTGGTGCCGCGGCAACCGCCTGGAAGCCCTCCCGGACGCGCTCGCGGACGCCGCCGCGCTGAGAAAGCTCGACGTCGGCGCGAACGCGCTCGCGTCGTTCCCCGACGTCGCGATGCTTCAGGTGCGTTCTATACAAACGTTTTTCACCCACCGCTCGGTTTCAACATTTGATCGCGTGGGTCCCTTTCAACTGACCGGTGATTTTTTTTTGTATGGAATGGCCCTCAGCGCTTGGAGGCGCTGTGGGCTTCGAACAACGCGCTGACGGCGCCGCCGCCGGGTCTCCCCGGGTGCGTCTCTCTTCGGCTGCTGTGCCTGGACGGGAACCGAATGCGGACGTTCGGGACCGCCGCGCACGGGATCGACCTGTGCGAGTCCCTGCGCGCGATATCCGCGCGCGATAACGGGATGCGAACGCTCGGGAGGGAGATGTGCCGATCCGACGAGCTCGCGGGTTCGCTCAAAGAGCTGGACCTGCGAGGGAACGAACTGAGGAGGCTGCCCGCGGCGGTCGGGCGGCTTCGCGCGCTGTTTTCGTGCCGCGTGTTCGACGAGCGCGACGCGAGACGGGGAGGGAGGGAGCGCGGCGCGCGCGACGGCGTCGGAGGACGGTTCCCGTCGCCGTCTCGCATCGCGCGAACGCGCGACGACGACGACGGCGACGGCGGCGGCGGCGACTACCTCGCCGCGGACGCGCGCCGTCTGTTCGAGACGTTGTCCCTCCCCGACGCGCTGGACTACCTCGAGCAGCTCGACGTCGAGCTCGAGGAGTGCCGCGACTGGGCCCCCGGCGCGCGAGAGCGCCCGCTCGCGGACGGAGGCGCGAGACGCCGCCGCGCGAGTTTCGGCGACGTCTCGGAGCTCGCCTCGGCCGCCGCCGCGACCGCCGCGGCATCGCTCGCGAAACGCCGCGGCGCGTCCGCGTCCGCGTCCGCGTCCGCGAAGACGAAGATATTCGGACCCGCGGTCGTCCCGCGCGGCCCGAAGCCGACGACGCGGGACGTGCGAAAGGGAGAAGAGCTCGCCCGCGCGATGGAGACGCTGCGACGCGCGCCGATATTTGACGCGTTGGACGACGGCGAGATTTCCCTCCTCGTGAACAACGGGTTCGCGACGCGCGCGTACGCCCCCGGCGCCGCGATCGAGTCGTCCTGGGGCGACGAGCGCGACGACGACGGCGGCGTCGTCGACTGGAGGGACGCGTGCCGGATGCTCATCGTCACGCGAGGCACCGTGGAGGTGTCGCCGCGTCGCGACGCGTCGCGACGAAAAGGCGGCGGCTCGCGGTCGCTCGCTGCGCGCGTTCGCCGCGCCGGCGACGTCGCCGCGCACGGCGTCTCCTGCGGCGGCGACGCGCGAGAGACGCGCTTCGCGCGCGTCGGCGGCGCGGTCGGCGCGATGTCGATGCTCACCGGTGCGCCCGAGCCCGCGGACCGCAGAGCGGGCTCGGGGGAGCCCCTTGAGGTTGTGGTCCTCACCGCGCGCGCGATGGACTTCGCGCTCGTAAACTCGAGACGCGCGCGGGACGTCGTCGCGCGCGCGATATCGCTCGCGAAGCTCGTGGACGCGTCCGCGTCCGCGGACGTCGACGCGGTCGTCCGGTCGATCGGCGAACGCGCGGTCGCGCGCGTGACGGCGCGGCTGGCGGCGTCCATGGACGCGCATTTCGGTCGCCGCGCGACCGCCGCCGGTATCGGCGATTCATCAGTCGCGGCGCATCGCGACGGCGCGACGTTGTGGGCGCTCGCGCGGACGATCATCGCGTGCGATCGATGGGCGCGCGCGCTGTCGCGCGTGGACGTGTTTCGGTCGTTGACGTTCGCGGAGCGGCGCGTCGCGCTGCGCGCGGGCCGACCGACCGTGAAGCGCTACGTCCTCGGCCGGAGGGTGTACGCCGAGGGCGACGCCGCGCGCGGCGGCGGCGGCGACGACGACGACGACGACGCGTCGTCGTGTCTCTTCGTTCTCCTCTCCGGGTCGCTCAGCGTGTACGCGGACACCGCGCCGACGCCGCCACTGGACGTCGTGAACCGCGCGCGCCGCGACGTGCTCCTCGAGTCGTCGCGGCTGTCGTACGCGGGCGGGAAGACCACGCTCGGGTCGCGGTCGAAGGCGCCGTCGCCGCGCGCGCCCGCGGCGCCGGCGAGGGTAAAGATCGGGACGATATCCCCCGGCGGCGTGTTCGGCGAGGAGACCGCGCTCGCGGGGAAACCTCGCGCGTACACCGTCGTGTGCGCGGAAGAGGACGCGACCGCGCTCGCGATCCCGTCGCGCGCGTTCGTCGAGGTCGTGCGGGCGCGTCCGTCGCTCGCGGACGTCTTCGCGAGGTTGACGGCGTGGCGCCGAGCGGAGGTCGAGGCGGAGGCGACGGCGGCGGCGGCGGCGGCGGCGGCCGCCGCGGAGGGCGGCGCGGCGCGGAAGAGGGTGAGCGTGACGGTGACGCCGCCGTCCGTGGCGGAGATCGTCGCCTTGGGCGATCGCGTCGCCGCGTTCGCGGGGTTGCGCGGGTGAGCGTCGCGCGCGCCGGCGCCCGTCCGCCGTTGGACTGCTAGGTAGATTTTATCATAGACGAAGCGCGATTCGATACACGTGGTGTAGACTGTCACTGACAAGCGCAGAAGCACATTCGCGCGCTGACGCGCTCGCTTCCTTCACTTCCCGAACCCGCCGCCGCCGACGCCGCCGCCGACACCTCCGCCGATCCCGCCGACGCCCGCGGCGCCGATCCCGCCGCCGAGGCCGACGTCCGCGCCGACGCCCGCGCCGACGCCGCCGACGCCGCCGCCGACGCCGAACCCGGCGCCGACGAGGTCTTCCGGGGTCCCGATTCCGCCGTTCACGGCCGATCCGGGGACGACGCCGCCGCCGCCGCCGCCGCCGCTGGGGTCGATGAATCGATCGCCGTCGATCGACTCGGCTTCGAGGGCGGCGGCGTCCGCGTCGACGGCGGCCTGGTCGCCGCCGCCGCCGCCGCCGCCGCCGGCGGCGACGTCGACGCTCGCGACGCCGGAGACGGACAGACCGGTGTACCCGCTCTTCTGCGCGGTGAACTCGCCGACGACGGCGCCGTCGTTCGCGGTGAAGTCGAGCGCGCGCGGGCGCCAGGGCAGCCACGACGACAGCGACGCGGGGTCGTACGGAAGGAACCCGAAGACGGGGTACACGCCGGGGACTTCGATAAGGAGCGACCGCGACCGTCGCGCGAGGGGGGAGACGCCGTCGCGGCGCGTCGGGGCCGTCGCGACGGTGCCGACGGCGACGAGGAGCGCGCACGCGGCGAGGAAGAGCGTCGTCTTCTGTTTCGCGCGCATAGTCGACGTCGTCGTGCGGGGCGCGCGCGCGTGTGCGTGGCGCGAGCGCGGACCGCGCGCGCGTCGCCTCTTCAGACGTTTCGTCCGAGGCTCGTTTTTATTTCAAACTGAACGAGCGTCAGGTGTCGGGTCTGGGACGAGCCGACGCGCACACGACCTCGCGCGCGCCGCGACGATGCCCTCGTGGGAACGACGCCCGCGACCGCGCGAGGCCGCGCCTCTCCGCGCGTGGAACGGCGTCGACGCCGTCGCGCGCGTCGCGACCGCGCGCGACGAGACCGGGGAGAACGCCGCGCGCGCGCGGCGTCCGAATCTCAACCCGCCGGCGGACGGCGCGGGAATCGTCTCGTGCGCGCACTGTTACAAGCGATACAAGACCGTCGAGCTCCTGCGCGAGCACGAGCGCGATGCGGGGCACTCGCGCCACGACCCGCGATGCGGCGAGTGCGGGAAGCACTTCGCGTGCGTCGACACGCTGCGCCAGCACCTGGGCCTGACCACGGGGCCGAGCGCGGCGAGATGTAAATCCGCGTTCGAAGCGCGCGGCGGGTGCGCGCGGTGCGTGTTCATCCCCCCGTCGTCCCCCGCGACGACCGACGAAGCCGACGCCGACGCGGCGTCCGCGTCCGCGCGCCGCGAGCGCCACAGGTGCCCGTTCGACGTCGCGGCGGCGCCGGCGCGAGGACGCCGCCGCGCGGTCGCCGTCGACTGCGAGATGGTCGGCGACGACGTCGACGGCGGCGGCGCCATGTGCGCGCGCGTCTGCGTCGTGGACGAGCGCGGCACCGCGCTCCTGTCCACGCACGTCGCGCCGACGAGGCCGGTGACGGACTACCGGACGGAGCTGACGGGGGTGACGGAGGAGAGCTTGCGCGGGGCGCCGTCGTTCGAGGACGTCCGCGCGCGGGTGTTGGCGTTAATCCGCGGCGGCGGAGGAGGAGGAGAGGTAACGCCACACGACCACGCGTTTCTCGTCGGGCACGACCTCGCGCACGACCTCGAGTGCTTAGACATCGCGCGCGAGATCCCGCGCGCGATGCTTAGGGACACCGCGACGTACGCGCCGTTCAAGAGGCACACGCATCGGCCGTACAAGCTGCGGACGCTCGCGGAGGCGTTTCTCGGGTTGCACATTCAAACCGACGGCGTCGCGCACGACCCGAGGGAGGACGCGCACGCGGCGATGCGGCTGTATCTGGGCGCGAGGGATTCGTGCGAGGTGCATCACCCCGACGTCGACGCGCGCGAGGCGGCGGCGGCGGGGACGGGGGAGGAGCGCGGCGCGGACGGCGCGTGCGGCGCGCCGAGGTTTCGGTGCTGGTGCGGCGACAAGGTTGGGGCGGAGACGACGGACGCGGACGGGGACGCGCCGCGGCGGGGCGCGTCCGCGTCGACGTCGACGACGCCGACGAAAGCGGGGAAGAGTCGAGCGAAAGGACTCGCGCCGAGCCCGGTGGCGGTGCTCAAGGACGCGACGAACGTTCAGTCGCCGAGCGCGAAGTGACGACGCGGCTTGTAGAGTATCTCATATCTTATAGCTCGACGACGACGCATCTTAGTCTAAGTAAGGCTCGACGACGCTTCACAACAGCGGAAGCGATTCCGCGGGCTCGAGCGCCGCCTCGCGCCCGCGCCGACGCCGCGCCGTCGCGACGAGCGCCGCCGCGGCGCCGACGGCGGCGATGCAGCACGCGAGAACGGCGCCGTCGCCGCCGCGCGCGTCCTCCGTCGCCCCCAACGACGCCGACGAATCCGACGGCGGCGGCGGCGGCGAGCGAACGTACACGTGATTCTGATTCTTCTTCAGATCCTCCAACGGGCAGGTCTCCCAGCACGTCCCCCACACGTACGAGTGCACGATCGACGTGAGGTTCCCGTCGCCGTCGTACAACGTCTGCGGCGTGGGTCCCTTGTACTCTCGCGCGACGTGCGAGCCGTCCTTCGTCGTCGAGACGCAGTCCGACGCGTCGAGCGGAGAGACGTCCTTGTCCATCGCGAGCGAGTCGTGGTCGAACGGGTCGTCCTCCCCCACTTGCATTTTCTCGCCAATCATCGCCGCCTCGGATCGGAATTTCTTGAAGTTTTTCGCGGGCTCGCACCTCGCCTGGCCCGTCGGGAGCGTGCCGTGCCCTTCGCAGTTCGACTCGGGTTTGCACAGGCCCTGGGACTCCGCTTCGGGGTAACAGTTCGTGTCCACCTCCAGGGTGAACCCGAACAGCATGCCAGCCTTGAGCCCCGGGACGCACGCGTTCCAGTTCGTGTTCCCGCGCTCGTCCAAGGTGTCGTTCTTCGTCATCTTGACCGCGTCCCCTTCCGGCTTCGAGGCCGGCTTGGCCATTCCGGTGTAGTCGAAAACTTTGATCAGCGGCGATCGGATCTGCCAGCCCTTCTCCGCGAAATCGCCGACGACGTACGCGTTCTTGATCTCGGGCGCGGTGCCTAAGAATGTCCCGGTCCAGTGCACCCCGGGGTTGCACGTGTAGTGGTCGTCCTTCGTTCGGATCCCCGTCCACAGCGTGAAGTTTTGATACCCGGGCGGGCACACGAATCCGACGTAGCCGTCCGTGCGCGGGGTCCCGACGACCGCGGGTTCGCCCGCGACGCCGCGCGCGACGAGCGCGAGCGCGACGACGAGCGCGAGCGCGCGGGAGAGAGCGCGCGACATCGTCGAACCGGCGCGGTGGAGCGCGCGGACGATGCGCCCGTTAGGAGTGAATCGGGGCGTGCTGTGTAACACCACCTGACGCGCACTGCACGCGGAAAGAAAAAGTTGAACACTCTCCGCGCGCCCCGGTCAAGTCGATCGAGCTTCGGTTTCAGCATCCCATGTTTTCAACCCGTGAACCCGTTCGTCTCACCCCGGCTCCCGCCTACGAACTCTCGGCAGCCTCGAGCGCCCGAACGGTCTCCTCCCCGCCGCGACCGTCCGCGCGCACACGACGCACGCGCGCGCGCGCGTCGACGCGATGCGTCCCCGCGCTCCCCCGCCGCTCCCCCGCGCGCGTCTCCTCGCGCTCCTCCTCGCGCTCCTCCTCGCGCCCGCGCGCGCGTCCGCGCGCGGGTGGCGCCCCTCCGCCGCGAACGCGTTCGGCTTTCTCGTCCCGGAGCCCCCCGGCGGGCGAGGGTGCGGACGCCTTAACTACGCGAACTGCTTCCCGAGGGCGACCGCGACCGCGCGGCGTTGGAGCGCGACGCTCGACGCGGCGTACGACGCGCGCTCGGGAACGACGACGACGCGTGTGGGCGCGGAGAAGGACGACGACGACGACGACGACGACGACGCGCCCAGAGTAGTCAAGACGCTCCACGGGGACGTCTTCGCGGACGCGTCCGCGGCGCTCGTCCCGGACGTGGACGAGTATCTGTACTCCCTCGACGCGCTGAGCGACGCCGCGAGGTCGATCGCGGACGACGTCGTCCGCGGCCTCGCGCGCGAGGCGGAGGCGAAAGCCGCGGCGGCGGCGCTCGCGGCGACGGCGGCGCGAGACGCCGCGCGAGCGACGCTGCTCGGAGGACACGAGCGCTGACGGAGGAAGGGGGGCGCGCGCGATGATGATAAGGTTATGCGAGAGGAGTTACGTCACGTGTTACACGCCGCGACCTCTCCGCGACGCGCTCGCTACCTAGCTATCTACCAGACGGGACCAGACGCGCGCTCGCGCCGAAACTTCTTCTTCTTCTTCCGTCTTTCTTTCTCTCGCCGCTCGCTCACTCGCGCTCGCCGCAGTCGATGATCTCGATCTGCGCCTTCGGCGTCCCGTCCTGGCTCCCCTTCGCCTCCATCGCGCGGACGACGTCCTCGCCGCTCGTGACCTCCCCGAAGACGACGTGCCGCATGTCCAGATGCGGCGTCGGCGCCGTGGTGATGAAAAACTGCGACCCGTTCGTGTCCGGGCCGGCGTTTGCCATCGAGAGCAAAAACGGACGGTCGTGCGCGATCCCGAACGCTTCGTCTTCAAACTTCTCGCCGTAGATGGACTCCCCGCCCGTGCCGTTCGCCTTCGTGAAGTCCCCGCCCTGGCACATGAAGCCCGGGATGACGCGGTGGAAGCACGACCCTTTGAAGTGCAGCGGTTTACCCTCCGCGCCGTCGCCTTTTTCACCCGTGCACAGCGCGCGGAAATTCTCCGTCGTCTTCGGGACGTGGTTTCCGTACAGCCCCATCTCGACGACGCCCTCGCGCTCGCCGTTGATCGCGATCTCGAAGAATACGCACTTCGTGATCGTCGTGTCACCGGGCGGGGGCAGGTCCGACGCGAGGACGTGCTCCCACGGCTGATACGCGTCCTCTCTCTCGAGAACGACGACGATCAGGTCGTCGTCCTCGCGCTCCCAGTAGCATCCGTCGACGTCGACCGTCCCCGGGAGGTCGCCGCTCAGCGCGGGCGGGGACGCGCCCGCGAACGTCACCGTCAGCCTGTCGCGGTAGAACTTCACGTCGATGTCCTCGCGCGTCGTCCCGGGCGGCAGCGGGATCGTGAGCTTCACGTCCGTGGACTGCGGCGCCGCGGTCCATCGCGCGCCGGGCGGGGCGTCGGGGGACGCCTCGAGGAGCGCGCGCGGGGCGACGACGCGGCGCGCGCGCGCGGGTCTCGGTCGCGCGGCGGTGCGCGATGAAGAGGACGGGAACGACGCGCGGGCGGAGGTGGAGAACGCGGGCGCGGCGGCGAGCGCGCGGGCGGTCATGACGCGCGACGAGCGCGCGCGCGCGAGTGCCGATTGGAAGGCCGTCGAAGGCGAGATTTTTGTCGCTGGCAGAGAGCTCCAGTGAGCGTGTCGGACGCTGCCCGACCCGCAAAAATACCCGCGTCGTGCTCGTGATACGGTCCCCGCGGGCCGCGGCGCTTGCGCATCTCAGGACCGAATCGCAGTGAGCATTTAGTCTGCATTATTTTGTCGTACGCTGGGTGAGAACGGTTTCGCGGGGGCGATTTTTTGTCGTCTGGGCTCCTGGAAGGGGCGCATAATCCTGGCCGCGCGCGATCAGAGACGCGCGCGCGAGGAAGCGACGCCGTCGACGCGGACGCGAGCGATGATACCGTCCGCGGGTATCCTCCCGCGCTTCCGCGCGCGGGTGGCTCGGAACGCGCGCGACGCGCGCGGTCCGTCAGAGTGGACGACGGCGGCGAACGGGAAAAACGTGGTGGGGGACGATAAATCCCCATGTCGTACGCCGCGTCTGACGTCGCCGCGCGCGCGCTTCCTCCTCGCGTGCGCGCTGACGATCGCCGCGGTGGTACTCGACGCCGCGTTCTCGCGCGATACGCGCGACCGCGCGACGACGACGACGACGACGGCGGCGTCCTTCGCGGACGTCGCGGGCGATGTGGTTCGAGTGGGGGACGTTCTTGATCAAAACCAAACGATGACGATTTCATCACCTTCACGCGATTACGGCGGCGTGGACGAGCGCGGTATCGGGGCGTACCACGGGTTGACAACTGCGCAGCACTTCCGAAGGCGGCTGCAGTCGGTGACTACTTGGGGGCAAGTAGGAAGCGACATCGAAAGTACTTATTCGGACGGCTTCGGGATGTCCGTGTCCTTGTCTCACGACGGCACGCGCATGGCCGTCGGTGTGCCGAACAGCATCCTGTATAATAGCGATTCAACCGGCGAGGGCTCCGTGCGCATGTTCGAAATGAGCTCTGGAACGTGGACGCAGCTAGGTAACACACTGAGCAGCGCGGTCAACTACGAGAACTTTGGAAGCTCGGTGTCGATGTCCGGGGACGGCACACGCGTCGTGATCGGCGCGCCGCAATATGACCCCGCCCCTATCGGTGCCACCTCCGGTCACGGTGGCAGCGCCATCCAATACGACGGCCGCGTTCGCGTGTATGAATACGCTGCGGGAGCGTGGACACTAATGAATGGGGGCGATATCGCAGCTCCGGCGTCGACAGCTTATTTCGGGGACAGAGTGGTGATTTCCGGCGATGGCGCGACGATAGCAACCACAAGTCGACAACCTTCGTGTTCCGTGCTGATCTACCGGTATAGCTCGGGGGCTTGGTCGCAGATAGGCAGTACTTTCACCACTTCCTCTACATCTATGGATTGCAGTACAAGTTCCTTTGGTTATGAAAGCCGGTTTGGTTTGGCGCTCTCCAACGACGGCAGTGTTTTCGCTTTCGGCGAGGGATTCTACTCCTATCACACGGGCAGAGTGACCTTGCACACGTACAGTTCCGCGTCCGGATGGACGCAACGGGGCGCTGCACTTTCTATGTCGGGATTTGGCAACATTTTTTTCGGGACAACGGTCTCTTTATCGAGCGATGGGTCCCGCTTGGCTATAGGCGTTCCGGGATACGACGGCTCCGGCTCCGGCTCCAGCTCGGACGACCGTGGTCACGTTGTCGTGTACGATTTCAACTTTGGAACCGACGCGTGGACAATCGTGGGGGCGGGGATCGACGGCACGAGTCAATGGGAAAGGTTTGGTAACTCCCTGGCCCTCTCTGGCGATGGCACCCTTTTGATTGTTGGTTCGCCCCATAACTTTAACTCTGCTATCGGGTCAACTGACGGGAGAGTGCGGGTGTACCAGTACACCTCTGGATCGTGGTATCTCACGGCCGGGAATCCTTTCTCGGGAAAGTCGTATTCATATGAACATTTCGGAGCATCCGTGGACATGTCCCTCGACGGCCTGACAGTGGCTATCGGTGCACCTGGTGGCGCCGTCGTAGGTGGGACTGGAGTCCAAGACGCATTTGTCCGCGTGCTCAAGCTCGGGTGCCCCGCGAACGAACGCGTGCAGTCTGGTGCGTGCGTCGCGTGTGCGGCGGGGACGACCAACGTCGCGGGCGACGACCCCACGGACACGGTCACGGGGGACACGCAGTGCGACATCACGTACTGCCCCGCGAACACACGAGTGGCCGCGAATACGTGCTATGAATGCCCGAATAACCAGGTCAACGCCGCGGGAGACGACGCGTCGCTAGCAGACACGACGTGCGACGCCGTGTCCGGGGCTTGGACGCAACTGGGCAACGACATGAACGGCGACGTGGGCGGGGACTTTTCGGGGACCTCGATAGCCATGTCGGACGACGGTACCCGCGTGATCGTCGGCGCGCCGGACAACAGAGGCGCCTCGGCGAGTCCGCAAGGCCACGCGAAGGTGTACGAGTACAGCTCTGGGTCGTGGTGGCAGCTTGGGCTCGACATCGACGTTCTCATTGATGCGCAGAATACGGGAGAAAAGGCCGGGTATGCGGTATCCATGAGCGGCGATGGCACGACCGTGGCGATTGCATCACCCGACTTTTATTGTTCTTCTGGCTGTAGCGTTGCAGGTTACACTTACGGATATTCCGAATATATTGGACTCGTGCGCGTGTACACGTACAGCTCCGGCTCGTGGACGCTGACGTGCTCGTTTGGAACGGATGTGACAGTAGAATACGGACGCAAATCGTCTTTGGCGATGTCTTCTGATGGCACGATAATAGCTCATGGACACTGGCAAGATTCAACCACTGGGACTCGTGGTCGCGTGGACGTGTACAGGTGCAACAGCGGGGTGGCGACTAAAATTTCCACTTCCAATTCGGGTGGTTCTGCTATTGATGCGTTCGATGACACATACCCGTCTACTGGATATTCGAGGATGGGGACGTCGGTGTCTCTATCTAGTGACGGCACGGTCCTCGCGATCGGTAGTCCGTACGCTTCTTATTATAACGCTTACACTGGGATTACTGCGAGAACTGGTATAGTGAGAGTTTATAAGTATGCGTGGGACTCTAGTGCTTCTCCCGCCGGTTATAGATGGAGTCAACAAGAAACACCTGACAGCAATAACGCGCTGCCTAATAATATTTTTACGGGCGATTCTGGCGGTGACTTGTTCGGGCAATCGGTAAGCTTATCTGGCGACGGCACTCGTTTGGTCATCGGCGCGCCTGGGAACGTTGCGGGTTACGTCTCGATGTACTACTACTCGATTGGCGGTGGTGGATACGACTATTGGATTAAGCATTACACCGCCAACGGGGATAATATTGGAGACCAATCCGGGTACTCGGTCGCGATGTCCCGTGATGGCACCCGCGTAGCCGTCGGAGCGCGTTACGACGACGGCGGCGCCACAGACGCGGGGCAAGTGAAAGTGTACCAACTTGGTCTCGGCGTTACTCCCTGGTGGCAAGTGCTCTCGGGGATCGACGGCCTCGGATCGAACGACCAATCCGGAACCTCGGTGTCTATGTCGAGCGACGGATCACGGGTCGCCATCGGCGCGCCTTTCGCCGTCGGAACCGCCGGCCCGTACTCCGGGGTCACGCGCGTGCATTATTTACAGACCGCGTGCGCCGCGAACGAACGCGTCCAATCCAACGCGTGCGTCGCGTGCCCGGCAGGGTCAACGAACGCCGCGGGGGACGACCCGTCGGGCGTGGACACGTCGTGCGAGTGCGCCGCGAACGAACGCGTCCAATCCAACGCGTGCGTCGCGTGCCCGGCAGGGACGACCAACGCCGCCGGGGACGACCCGTCCGGTGGCGACACGACCTGCGACGTCACGACCTGCGCCGTGAATCAGTACGTCGCTTCGAACGTCTGCACCGCGTGCCCGGGCGGCTCCACGAACGCCGCGGGAGACGCCGCGTCCGGCGCCGACACGACGTGCGCGTGCGCGGTGAACCAGTACGTATCTTCGAACGTCTGCACCGCGTGCCCGGCGGGGAAGACGAACGGCGCGGGCGGGGACGCGGTGCCGGGGCCGGACACGCCGAACTCGTGCGTCGCGACGCTCTGCGCTACGAATCAGCACGTCGTGTCGAACGTGTGCACCGCGTGCTCGGGCGGCCTCCAGAACTACGCGGGAGACGACGCGTCCGGGGGGAACACGCTCTGCGACGGGAACTTTTGCCCTTCGAATTTCAGGGTGAATAACGGCGGCAGTTGCGTTCAGTGTCCCTCTGGCACGACGAACGCCGCCGGCGATGACCCGACGGGAAGCGAGACCCAGTGCGACGCGACGATTTGCCCCGCGAATCAGTACGTCGTCTCGAACGCGTGCACGGGTTGTCCCGTGGGAACGACGAACGCCGCGGGCGACGACGCGTCTGGTTCGAACACGGCGTGCGATTCCGCCGCGCCGGCGAACCCGCCGCCGTCGTCGAATCCACCCGGAGGAGGCGATGAAAGCGGCGGAGGAGGCGGAGGAGGCGGCGGCGGTGGCGGCGGTGGAATGGGTATAATACTCTACGTCGTCGGCGGGCTGGGTATAACGATCCCGGTCGTCATATGCATGATCCTCGCGATCTGGTACAAGCCCGCGCTTCGCCGAATGCTGCTCAAGTGCGGGTGCGTGTGGTTCGCGAACTGTCTCGTCCCCGAGCTCGAAACTCGCGTGGACGACATCGAAAATTACATGGCGAAGCAGAAGCTCCCGCGTCTCCGCGACTTCACCCCGGAGATCGACCCCTCCGAGGTCGACCTCGACCGCGATGACGTCCTCGGCACGGGCGGGTACGGAACCGTGTACTTGGCGAGGTACGCCGGTGAAAAAGTCGCCGTCAAGGCGATGTTCGAGGGAGATTCGAACCGAGTCCCGACGTACGCGGCGAAGCTCATGCGGAACGAAGCGATGATCATGTGCAGCCTGAACCACCCGAACATCCTCCGCGTATTCGGCGTCGTCACGAAGTTAGGGTACATCGTCATGGAGCTGTGCCCGGGCGGCGCGCTCGACGAGTACCTGTACGACCCCGATAACGTCCTCGACGCGCGCGACAAGGCGCGGCTCGCGACGGAGACCGCGACCGGGATGGCGTACCTGCACATGCGCGAGGTGGACATCGTGCACGGGGACATGAAAGCCGGGAACGTGCTTCTGGCCGCGGATAACTCCGTCCGGATTTGCGACTTTGGGATGTCGGACGCGAAGAACCGTTCGAAGACGATGACGTCCGCGGTGGCCGCGGGCGGTCGATCGGTCGCGCTCACAGTCGCGTGGAGCGCCCCGGAGCTCTTCAAGGGCAAGAATAAGACGTCCTCGAGCGACATGTACGCGCTGGGGCTGACGATCTGGCAGATTTACGAGCGCGCGCAGCCGTTCGGGTCCATGCCCGAGGCGGCGATCGTCTCGCAGGTCATCGGCGGCACGCGTCCGGATTATTCGCAGACGCCGCCGCCGGTGAAGAAGATCATCAACCTGTGCTGGTCGAAAGAGGCGAAGGACCGCCCTCCCGCGGATAAGGTCGCGTGCGCGTTTAACCAGCTGTACGAGAGCATTTCGCGCTCGAAGTCGTACTCCGGGAGGGTGCACCCGGCGCCGAATTTCAACGAGGAGTTGAACGCGATGAACGAACGGCAATCGGAGATCGACTCGCAACACGAGCGGAGCAAGGCGAAGTTCATGCGAAAGGTCTCCATGGCGAAGATGACCGGCAGGGGGAAAAGTAAAGTCCACGCGGAGACGAGATCGGACGCGGACTCCGCGCAGGCGGCGGAGGGCATCGTCGCCGCGCCCGGCGACTCCGCGGAGCTCGGGGCGATTCTCGAGGCGGAGACGGAGGACGCGCCGCCGGCGGATGCCGTGATCGACATGACCGCGTTCACGGTGCACGAACCCGCGTCGCCGCTGTTCGAAGACGAGGACGCGGAGGTAGCGCCGCCGCCGCCGCAGCCGCCGGTTGAGCCGGAGGCGCCGGCTCCTCCTCCGGTCGAGGAAGACGCGCCCGTGCCGCCGCCGCCGGACGACGACGACGCGCCGCCGCCGCCGTCTCCGGGTGATTAGATATTAGACCTGTATTAGACTGCTGTCAGGTAGCAGTCGCCTCCTAGATAGACGAACTTCGTCCGCTGACGCGCTCACACCTCGCGACGCCACCGCTGTATTCGCTCCCACCCCCGCCCTCGACATGCCGACAGACGACGCTCCCCTCCTCGCGGAGGTGAGATCCGCGGACGACGACGATCACGACGACGCGCGCGACGACGCGCGCGACGACCACGACGACCACGACGACCACGACCGGCGAGCCCAAAAGAGCGCCCGCGGCCTGGGCGAGGGCCTCCACACCGCGGTCTCGCGCACGTCGCGCGTCGCGCGCCTCGTCGACCGCCGCGCGCGTCGCGTCCTCCACCTCGACCGCCTCGGTCGCTTCATCACCTCGTCGCAGGCTGTCCCCGTCGCCGTCGGCCTCGTCTTCGGAAGCGCGCTTCGTCAGCTCGTGGACGCGTTCACGACCGCGCTCGTCGCGCCGCTCGTCGCGTCCGTGGGCGGACACTCGCACCTCGTCTCCCTGCGGTTCGTCGTCCACGGCTTGGCGTTCGACTACGGCGTCTTCGTGCAGGCGGTCCTGGAGACGTTCTTGACGATCGTCGCGCTCTTCTACCTCGTCGTCGTGCCGTCCAGCGCGGTGAAGAGCCTGCGGTTGTCCCCGACGAGACCGTGTCCGGAGTGCCTGAGCTGGATCAACGAAAACGCGCGGAGGTGCTGCCACTGCTGCTCGCGCACGGGGTTCGCGGTCGCGCGCGAGGAAGAGGACGCGAAGGACGCGAAGGACGAGGATTGACGCGACGCGTGACGACGACGACGACGACGACTGCGTGTTAACCTTATGATAAGCGTTGAGACGCATCTTTCAAACGTAACTTAACGCCGCTACGCCAAGCTCTTCGGCGGCGCGCTCGGGGAGACCGGATCCGACGCCGCGGGCGGCTCCACGGCGTACCCCTGCGCGGGCGGCGCGGGCGCGGGCGCGGGCGCGGGCGCGGGCCCAGGACCGGGCACCACCGGATACCCGTACGCGGGCGCAGGCATGGGCGCGGCCCCGGGCCCTGGCATCACCGGGTACCCGTAGTTGAACGTCTGCATCATCTGCACCTGCTGCTGATGCGACGCGGTCGTCGTCGTCGCGGTCTCCCTCCCGCCGCCGCGTCGCGCCCGCCCGCAGCACCGTCCCATCCACCACGCGATGAAGACGACGACGCCGGCGACGAAGACCGCGGCGACGACGGCGTACAGCAAGTAAAATTCCCACTCCTCTTCGTCCTCCGGCGGGCACGTCGTGACGTCGCCCGACCGCGCGAGGCACGCGAAGTCTTCGACGGCCGAGCTCGCGAGGCACCCGATGTTCGTGTCGTACGTGCTCTTCGAGCAGGCGCTTCACGCGTCGATGCCGCTGGAGAGGTACGCCCCCATGATGGATCCGCCCGACGCGCACGATCCGGTGCCGTCCGCGGAGGAGCCGTCGTGCATGAAGCCCACCTGGTGCCCGATCTCGTGCGCGACCGTCACGGACGCGTCCGTGTTGTCGTTTATGGACACCTCCGATATCGCGCCGGCGACGTAGTCGTAACAGCACTGAAAGTTTCCGTCGCCGTTCGGAGAGTAGCAGTAGCCCGAGGCGACGTAGGGGCAGTAGTCTCTCAGTTCGCACACGCTGGAGGCGTACCGCTTCGGGTTTTCCGAAACGCCTCGCTGCCACGCTAGGCCGATCACGCCGGAGCTCCCTTCGTGCGTGAAGTCCACGCCGCTGAACAGGTGCGCGGTGTCGTGCTTCGTGAGCGTCCCGATGTTCGTCCCTCTCCACGTGTTGAAATTCGTGAGCAGCGTCGTCGCGTCCGCGTCCGTCGTGTGCGCGTTGGACGCCCCCGTGTTGCTGTACTGACCGACCAGAGACACGATAAACTGCGGCGTGGAGATGTCCTTCCACAGCGCGGCGACCAGGTTCACGACCGTCACGGAGTCCGCCTCCATCGCCGCCAGATTAGACCCCACGCCGGTGTACTCCAGATACCGCTCGCGGTCGTTCACGACGAGGAGCTCGAGCGTCACGGTGCCCGTCTCCGCCGACAGCCGCCGCCGTCCGCGCGCGCGTCCGAAACGACGCATCATATCCTTCGCGTACCCCGGGACTGGGACCGCGGCGACCTCGGCGACATCCCGCGCGGGATCCCAATCCCACGGCGTGAAGTCGCCGTCGCCGACCGCGTCGCCGTCGGTATCGACGAATCGCATCGGCGGAAGCGGCGCCTCCGCGCCGCCGCCGTCGATCACGAGCGGGGACTTCCTGTCCTCCTCTCGGAAGACGACGACTTTCGTGCGCAGCCTGTCCGCGCGCGGGTCGATCGCGTCCGCGACGTCGTGCCCTTCCACGTGCAAATGCGCGGGCTCGATCGTCAGCGTGTGCGCGCGCGTGAACACTTTGCCTCTCAAGCCGTCGCACGTCGAAAACGCGACCACGGACTTCCCCCCCGGCGCGGCGTCCTCGTTCGTCACCTCGCCGTGGTAGTGGCAGTGATCCGTCCCCGGGTGCGCGCTCGTCACCGTCGCCGTCCCGTTCGCGTGAAGCGTCGACGCGCGGTAGCGCTCGTGGAACAGGTCGTCGTTCCGACGAAGAAGGAGCTCCACGCGCGCGCCGAACGCGTCGAGCGCGAGCGTCATCGACGCGGGGTGCCTCTCGTCTTCCGCGCCGAGACGGACGACGTCCGCGGGGGTAACGATCTCGTACGCGTTCAGCTTGCTCAGGAGCGTGGACGACGCCTTCGCGGTCGCCGCGGCGGCGCGGAACGGCGCGGACGCTGCGAGGACGACGAGGGACGGGGTGTTGGGCGGGCGGGGGTCAGCGCGAGCGGCTCGGGCGTCGGGTCAGAGTTTCGATGTCGGCATCGCTCCGCTTCGAAGGACGCGGAGGCGGACGCGGGACGGACCTAGCAGGCACATGACGAGCGCGGCGCGCGCGAGGACGGTCATCGCGTCGGTCGACTTTGGCGCCCGCTCGCCGACGAGGAGGGCGGGCGCGACGCGTCGAGTGACATGTGCGAGAACAAGGAAAACTGCTTGCCAAGGGACGCGCCGCGGGCCCGCGCCGCGGCGCGTCCGACCACTCGTCCGATCGGCGATCCGGCGTTCGACCGGCGTTCGACCGGTCAGTCAGCCGGCCGTTCCCTTCAAGCCTGAAACCCGTGGCGAAAGGAACAGGAGATCGGTATGAAGATCCGGAGATTCTACTACTTGCCGTTGAAGCGCTCGCCGAGCGCCGACCCAACCGTCGCGGCGTCGTCATCGCACCGCGCGCACCGCGCCGGCCGCGAAGGCGAGGCGAGCGTCGCCGATCCTTCGCGCGGGCGCGCGCGCGCGGACGGAACGGAGGTCGCGCGCGGTCGCGAACTCGCGTGCTCGCGCGGGGCGACGGCCGCGACCGCCGATCGAGCGAGGATCAGATTCCGAACGTCCATCGCGCGGCCGTGGACGATCGGGGACCGACGACCGATCGACCGATCGAACGCGCGCCGCGAGGGCGAGCGGCGCGAGTCGACCGTCCGCGAGATGGGGAACAGCCCGTCGAAACCCGGGAGCCCGAACGCGGCGGGGACGACGGAGTGCGCGCCGTCGACGTCGCGCGCGGAAGACCTCGCGACGAGCCCCGCGCGCGCGCTCCGCGCGACCGACGACGCATACGCGGGCAACTACGCGAGCGTGATGCTGCAAGGTTTCCACTGGACGTCGTGCGAGGGCGGGCTCGACGGCCGGACGTGGTACGCGGAGCTCCGCGCGTCGATCCCGGAGCTCGTGAAGACGGGCGTGAACGTCGTGTGGCTCCCGCCGCCGTCGCAGTCCGTCAGCGCGGAGGGGTACCTCCCGCAGTCGCTCTACGATCTCAACACGCCGTACGGATCCGAGCGCGAGCTGCGGGAGCTGATCGCGGCGCTGAACGCCGCGGGGATCGCGCCGATGGCTGACGTGGTCATCAACCACCGGTGCGCGGACACGCAGGACGAGAACGGGAAGTGGCGGATATTCTCGAACGCGAACTTCCCGGCGTACGTCGCGAGCGGCGCGGACGACGACGAGGCGCGAGGCGCGGTCGCCGACGCCGACGCCTCCGCATCCGCCTCCGCCGAGGACCACGACGAAAACGAAAACGAAAACGCGCCGCCTTCAAACTTCGACAAGACGTGGGGCCCGTGGGCGATCGTGAAGGACGACCCGTGCTTCGAAGGCGAGGGGAACATGGACACCGGGGACGTCTTCGACGCCGCGCCGGACTTGGACCACGCGAACGCGCGCGTGCGAGGAGAGCTCACGACGTGGCTGAGATGGCTCCGCGACGACGTCGGGTTCGCCGCGTGGCGGTTCGACTACGCGCGCGGGTACGCGGCGAAGTACGCCAAGGCGTACGCCGCGGACACGACCAGCCTACGCGCGATGAACGTCGCGGAGTACTGGCCGGAGGCGACGTGGGAGGAGGATGGGACGCTCGCGACGTGCCAGAACCCGATGCGGCAGAGCATGTGCGATTGGCTCGACGCCGCGGACGGCGCGTGCGCGGCGTTTGATTTCGCCACGAAAGCGGTGCTGCAAGAGGCGGTGAGTCGCGGGGAGTACTGGCGGTTACGCGACGCGGACGGGAAACCCCCGGGGTTGATGGGATGGTGGCCGCAGCGCGCGGTGACGTTCATCGATAACCACGACACGGGCGGGAACGGCGGCGGCGTACCGGGCGAGGGGCGGACGGAGTTCCCGCGAGGATCCGGGTCCGGAGGGTCCGGATCCGGATCCGGGTCGTATGGTCAGGGACACTGGCGGTTCCCTCCCGAGCACCGCGTGCTGGGGTACGCGTACATCCTGTCCCACCCCGGGATGCCGTGCCTCTTTTGGCCGCACGCCGTGCGCATGCCGGACGACAGCGGCGGGGACATGGCCGCGGACATCGCGAGGCTGTGCGCGATCCGCCGCGAGGTCGGGATCCAAGCGGACAGCGCGATAACGATCGTGCTCGCGGAGGCGGACATGTACGTCGCGAGGATAGAGGGCGCGCACGCGGAGCTGGCGGTGAAGTTGGGGCCGAGGTACGACTTGCCCGAGGAGATCTTACCCGCGACGGACGTGTGGACGCTGCTGACGAGCGGCGAGGGGTACGCGCTGTGGAGTCGTCCGAAGCGGAGTAGTAAGCCTCGAAACTTAGAGGAGGAGCTCTCGCGGTGAGCGCGCGGAGCGTCGCAGTAAGATTAGTAGTATCGACGCCGGTGTAACACGACACCGAAACGACAGTCAAATACGACGCGCGCTATCGCTATGATGAGAAGGAAGGTCACGCGACGATCTCCGCGAACCTCGCGCCGATTTCGCCGCCTCTCAACTTTTGGTGCTTCACGTGCCGCATCGTCGCGGAGTAGTACGCCTCCACGTCCGGCGGCGCCGGGGTATCGTCGTTCGCGAGCTCGCCGTTGATGTGTTCCAGGAGCTCGCGAATCACCTTGGCGTCCACGCCGTCGACGCCGCGTTCGAAAAAGTACAAGTGCTTGTTCAACACGGCGATGTGCAACGCCAACGCGTCTCCGGCGCCCTTCCCCGTCGCGCTCGCGGCGACGCGCGCCTTACTCGCGATCGTCAGCGCTTTCTTCAGGCACGACAGCACGCCCTTGCCATCCTTCACCGCGTCGGACCAGAACAAGTGCGCGCACGACGCCACCGCGGCGCACTGGTCCGGTTTCTTCAGCAGACGAGACGCGTACCCGATGCTCTTGTGCGACAGCGTCTCCCGCGACTCCGCGGTGAACGATCGACACGGCTGCAACGCGCCGACCATGATCGACAGCGCGCTCTTCTGCGCCCTGCTGTCGCTGATGTCGTCCTCGTAGATTGTCATCGCGGACTCGAAGAAGTCGTACGCGAGCGTCTCCATCCCCGCGGCGTCCGCGAGGCGCGCGGCGTCGACGAACAACCTCAACGCCGGCTCCGGCGCCGGCGTCTCCGCCAACGCGGCGATCGTCTGATGCAAAAATTGCAGCGTCTTCGCCACGAGCGCGCTCGACGCGGGGTCTAACTCCGCGCCGCGCTCCCCGCCGCGCGCGGACGCGGACGCGGTCTCTCCTTCGTTTCGCTCGCCGTCCGCGGCGGCGGTGGACGACGCCGCCGCCGCCGCCGGCGGCGCGGCGGAAGCGTCCGCGGCGGCGTCGCGTAAAATCGCGCGTCCTAATCGCGTCGCCTCAAACGCGAGCGGCGGGAGCGTCCTTCGCAACCGCTTCGCGCCGCCGGACTGGAACTGCTTCCGCGCGGCGACGAGCAGCTCGTACTGCGTCTCGTGCGAATCGCTCCTGAGCACGTGCACCAACCTCGCGACGAGCCCTTGCTCTTCTTCGAAATCCTCCTCGTCCACGCCGCCGCCGCCGTCGTCGCCGTCGCGTATCAAAACCTCGATGAACTTGAACAGCGTCTCCACCTGCTCCGGGGTGCTGACGCGCGTCTCCCCGCGCAGCACCGCGCGCGCGATCGTCGCCGCGAGCTGCCTCAAGTTCGCGGGCAGCAGCAGCGTCATCACCCTCGGGTACGAGGACATGCGCAACACCGAGATCGGGTCGTACGTCTCGAGCGGCGTCGTGAGCAACGCGACGAGCTGCCGGATCCCCTTCGGGTCGGACACGATCATCGCCGGCGCGATCGGGCCGTCGCGCGCGTCCCCCGCGTCGTCGTCGTCGTCGCCGTTCGAGCTCGACGCGCCCATGGCCGCGGCGCAGGACGCCAACACGCCGTCGACGTGATCCAGACGCTCGCGGTGCGTCGCGATCGTGAACGACAATAAAGCGCCGTGCATGAGTAACCGCTCGTGCGCGTCCAGCGTCGGCTGCGCGCGCACGACGTCGTCGACGCACGTCGCGAGCTTCCCGAACGCGTCGACGGCGGCGAACTGCGTCACCATCTCCTGCGACTCTTTCGCCGCGTTCGTGAGGCGGTCCATGAGCGACGCGAGGACGTTCCCCACCTTCACCGTGGATTTCAGCTTGGGGCACGCGTCCAGGAGGAGCTGCAACGTCTGGATGTGGAACTCGTCCGGGAACACCTGCACGATCGCGTCCATCAAGTACGGCTGCGCGATGTCGTCCTTGCAGTTCACGACCTGCTCGAGCACGCGCGGGAGGACGACGTCGCGGTACATCTCCAGCGTCATCCCTTCGAGCTGCGAGAGCACGAGGAGGTTTTTCCCGACGAGGTCGCGGAGCTCTCTTCGCTCCTTCTCGCGTCGCTCGCGCTCCCTCGCGGGGCCACCGTGCTGCATGCGCACCCACAGCTTATTCATCTCCGTGAAGTTCTGAAGCACGAAGTCCACGGCGTCGGCGACGCTCCCGCCCTCGCCCTCGTACGGACTCCCCGCGTCCGGAAGCAGCGTCCGGCTTATCTGCGTCAGGTACGCGCGAAGAAACAACCCGTGAATCGGTTGCTGCACGCCCTTCGCCATCTCGACGAGATCTTTCAGGACGTCCTTCGCTTTGCCCTCCTTGCTCTTCACGTACACCGTCGCCGCGGTGATGAGGAGGTATAACCGCGGGAGGACGTTCCCCGCGTGCTGCGTGAGCTCGTACAGCTCGAGGTTCGACTTGCGATGCCGCGACGGCTCCGCGAAGAACATCTCGAGGTGCGACAGCTCGCCGGAGACGTGCATGTAGAGCTCGTAGTACTTCTGCGGCGACAGCGCGATCGTTCGAAGCTCGCCGAGCATGAGCGAGCACTGCTTCAGGGACTCGCGCAGGTTGCCGTCGTCCTGTGGACGCGAGGGTGGGGGTGGGGGAGTCACGCGACGGTCGAACGAGCGAGACGGGGTGTCGCGCGTCGTCCGAACGACGATCGGTCGAGATTGAGATCGAGATCTCGCGCGCGCGATCGGCGGCGAAGACGCGAGCGCGGACGCACCAGCGCGCGCTTCATGTAGAACGCGTACTGCTTCACCTGGCTCTGCGCGTCTGCGAGGACGAGAGGACGGGAGCGGGGGTCAGCGGTCGGGCTCGAGCGAACGTTCTCGCTCGGGGCGATTCGACGTCCGCGTCCCGTGAGGAGAAGCGATCGCGCGCGACGCGACGTCCCGGGGATGCGCGCGAGATCGCGCCCGCGCGAGACGCGAACGCACCCGCGAGCCACCTGTCCTGCTCCGGCAGCTGCGCGCGCGCGGCCATGGCGTTCGCGGCGAACCCGCGAGCGTCTTCGCGGCCGGTGCGGGCGAAGAGTGCTGATGAGATGACGAGCCGGTGACGTGATCGAACGCGAAGAGACGGACGCGGAGGAGGTTTCGATTTTTGGCGCGCGCGAGCGAAGAGGTTCGCGTCGGCTCGCTTAATATAGACAACCCGACGCGCGCGCCCTCTACCGACACATCCATCACGAGTACGCCACGAGCGACTCCTTGATCACCTTGTAACTCTCGTCGCACAGCTCCTGCGCGTCGTCGCTCGCGATGGGCGGGTGCACGACGAGTACGATCTCCCCCGCGCTCATCGCCCACTCCCTCCCGCTCCGCATCCGCTGCGACGCGCCGACGATGGTGACCGGCACCACGGGCGCGCGCTCTTTCGCGGCGACGGAGAAGGCGCCCTTCTTAAAGTCCGCCATGACGCCGTCCTTGCTTCGCGTCCCCTCCGGGAAGAAGAGCACGGGGCAGTCGTTTTGCAAGAGCTCGCGGCAATCCTTGAGCGTCTTCATCTGCGACTTTCGATCCGTGCGCTTCAGCGCGATGTGCCCGGTCATGTACATGCTCCACCCGATGATCGGTATGATGAAGTTGCTCACCTTGCTTATGAACTTGAACGGCCGTCGCAGGTGAAACAGCGAGTAGATGTCCATGTACGACGCGTGATTGGCGACGTACACCGCCGGCGCGTCCACCGCCGGGAGATGCTCCCTCCCGACGACCCTCACCTTGACGAACGGCAGCGTGCTGATCGTCGCCCACACGTCGTTCACGAACGACAGCGCGTATCGTCGGTACTTGTCCGAGACGTACGTGAACGGGAACATGACCATCATCGCGGCGAAGAGCGGCAGCGCGAGGGTGAAGGAGACGAGGTAGAAGGACATCGCGCGCGCGACGTCGAGGAGGGACGGCTTCGCGTCCGACGACGGCGCCGGGGCGGCGGCGCCCGCGCCCGCGGCGTCCGCCGCGGCGAACGCGGCGGCCGCGCGCGCGACGACGCGACCGCGACCGCGGGCGCGCGCGGCGAAGACCGGGGACGACGACGCGGGCGAGGCGGACGTCGCCGCGGCGCGGCGCGCGACGGACGCGGACGCGACGACGGGCCGTCCGAGACAAACCGCGGACGCGCGCGTCGAGGGCGAGCGCTTCGCGACGGCGACGCGCGACGCCGCCGCGAACGGCGACGACGCGACGATCGAGGCGGACATCATCCTCTCGCGAACCGCGGGCGACGTCTCGTGTCGTCGGGCTGCGCTCGGCGCGGGGAGTGATGCGCGCGCGCCGGCGACGCGCGCAGCGGTGGATATCATGTTATCCGTCGACCGACCGCGCCGGCTGCCGTTTTCGCCGAAAAGCGCGATCGCCGGACCGCCGCCGACGCGCCGCGACGCGCGCGGACGGAGCGCCAGAGCCCGGCGCGTCCGCGTCGCGATGATCGCCGGCACCCCCGGCGCGGCGGCGACGTCCGCGGCGGTGGTCATCCTCGGCGCGGAGGGCGGCGCGCGCGGCCTCGTCCTCGGCGCGGGATGCTACGCGATCCTGTGCGTCGTCGCGCTCGTCGTCGACCTCGCGCGCGCGCGCCTCGCCCTCCGCGGCCGCGTCCCGATCGTCCCGTGGCGCCCGAACCTGATGTTCCGCGTGTACGCGACGAGCAAGCGCAGCCTGTTGGACCGCGTCTCGCGGAGGATGGCGAACCCGGCGCGCGTCGGCGTCGGCGACGGCGACGGCGACGGCGACGGCGCGACGACGAAGGGAGGCGGCGGGGCGCTCGACGCGGATCCTCCCGCGCGTCCTCATCCTCCTCGCGCGTTCGGCACCGTCATCGGGACGTGCCCGTTCGCGCACGTCGGCGGCGCGTCCCTGGCGCGCGCGGCCCTGCGCGCGCAGCCGGTGAAGGCGCCGCTGTACCGCGCGTTCGAGGCGTTCGCGGGGGGCGGGATATTCACCGAGGAGGGCGAACGATGGGAGGCCAAGCGCGCGGAGGTGCTGCGATCCTTCGCCGTCGTCGGCTTGGACGCGCTCGCGGAAGCGTCGACGCGCGTCGCGACCGAGCTCGCGAGGGATATCGAAGACAGCGCGTCGTCGTCGTCGGGCGTGGAGACCGAGATGCTGCCGCGGCTGCAGCGCGCGACGTTGCGCGCGACGTTCGAGTATCTCACCGGCGTCACCGTGCCCGAGGCGGCGGCGGCGGCGGCGGCGGTGGCGGCGGCGCGCGACCGCGCCAAACGCGCGACGTCCTCCTCCTCGCGAGGAGACCCCCTCGAGGTCCCCCTGCGCGGCGCGCCCGCGTCGTTCGCCGACGCGGAGGAGGACGAGGCGAGGCGGACCGCGGCGAGGTGGGAGGACGAGTACCTCGCCGCGGCGACGGCGTTGCGGCATCTCATCCCGGCGCGCGCGCGGAGCGTTTGGATGGCGTCGGACTGGGCGTACCGGCTCTCTCCGGTGGGGAGGATAGAGCGCAGGAGTATACGCGCGGCGAGGAAGCTGCCGACGCTCGCGGTGCGCGTCGCGAAGCCGGGGTCGCCGTTGGACGTGTTATCGAAGGGCGTCGCGCACGGCGGCGGCGGCGGCGGCGGCGGGGGAAAAGGCGCGATTCGTCTTCGGCGCCGGCTGGCGCCGCGGAGAGACGACGACGACGGATTCGGTCCGCCGCCTCCGAAGGCGCTGGTGGACGAGGCCGTGACGCTGCTCTTCGCCGGGCACGACACGCAGTCCGCGACATTATCCTGGGCGCTGCTTCGCCTGGCGTCGGACGAGAAGACGCAGACGCGTCTGAGAGACTCGATCCTCGCCGACGCGGACGCGGCGCGCGACCTCGGGCTCGACGACCTTCTGCCCGCCGACGCGCCGCCCGTCGATCGCGCCGTTTCGCGTCCGAGTCCAACAAGTGGGGACGCGAACCGTCGTCAGCGACAGCCCGCGTGGAGCGCCGCCGCGCGCGCGCCCGTCTTGGAGGCGGTCCTGCGCGAGACGTTGCGTCTGCACCCGGTGGCGCCGCTCGTGGTTCGGAAGCTGACTTCGGACGCCGTCGACGACGGCGACGCGACGTCGTCGGGGGGGACGACGACGCTGCCGGAAGGGTGCGCCGTGGGGGTGTGGCTCCACGCGGTGCACCGCGATCCCGCGGTGTGGAGCGAACCGGAGACGTTCTCGATAGGAAGGTGGCTCACGACCGCGAGGGCGTGGAGGGCGGAGAGAGCCGGGGCGGACGCGTCGCGCGAAGACGACGGCGGGAGTGGCGGCGTCGGCGGCGGCGACGACGAGCACGGCGACGACGTCGTCGTGCGGTTCAAGGGCGCGGGGTTCATGCCGTTCGCGTCCGGCCCGCGCGCGTGCGTCGGGCAGCACCTCGCGTGGGTGTTCATGCGGCTGACGTTGGCGCGGCTGGCGTGCGCGTTCGACGTGCGCCCGGGGTCGCGACGCGAAGGGGAGGAGGAGGGGGAGGAGGAGGATCCGCTGACGCCGTCGGTGGGGTTCACGGTGACGCCCGCGAACGCCGCGCGCGTGCGGTTGATTCCGCGGCGCGCGGGGCGAGCGTAGACGCTAGGTCTTGTTCGAATGTACCTCACGCGTAGACAGACGGACGGTCGCGCCCGCGGACGAACGACGACGAAAAAGTAATTTTGGTGCGCGCTTCTGCGGCCGCGCCGAGAAAAAAGAGTTAAACCCTCATCCTCCTCCTCTCGAAGCGCCTCGCCGCGCAGTCCACGGCGCGCGACCTCGCCCTCGCGCGCGATGGTCCTCTACTTCACCCCCGTCGGCGCGGACGAGACGAAGCACTCGCTGTACATGGGACGGGACAAGGTGGAGAACGAGGACCTCATCAAGTGGGGCCTCCCCGAGGACGTGTGGTTCCACGTCGATAAGCTCTCGAGCGCGCACGTGTACCTGCGCGTCGCGCGCGGGGAGAGCATGGACGACATCAGAGAGGACGAGCTCGAGGACTGCGCGCAGCTCGTGAAGGCGAACAGCATCGTGGGGAACAAGGAGAACAACGTCGGCGTCGTGTACACGCCGTGGTCGAACCTGAAGAAACTCCCGAGGATGGAGGTGGGCCAGGTCGGGTTCCACGACCTGAAGCTCGTGAGGCGCGTGAAGGTGGCGACGCGGAAGAACGAGATCGTGAACAGGCTGAACAAGACGAAGACGGAGTCGTTCCCGGACCTCGCGATGGAGAGGGACGAGTACGACCGCGAGATTCGCGAGGAGAAGAAGGCAGCCTATCGCGAGCAGGAGTTTCGGAGGGTGGAGGAGGAACGAGAGAGGGCGGCGGATCGAGAGGCGAGGAGTTACGACCGGATCATGGATACGGACGCGATGGTGAGCAACAAGGACAACGCGCAGAAGTACGCGTCGGTCGAGGAAGCGGAGGACGACTTCATGTGAACGTAACGCGTGAAGAGTGTTTAGTCGGTAGCGGGCGACAGTTTAACCAACCGAAAGTGACGGAGTAGTCGCCGCGCTCGCCGCGCGTTCGCGACGAAGGACGAGACGATCGCGTTTCATTTTTTTCGCTTTGTTAGATATAGAAACACGCAACAACTATATGATTGCGTAGCACTACGCAGTGCGCACCGACGCGGCGGGTCGGCGCGCAACTTTCGTTCGCTTCATCATCAGAATCATTCAATGGAAGATCTTCTTGATGCTCGATGACTGACGGCACGCTCTGGCACAACTGCTGGAGAGCACAAAAAGACACTTAGATGAGGTCGGCGACGTTGGAGGGGAGCTCCTCGAAGACGGTCTGGTAGAACCGCTGCACGTCCTGGAGGAGACGTTCGTCATCCTTGGTGACGAAGTTGATGGCCACGCCCTTACGGCCGAAGCGACCGGAGCGACCGATGCGGTGGAGGTAATTCTCCGGCTGCGTCGGGAGGTCAAAGTTAATGACGAGCGACACCTGCTGGACGTCGATCCCGCGCGCGAGGAGATCGGTCGTGATCAACACGCGGGAGGACCCGGAGCGGAACTCGCGCATGATGATGTCGCGCGTGTTCTGGTCCATGTCGCCGTGCGTCGCGGAGACGGTGAAGTCGCGAGCGCGCATCTTGTCCGTGAGCCAGTCCACCTTTCTCCGGGTGTTCGCGAAGATGACAGACTGCGTGATCGCGAGGGTTTCGTACAGGTCGCACAGGGTGTCGAGCTTCCAGTCCTCCTTGTCGACGTTGACGTAGAACTGCTTGATACCCTCGAGCGTGAGCTCGTCGCGCTTCACGAGAATGCGCACCGGCTTCGTCATGAATTTACGCGTGATCTCGAGCGCCTCGGGCGGCATCGTCGCGGAGAAGACGCCAACCTGGAGCTTGCTCGGGAGGAGCTGGAAGATGTCGTAGATCTGGTCCTTGAACCCGCGCGAGAGCATCTCGTCCGCCTCGTCGAGGGAGAAGATCTTGATGTGATCCGGCTTCAACGCGCGGCGGCGAAGCATGTCGTACACGCGTCCGGGCGTGCCGACGACGACGTGCACGCCGCTCTGAAGGATCCGCTGATCCTCCCTCACGGAAGTGCCACCGACGCACGCGTGGCACTTCACGTTGAGGTAATCCCCGAGCGCGCGCATGACCTTCTCGATCTGCTGCGCGAGCTCGCGCGTCGGCGCGAGCACGAGCGCCTGGCACTCCTCCTTCTCGTAGTCGAGCTGCTGCAGCACGCCGGCGCAGAACGTCGCCGTCTTCCCCGTGCCGGACTGCGCCTGCTGGATGACGTCGAGACCCTTGGTGAAGGGCACGATACCGCGCTGCTGGATCGCGGACGGCTTCTCGAAACCGTACGCGTAGATCCCGCGGAGGAGGTTCTCGTGAAGGTTCATCGCGTCGAAGGACTCGTGCACCTCGGTCCAGTCCGTGATGGTCATCTCGCCGTCCTCGCCCTTCTCCTCGGCGAGCCTGTCGAGGGATGAACGGGGTGGAAGGGACGGGGGGGGATGAGTGGATGAGTGATTTGCGGGGGGGGAGGGCGCGTCGCGGCGTCGGCGAACGCGCGATCGCGGGCTCGATCGCGGGCCGACCGATCCGACGGATCGCGCGAATCGAGGCGACGTTTAGGGTTGCCTCGGGAAGCGCGCGGGGGAACACTCACAGAGCCTGCATGCCGCTGTCGTAAGCCTCATCGTTGAATCCGCCTTCGCCGGACATGTTGGGTAGTTCTGCGGGAGGGAGCGAGACGTCAGCGTCGGCGTTCGCGACGCGCGATCGGCGGGGACCGGCGCGCGACACACGATCGAGAATTTGAGACCGTGACAAAAAAACAGGCAAGATTCACGCGCGGACGCGCGCGAAGAACGCCGTCCGCGCGGCGACGCGGCGACGCGCGGACGCGAAGGCCGCGCGCGTCTCCCGAAAAGCCCTCCTCTCGACGTCGTGACGGGAAAAAACTGGACGCGCGGCCTCGCGTTCGCGCGCGAGGCGCGCATCCCGGGCTTTCCCGCCACGCGCGGGAAAAAGGGCTTTGCGAGGAGGGGGGCGTCCTCCGCCCCTCGCTGTAATCGCGCGACGCCGGCGGCGTGAACGGACCTTTTGAACTGAAGAGAGCGGGTAAGAGAGCTGAAAACTAAAGGCGCCTGCGGTTGGAGAGGAGCGGGAGCGGGATACGTCAGCGAATCGCGTTCGCGGCGCGCCCGAAGACGTCGTCGATGGGGGAAAAAAAGCGTCGCTCGAGCGCCTCTCCTTCTTCCATCACGTGCGGCGACGATTAAAAAAATGGCGACGCGGGAAACGCGACCGGAGATAGGGCCGCGCGCGAGCACGCGACGCACCTGGAGGGCCTTTAGGGAAGCGGTTAAGTGTGCGGGTGGTGAGCGGTAGCCGACGCGGGAGGTGCGTGGCGTAGAAGGGGGAGCACGCGTCGGAGACGGGCGTTAAGTACGACGCGGCGGAGACGACTTCTTCGAGCCGCCGCCACCAACCACACGAAAATCTTCGAAGAGGCGTGAACCGTCGTCGCGCCCTCGGTTTCGCGCGTTCAATTTTCATCAGCAGAACCGATCGACTCGTGCTCGTTTCATCGGCGAGCTCGAACCCGCGCCGATCGCGAATCCCCCCGTCGCGAGATTCGAACGAAAAATTTATGGGAGGCTCAGGATCGTTCAACTCGTTCGACAAACCTCGCCGCCGCTCCCGCGCTCGCACACGCGCGCGCGGCGACCTCTCCGCACGATGCAAACGTACATGGAGAACGCGTACGGCAAGCGCACCACGGACGCGTTCGCGTGGACGCTGAACATCTCCACGTCCGTCGCGATCGTCATGGCGAACAAGCAGCTCATGGGAACCGCGGGGCACGGGTTCGTGTTCGCCACGACGCTGTGCGGTCTGCACTTCGCGTGCACGTCCGGGATTCGATTCTTGGACGGGAAGAACGAGAACAACCGCGCGGACGGGTCCGCGATGATGGTGCCGCCGAGGGAGATTTTCCTCTTCGTCGTCGTCGCGATCGCGTCCATCGTCGCGCTAAACTTTTCTCTGATGCTGAACACGATCGGGTTCTACCAAGTCTGCAAGCTGGCGCAGATACCGACGATGTGCCTCCTCGAGGCGATCTTCCTCGGCAGGCAGTTCGGGAGGAAGACCATACAGGCGATCCTGATCGTCCTCGTCGGCGTCGGCGTCGCGACGGTGTCGGACATGGAGATGAACTTCGCGGGCACTGTGGCGGCGTTGATCGGCGTGTCGTGCACATCCGCGCAACAGATCGCGGTGTCGTACTTACAGAAGAAACACTCCGTCTCGTCCAACTTTCTCCTCGCCAAGACGAGCCCGTACATGGCCGCCGCGATGCTCGGCCTCGGCCCGTTCCTCGACCGGATCGTCGTCAACGAGTGGGTCACGGAGTACGAGTGGACGGAGGGCGCAGTCGTGTTCTTGGCCGCGTCGTGCGCGCTCGCCGTGCTCGTGAACATATCGTCGTTCATGTGCATCGGACGGTTCAGCGCGGTGTCGTTTCAAGTCATCGGGCACGTGAAGACGGTTCTGGTGTTTTTCTTCGGGTTCGTGTGCTTCTCCGCGCCGATCACGCATCGGAACATTCTCGGGTGTTCCCTCGCGGTGATGGGGATGATTTATTACTCGAGAGTGCAGCTCGCGGAGAAGGCCCAGGCCGCCTCGAGGGGGGGGGCGCTGGGGGAGAAGGCGTGAGCGGCGCGCGAACGAGGGGAACGAACGAACGCGCGCGAACTGATACGAATTGACGGGGGGGGTGGGGGCGTCGTTAGGAGCGTCAACGCGCGTTGACGACGCGATGTAATAACTTTATGACTCGGACGGATGGTTACCACTGTCGGCGGCGAACAGTGAGGTTTATCCAGCTCGTCGTTCGCTCATTCGACCCCCGCGCGCGCGTCATGTCCGTCGGCGTCGCGCCCGCGCGAGCGGCGAGCGGGTTCCGGCGCGCGTGCCGCGGCGCCGCGCTCGAGCCCCGCGTCGTCGCCCTGCGGCCGCTTCCCGCGCGTCGACGCGCCGGCGTCGTCGCCCCGACCGCGCTGTTTACCGGTCTCGTGCAGGGCACCGCGGAGGTCATCTCGTTCGACGACGTCGGCGACTTCGCGCGGCTGAAGCTGAAGTTCCCTCCGAAGACGCTGGACGGCATCTTGATCGGCGCGAGCGTCGCGTGCAACGGCACGTGCCTGACCGTCGTCGAGGTGGACGGCGACGTCGCGGGGTTCGACCTCATCGTCGAGACGCTCCGCGCGACGAACCTCGGGGAGTTGAAGCCCGGATCGTCCGTGAACTACGAGAGGAGCGCCAGGGTGGGCGACGAGATCGGCGGGCACACCGTGAGCGGGCACGTCCACGCGAAGGCGACGATCGTCGAGCAGGAGGACACGGAGAACAACCGCAAGGTGGTGTTCGAGCTGGACGAGAAGTGGAGCAAGTACATCCTCCCGAAGGGGTTCGTCGCGGTGGACGGGTGCTCGCTCACGGTGGGGGAGACGTCCCCGGGGAGGTTCAACGTGTGGCTGATACCGGAGACGATTCGGCAGACGGTGTTCGCGGAAAAGTCCGTGGGGAGCACGGTGAACATCGAGATCGAGTCGCAGACGCAGACGATCGTGGACACGATCGAGCGCGTCCTCGCCGAGCGCGGGTTGTAGCTCTTCGGTCGTTTACGGTGTTGGCATATTCATTCATTCACAACTCGTCGTTTACAAACAAACAAAGACATTCACTCCTTCCTGTGCATCGTATCACACGTGCGTACACGTCGTCACCGGTCAGTCAAGCGCGCTCCGAACCAATCTTTTTTCGTTTTCCGTGATTTCCGTTCCCACGTCGTCGTCGTCGTCGTCCTTCCGTTTCGTCGTCGCGCGCGGATTTTTATTTTTATATTTTTTTCCCCGTCGCCCCCGCCCGTCAGACGCCGTCCATCGGCAAGCCCTTCCGGTACCGCACGCCGCACGCGTTGCACAGCGTCTTCGGCCCCTCCGGTCCCATCCTCCACTGCGGCGTCTTCTGCGCCTGGCAGTTCAGGCACCCCCGGCGCATCTTCTTCCCGGACGCGGTGATGATGCTGTCCGTGGCCATCGGCCGCACGTCGGTGGTCTCGCCGTCGGCGGCGACGAACGCGCGACGCGCCGGCGGCTTCCTCGCGCCGCCGTTCCCGATCCCGTTCCCGACCCCGATCCCGACCCCGACCCCGACCCCGACCCCGTTCTCGTCGTCCTCCATGTCCGTCTCGTCGTCGCTCCCCGCGGGTCTCCACCGCTTCCGCCCGCTCCGTCGTCCTCCGCCCAGGAACGGGGACGAGACGTCCGCGTAGAAGCCGCCGACGCCGAACCCGCCGCCGCCGCCGCCGCCGCCGCCGCCGCCGCCGCGTTCGGACAACACGTTCGGCGTCACGACGCCGCTGCCGCTGTCCTCCCTCGTGCTCCCAGCCTCGCCGGCTTTGTCAAGCTTCACGCTGGTCGCGACGTCGAGGATCTCCTTCGCGTGGATCGTCAGCGCGGTCGCGGCGGCCGTCGCGCGCGTCGCGTCGTCGCGCGCGCGCGTCGCGCGCGCGCGCGCCGCCGACGCCGCCTCTCTCGCCGCGCGCAGGCTGGCGTCGTCCCACGCGGCCCACGCGTCGGACGGGCGGTCCGTCAGCGCGTCGCCGCAGATGTCGACCGCGGACATGTCGCGCGGGAGCGACGGGAGGTTCTGAAGCGCGGTCCATTCCTGCGAGGGGGCGCGAGGGGAGGGAGGTGAGACGCGCCTGGAGGAAAAAAAAAACGTCGCGTCGACGCGACGGGATCTCGACGCGCGCGCGAAAAGCGAAAAGCGCAACGTGGCAGCGCGATGTGGAGGCGCGTCGACGCGCGGTGGCGCGGCGCGAGCGCGCGGCGCGAGCGAACAAATCCGGGGAAAGAGACGCACCTCGGTGTCTTTCACGCCGCTGTTGTTCAGGAGGACGTCGAACGTCCGCGCGCTGAGCGTCCGGAGCGGGCCCTGCGGGAGGAGACGAGGCGAGAAAGGCGGGTCAGCTTCGGAATTTTCTCTCGGAAGGGTGGGTGCCAACGACGGCGCGAAAGAAATGACGTGGTTTGCCGCGTCCCCGGGGACGCGCCGCGCGAGCGCGCGCGAGCGCGAGAACCCCCGCGACGCGCGCGAGAACGATCGAGGGAGGCGTGAAGACGAGGACGCACCTTTTCGTAGAACGCGTCCGCCTGCTGCTCCGCGTCGAGGTCGCCAAAGTTCGCGGGAGGGAACGTCTGCGGAGGCGGGAGAAAACGAATAGTCAGCGCGAGGGACGTGGGAAAAGCGCACGAGGATGCGAGCCACGACGGGACCGCGCGCGTCGGATCCGAGGCGCGCGCGCCGCGATCCGCGGCGGGAAAGAGAGGAGGGAAGAGTGGTTCGACGCACCGTCGCGTTCGCGTACGACGTGGACGCTTTTTCATCCTTGCCGCCGCGCGTCTCCGTCGACGCGTGCGCCGTCGTCGAACCGTCGAACGTCTTTTCTCCTCGCGAGGAGAACCCGGCGAGATGCGCGCGCGTCGGAACGTCGCTCGCGTCGCCGCGCGCGAGCGCGTCCGTCGCGTGTCCGACGTCCATCGTCTCGCGCGCGTCGTCTACGTTCACGAACGCGCCTAGCGATGCCATCTGCGCCGCCGCGGTCGCGCAGTTTGAAGTGAGCAGCGGCCCGCCCGGGGCTGCCGCCGAGAAGTCGAAGAGAAAGTCCGCCGCGCTGAGCGACGTCTGCCTCGAGTGCGTGTCGAGCGGCAGCGGGCGCGCGACGTCGGTCATCACCGCGCGCGAGCGCGCTGCGGTCGTCGGGGGGGGGGGGGGGGGGGGGCGAAGGCCGCGCGGCGCGTGTGAGCGACTGGTGTCGCGAAGCGTGCCCGTCGTGCGCGGCGCGTGCGTGTGTGCGCGATGCGTCACCGCGCGCGTCGGTTTACGGGGGGGGGCGTGTGTCTCTTCTGGAAAGAATTACGACACTTGTCAATTAGAAACTCTATGGCCAAATAGTCTGAGCATAATAATTGTTCGGTAGTTCGAATAATGCGAAATATGCGGTCACGAGCGTTTCGGCTTCCGTCTTCAACCTTCGACTTCGTTTCGTCACATTCTCGTCACGCGGTGCGTCGATCAACGAGTGCCCAGGTGACTGGGTATTTAGTCTGAATGGGCGAAAAATGTGTAAATTTCATGACATCGTCTCATACGAATTGTACGCAAAATCGCGTACTACGTTCAAACGTGGAGGTCGTTGTCGCAAGAGGCCCGGCTGGAAGAAATTGCCTCTGGCCGTCCTGGCCCATCCGCGCTCCGGCGCGACATAAACCCTAGCGCAGTCTGTATTGACACGCCTAGTGGTGACTGATCTTACGAACGCCGCCCACCCCACGTGGTGTGGCGGCGTGGGGCGTTAAAACTTTCATAAACCCGCGTCTTCAGGGCGCGCCGCCCGAGGGTTTCCGCATCGCCTGCCACGGCAAGGCGCGATCTCACACGGGCGATCCCGCCGATCCATGGTAGATTACCTCACGGTCATAACCCAACGAGTAAACTTACTGATTCACGACCTAGACGAGTCGTCCGTGAAGTCCGCGCACGAGGACGTTCGCGAGGTACGCAGCGCATCGCGCGATCCCTCGTCGCGCGCGCGGTCGCGCCCTAATCGTCGCGCCTCTTTTTTTCCTCGCTCGCCGCGTCCATGTCTCCCTCCGCCGCTGATCACCCCGCTCGTCTCTCGACGCGATCACGCAGGCCTCGGAGCTTTTCGGCCCAGACGGCGAGTTCCACGCGTTCGGGTTACTCCTCGCGCGCGCGAACGCCGACCTCGACGCCGCGAACGCCTCGAAGGCCGGATCGAACCCCGCGTCGATCGCGCTCGCGTCGTCGTTCGCCTCGCGCCTCGCTTCCAAGGACGCGAACGAATTCTCGTCGCGCGTCCGCGTCCTCGTCGCCGCACTCGGGATCGACTCGGGCCGTCTGCGCGCGCTCGGGGTGAACATCGACGGCGGCGGCGCGATGGGCGACCACGGCGGCGACATCGTGTCTCGCCTATCCAGCAGCTCCGGCCCGAGCGCGGTGATCGCGGAGCTCGGGTACGGATGCGCCGTCACCGTGGATTATTTCAAAGAAGTCATCGGGCTGATGCCCGCGATGGACGAGAGCGAGCTCGCGCGGCTCGTCGGCGTCCTCGCGAGGACGCACTCCAGCCTTGACGTGTCCACGTGCGGCGCGACGCTGAGCTCGCTCGCGGCCGCGGTCGGGATCGACGCGCCGTCCGCGGCGGCGCTGAGCGCGACGAATTGGAATTACGAAAACGCCGCCGACGCGCTCGCGGCGACGTGCCCGTCGTTGGACTGGACGAAAGCGATGTATAAGCTGAACCATCTCGGTTTTATCGTCCCGGACGCGCGGACGTTCGAGGCGCTCGTGAGGATGTTCGCCAGGGCGACGAAGGACAAGGAGCCGTTTCCGGTGGCCGCCGTCGCCGGCGGAAGCGGGTGGACGGAAGCCCCGGCGGGGCAGCTCGAGTTTTTGCGGCACGCGATCGTCGCCCCGGGGGACATGTTCCCGTGGGCGTTCTCTCGGAGGAAAATCCCGCCGATCGAGGGGCTCGCGGGCGGCGCGTCTCCGATTGGCACGCCGAACCAGTGCTGGCTGAGCGTCGACTTATACCTCACGCTCGCGTCGCTCGCGGATTCGTCGGCGGCGCTCGCGAACGCCGCGAGAGGCGTGATCGAGCCCGCGATGACCGCGTGCGGAGAAGTCGTCGCCCTCGGCGCGTCCGTCGCCATGGCGGAGGAGCCGGCACTCGCGGGGGGGTTCCTCAGCGACGTCGTCGCGGCGACGCTGCCGCCGTATCTCTCCGCGGGGGGACACCTGAACACGGCGCTCGTGCTGCACAGGGTGTACAACGCCAGCGCCGCGGGCGCGGAGTGCGTCGCGCGCGCGATGGCGGAGGTGCACTCGCGCGAGGGGGGGGTCAACGTCCCGCGGCTGCTGGACGTGTGCCAGGACCTGAAAGCGCTGAGCGTGGTGCTGGACCGGGCGCCGCACGCGTTCGCGGTGGAGCTCGCCGCGCTCGCCGCGCGGAGAGAATACCTGAACCTCGAGAAGTGGCTCCAGGAGCGCGCCGCGGCGTCGGGCGCGCCGTTCGCGGCGGCGTGCGTGCGGTTCTTGCGCGCGCGCGCGTGCGGGGACGAGTCCGGGGCGAACGTCGGCGCGCCGAAGCTCGCGGTGGAGACGATGGCGATCTTCTTCAAGGTTTTGCAGGCGGGCGCGGGGGGGCTGCCGCCGGATTTACGGGAGGAGTTGCACGGCGTCGCGCAGGCGGCGGCGAACGCGAACCCGACGCTCGCGGCGGCGGTCGCGAGCGCGGGCGGGGGTGGGGGTGGTCAGGGCGCGGTCACGCCGGGCGGGAACGCGGGCGGCGCCCCGGGCGCGGGGGGCGGCGGCGCGAACGACGCCGCCGGCGGCGGGAACTTTCCCGCGGACGTCGAAGCGGAGGCGAACTCGTACTTCCAGCGGTTGTACAGCGGGCAGCACAGCGTGGACCAGACCGTGGACATGTTGACGCGGTTCCGCGGTTCGCAAAACGCGCGCGAGCGGGACGTTTTCGGTTGCATGGTGCACAACCTCTTCGATGAGTACCGGTTCTTCCCGAAGTACCCGGAGAAGGAGCTGCGCATCACCGCGGTGTTGTTCGGTCGGCTGATCAACCACCAGCTCGTCGTGAGCATCACCCTGGGCGTCGCGCTCCGGTGCGTCCTCGACGCGCTGCGAAAGCCGTTCGGGACGAAGATGTTCGCGTTCGGGTCCGAGGCGCTGGAGCAGTTCAAGAACCGCCTCCCGGAGTGGCCGCAATACCGGCAGCACCTCGCGGCGGTCCCGCACCTGCCTCAGGCGCACCCGGACCTCGCGCAGCTGCTCGGCGCGGCGGCGGAACAGCGCGGGGTGTCGCAGCTCGGCAGGGACGAGCCGTCGATGATGGGCGGCGACGCCGCGGGCGGCCTCTCCGGCGGCCTCGCCGGGTTGAGCCTCGGCGCGGGCGGGGACGGCGCGGGCCCCCCCGCGCCGCGGCCGCCGATGCCCCCCGGCGCGCCCCCCGCGGACGGCGGCGACGCCGCGAAGAGCGCGGGCGGGACAGGCCTGCTCTCGCAATCGTCCGCGGGCGCGGGCACGAACCTCCTCGGCGGCGGCGGAGGAAGCGGCGCGAACCTCGGCCCGTCGGCGCCGAGCGGCGGCGGGACGGGCTTCGCGACGTCGCTTAACCTCGAGACCCTCCTCGCGTCCGCGTCGAACCAGAACATGTCCGTCCCGGACACGGAGACGATCGATAAGGTGCACTTCGTCGTGAACAACCTCTCGACGCAGAACATGGACGACAAGGCTGCGGAGGTGAAGGCGCGCCTCGGCGAGCATCAGTGGCCGTGGTTCGCGATTTATCTCGTCGTGAAGAGAGCGTCGATCGAGCCAAACTTTCACGCGCTCTACCTCGGTCTGCTGGACGCGATCAACGACAAAGGACTGTTCCGGCTCGTCCTGGACGCGTCGTACAACAACATCAAGACGCTGCTGAGCTCGAACAAGGTGAAGACGAACAGCGGCGAGCGGAGCCTCCTGAAGAACCTCGGGAGCTGGCTCGGGCAGCTCACGATCTCGCGGAACCAGCCGGTTTTGATGCGCGATCTGGACTTGAAAGGGCTGATCCTCGAGGCGTACCAGACCGGGCACATGATCGCGGTGATTCCGTTCATCGCGAAAGTGCTCGAGCCCGCGAAGGACAGCATCATCTTCAAGCCGCCGAACCCGTGGACGACGAACGTCCTCGCGCTTCTGAAGGAGATCTACAGCGAACGCGACCTCAAGCTCAACTTAAAGTTCGAGATGGAGCGTCTGTTCAAGCACCTCGACTGCGAGATCAAGGAGTGGAAGTGCAGCAACTTGCTGTACGCGCGGCAGCGCGAGCGCGCGGGGAACCCAGACTTCGTCGCGGACAAGAACCCGCCCGCGATGGCGCCGTCCATGGGCACGCCGTACGAGCCCGGGATGGGCGGCATGGGCCAAGGCGCGATGTCCGCGGCGGGCGGCCGCGCGGACGTCTCCGGCGCGTTCGGAGGCGGCGGATCAGGCGGAGCCGGCGACGGCGGGATCCCGGACATGGGCGCCGGCGGGCTCCCGAACGCGATGCAGCAACACATCAAGATCGCGCCCGCGCCGAACCTCCCGGAGACGGCGCGCGTCGCGCTCGCGCGGCTGCTCCCCGTCGCGCTCACGGCGGCGGTGCGCGAGATCGTGTCCCCCGTCGTCGAGCGCTCCGTCACGATCGCGTGCATGACGACGCGCGAGCTCGTTCTGAAGGACTTCGCCGTCGAGCCGGACGCGGCGCGGATGAGGAAGGCGGCGCATCTGATGGTGTCCTCCCTCGCCGGGTCGCTCGCGCTCGTGACGTGCCGCGAGCCGTTGAAGGCGTCCGTCGCGTCGCAGCTCAGGGCGCTTCTGAACCAAGCCGGGGCGGTGTCCCCGAACGATCAGCAAGCGCTCGAACAAGCGGTGCAAGCGGCGACGGTGGACAATCTCGAGCTCGGGTGTTCGCTCATCGAGTCCGCGGCGACGGAGCGCGCGGTTCGGGACATCGACGAAGCCCTCGCGCCCGCGGTGCTCGCGCGGCAGAAGCACCGGGAGAAGAACGGGCCCAACGGGCAGCCGTTTTTCGACCCGGCGTATCTCCAAGGCCGGTTCCCCGGCGCGCTTCCGGAATCGCTCCGGCCGAGCCCTGGGCACCTCGCGCCCGCGCCGCAGCGGATCTACGACGACTTCGCGTCGCTCCCGCGCGCGCCGCCGCCGCCTCCCGGGGCGCCGCCGGCGTTCGCGGCGCAACGCGGGCAGTTTGGCGGTCCGCCGCCGCCGCCGCCGCCCGGGGCGTACCCCGGTCAGCCGCCGCCGCCGCCGCCTTCGACGCCGCCTCCCCCGCCCCCCGACGGCGGCCCTCCCGGGTCGCTCGGCATGGACATGGGGCTGGGCGGCGGCGTCGGAGGTGTCGCCGCGCTCGCCGCCGCCGCGGGCATTGGCGACGCAGGCGGCGTGCAGCCGGTGCTCGAACGCTACCGCGTCGCCGCCGCGCGCCTGGACGCCGCCGTCTCCACGGAACCCGCCGCGCGGTTCTCGCTATTACCCGAGAACCACGAGGCGAGGAACGCGGTGAACGACATCGCCGCCGCGGCCGCCATCACGGGCGCGCCCGCGGGGTCGCCGCAGTCCGATGAAGCCCACCTGGCGGTGGCGCAGAAGCTGTTCCAACGTCTGTACGACCGCCCGGGCGCCGCCGGTCGCCGTCTGCACCGGACGTCGCACATCGCCGCGCTCGCGGCGCTGCGCGAGAGCTCGCGCGCGGTCACGCGCGAAGTCACCGGGTGGCTCATCTACGCCGACGACGAGAGGAAGCTGAACAAGGACATCACCGAAGGCCTCGTCCGCGCGGGCGTCGTGAGCGAACAGTTTTTGGGCGAGCTCGACGCGCACCTCGCGAAGCTCATCCTCGGCGGCGGCGCCAGCGCGACGCCCGCGATGGAGTGCGCGGTGCACATCGTGCAGCACTGCGTCATCGTCGAGCCGTGCGTCGCCCCCGCGGAGTTGACCGCCACCTTGGACGCGCTCGCGAAGGCGTGCGCGCGCCCGGGGGCGCCGGAGAACGTCGCCGAGCTCGTCGAGCAGGCGCGCGCGAAGGGCGAAAAGAAGGAGGGCGGCGGCGGCGGCGGGAAATCGAAAGAGCTCCCGGATCCGGTCGGTCTCCGCGAGACCGTCGCGCAGCACTTCGACGAGTGGGCGAGGGTGCAAGACCTTCCCTCCGGCGACGCGGCGACGGCGACGTTCTTGACGAACCTCGCGAAGGGCCGTCTCCTGCACGAGGACACGCAGGACAGGTTCCTTCGCATCCTCGTCGAGCTCGCGGTGACGCACTGCCTCGGCTCGGAGGTCAGCGCGGGGACGCCCCCTCCCGGGGCCGCGCCCGCGCTGTCGTTCGTCGCCGTCGACGCGTACGTCCGCCTCGTCGCGCTCCTGTGCCGCCGCTCGTCCGAGCCGATCGCGTCGCGGCTGTCGCTTCTCGGGCGAGCGCTCGTCGCCATCGCGCGGACGGCGATGCGAGACACGGACGAACGCGGCGCGGCGTTCAACCCGCGTCCGTACTTCCGCGCGCTGTGCGGCCTCATGATGGAGATGCACGCCCCGGACAGCACGCTGGACACCGGACATCCGCAGGTTCTCGCCGCGTTCGCGTCCGCGCTGCTCGCGCTGCAGCCGCTGCGCGTCCCCGGGTTCGCGTTCGCGTGGCTCGAGCTCGTGTCGCATCGGTGCTTCCTCCCGCGGCTGCTCACGGATCACAACCGCAAGGGGTGGCCGCTGCTGCAGAAGCTCCTGACCGCGATGCTGAAGTTCCTCGAGCCGTTCTTACGTCAGGCGGAGCTCACGGAGACGGTCAGGCTGCTGTACCGCGGGACCCTGCGGCTGTTGCTCGTGCTCTTGCACGACTTCCCGGAGTTTTTGTGCGATCACCACTTCAACCTGTGCGACACCATCCCGCCGAACTGCATTCAGATGCGTAACCTCGTCCTGAGCGCGTTCCCGCGGAACATGCGGCTGCCGGACCCGTTCACGCCGAACCTCAAGGTGGACCTCCTCCCGGAGATCTCGCAGTCCCCGAGGGTCGTCGCGGACACGGAGAACGCGTTCCGATCGTCGCCGTTGAGGCAAGAGCTGGACGCGTTTTTGAAGAACCGCTCGCCCGCGAATTTCTGCGCGGATCTCCGCGGGAAGCTCCAGCTCGAGCCTCGCGCGGCGACGGCCGCGGGGACGCGCTACGATGTCCCGCTCCTGAACGCGCTCGTGCTCTACGTCGGTGTCCAGGCGATCCAGGCGAACCGGAAGGACCAGTCCAGCCCCATCACGCACACCGCGCCGATGGACGTGTTCAAAGGCCTCGCGCAAGAGCTCGACACCGAGGGGCGGTACCTGTTCTTAAACGCGGTCGCGAATCAGCTTCGGTACCCGAACTGCCACACGCACTACTTCTCGTGCGTGTTGCTGTACTTGTTCGCCGAAGCCGGGAGCGAGATCGTTCAAGAGCAAATCACGCGCGTGTTACTCGAGCGTCTGATCGTGAACCGCCCGCATCCGTGGGGGCTGCTCATCACGTTCATCGAGCTGATCAAGAACCCGAGGTACAACTTCTGGGGGCACTCGTTCACGCGGTGCGCGCCGGACATCGAGCGGCTGTTCGAGTCCGTCGCGCGGTCGTGCATCGCACCGCAGAAGCCGGAAGGCTCCGAGGACGGAGGCATGCCGATGCCCGTCTCGTAATTCAATCGAAGGCTGCCGACGCGGGCGGCGTCTTCGCCAACAAACCAATTTGAAAAATCCCAAAAAAAAGTGTTCCACCGCGCGAGAAGAAGCGCTCTTCTCGCGTCGGTGGGGCATTGTATTCTTCTAGGGAGTTGACTTTGTATGAGAGAGAAATCTATGATAAAGTATTTATCGCGCCGTGCCCGCGATCCTCGACGCCGCCGTCGCCCCGCGGCGTTTCGCCGCCAGTCTCTCCAGTCTCGCCCTCGAGCCGCCTCTCAGCCCGCCCGCGCCTCTCGCCGCCGCCGGGGTGTCCTCCACGACCGGTCCCGGCGTCTTCTCCACCCCGCCCACCTCCCTGAACGAGAACGTCGCGTCCGCGCGCACCGCGGGCGAGTCCGACGCCCTCGGTGCCCCCTTCATCGCGCTCTCGTCGACGGCCGCGGGCTCGGCTCTCGCCCGGGCTCTGTTCGCGACGTCCCCCAGCGGCGCTCTCGCGAATTTGCGCGTCCCGCGCCCCGCCGCCGCCGCCGCCGCCTTCAGCGGCTGCATCAGCGGCGACCGCGGCGGTTTCGCCGCGGCCGCCGCGCCGATGACCTTCGGCGGCGCGGGCGGCGGCGGCTGGTCGTCCGGATGGAGCTTCGGTCGGCCGAGGATGTCGCGTATGTTCGGCGGCGTGACGTCGCCGAGGTCGAGCCAGTTCGCGGGCTTCACCGCCGGCGGCGGGCTCACGCCGCCGCCGGCGCGATCGAGCCAGTCGTTCGTCGTCGCCTTCGCCGCGTTCGCGTCGGGAACGCGAAGCGTCGGCGCTGGGACGCCGATCGCCACGCGCGGCGGCGTCACGAGCGATAAAGAGGGCGATTCGGGAACGCGCGCGGCGCCGCCGCCGAGCGGCGGCGACGGCGACGCGGACCCGGGGCTCTTCTTGAACATCGCCCGCCGCGCCTCCCTCCCCGCGGGGCTCGCGCTTCCCCCCGGGCTCGGCGTCAGCGCCTTGTTCTCGCGCATCTCTTGGAGCCACGCGCCGACTTTCACGAACAGGTCGTCCCGCGCGTTCGACTTCTCCCGCGTCTCCCTCTGCGCCTTCGCGGCGACGCGCCACGCTCGCAACGCGTCCCTCGAGAGCTGCAACGTCCGCAGCTTCGCGCGTTCGAGCTCCCTCGCCTCTAACGCCGCGAGCGCGGGACCGGCCATGGCGAGCCAGTACGTCCACGCGAGGCGGCAAATGTGCACGTTCCGGTGGTTGAACGCCGCGTCGATCGCCGCGTCCGCGGCGTCGATCGCGCGCGTCCACCGCGCGAAGAAGCGCGATCGCGCGTTCGCGCTCGCGAATTTCACCGCCGCCGCGTGTCGCCGCCATCGAAGAAACGCGCGTTCGTAGAGCGTTTCTTCCTGAACGCTCTGCAGGCACACGACCGCGCGCGCGCGACCGTTAAGCTTAGCACGGACGCGGCGGTACCACGCGCGGAACGGCGCGCGCGCGGGCGCCACTTTCCCGCGCGCCGCCGCCGCGGCTTCGATCGCGCGCGTCGTCGGCGCGAGACGCGTCCACGGGCGCAACCCGACGCGAGCGACGAGCGCGCGTTCGTAATGCGCGACCGCGAGCGCGGTCTGCTCCGCGACGAGCTCCGCGGCGCGGTGCCGCCGCGCTTCGACAGCCTTCTCCGCGCGGCGTTTCGCCAACGCCGCAGCCTTGTGCGCCGCCTCGAGCGCGCGCGCGGTTTCGCCCTCGGCGGCGGCGGCGTGCGCCGCTCGCGCCGCCGCCGCTTCCCTCGCCGCCGCGGCTTTCGCTCTCAGCTCCGCTCGCGCGGCCGCTCGCGCTCGCGCGCGAGCCGCGACCGCGGCCGCGGCCGCGGCCGCGTCGTTCAATTTCTGCTCTCGAGGCGGCGAGACCGGGGTCTTCGCCTTCGCCTTCGCCGCCGGACGCGGGAGTGGACTCCGCGCCCAAGGGTTCTCCGACCGACTCGGCATGTTTTCCTTCTCGGCCTTCTCCTCCCCCTCCTCCTCCTCGTCGTCCTCGTCGTCGTCCGCCATCGTCGTCTCCCCCTCCACGAGCATCAGTTCCGTCGCCATCACCGTCGCCACTTGCTTCTCGACCTCCGCGTCGTCCTCGTCTTCGTCGACGACCGCGGCGAGTTCCGCGTCCGCCGCCGCCGCCGCCGCCGCCGCCGCCGCGGTTTCGTCCTCTTCGACGACGACCGCGACGGCGACCTCCGCGCTCTTACTCGGCGACGCCGGGACCGAGTGCGTCTCCTTCACGAGCGCGATGAGACGTAAGATGTCCTCCACGCTCGCCGGGTCCTGCGACGCCCTCGCGGCTTCCGCGCCGAGCGACAGCGCGGTCGCGGTCTCGACGATCTCCTCGTCGCTCACGTCGTCGCTCAGCTCCGTCGGGAGCTCGTCCGCGGTGAGAAGCTCCGTCTCCCTCGCGACGTGCTCGTTCTCGGATTCGATCTTCGCGAGGAGCGCGCGCATCTTCTCCTTGCGGCGCTCCGCGGCCGCGGCGTCCGCGGCGTCCGCGGCCGCGATCGCCGCCCTCGCCGCGGCGGCGTCCGCGGCGGCGGCGGCGAACGCTCGCATCGACGCGAGCGCGAGGCGCGATTCGCGGTGCGTCGCGGCGATGCGCAGCATCTCCCCCTCGCGCGCGACCGCCGCGGCAGCCTTGCGCGCGTGCGAGATCGCCACCTGCGCGCGCCACGCGCGCGCGACTTTCCTCGCGACTTTCCACTCCCGCGCGGCTTCGAGCGCGACCGCGGCGCGTTCCGAGTCGACGCACAGCTGGCGCCACCGCGTGAAAATCGCGCTCGTCTGCCGATCCCTCGCGCGTCGCTCCGCGCGCGCCTCCGCCGCGGCGGCTCTCTCCTTCGCCGCCTTCGCGGTCTCCACCGCTTTGAGTCGCGTCCGCTCCGCGGCGGCGGCGAGCCGCTCCGCGTTCGCGATCTCCTCCGCGCGCGACGCGCGTCGCTCCGCCTCCTCCGCCGCCGCCGTCGCCGCCTCGGCTTGTCGCAATCTCTCCAACCTCGCCGCCTCCGCGGCTCGCACGCGCGCGTTCGCTTCCTCTTCCTCGCGCTCGATCGCAGCCTTCGCGGCCGCGGCCTTCGCGGCCTCCGACTCGCGCTTCAGCTGCTCCCTGAGCGCGTCCACCTCGGCGTCCGCGGCGGCGCGTTCGGTCTCCATCGTTCGTCGCATTCGCCGCGACCGCGCGAGCGCGGCGGCGGAAGGCACCGGCGATTCCGCGGGAACCGACGGACGCGACGACGCGGCCTCGCCGCGCAGCCGCGACGCGAGCGTCGTTCGGTACGCCGACGGCTCTTTCGCGGCCACGGGCGGGCGCGCGCGCGAGGCGGAGGAGGAGGACGTCGCCGCGGAGACGCGCCGCGGCTTCGTTTTCGTCTCGACCGCGTCGTCGTAGTCCTCCTCCACCTCCTCCACCTCGCTCGCCCGCCCGGCGCGTATCGACGCCCACCGGCGCTCGTCCCTCGACGCGATACCGTCCCGCGACGACTCGCCGCCGGACGACGGCGACGGCGACGACGACGACGCGCTCGGGCTCAGCTCTCGCATCATCGCTTTCGCCTCGCGAAGCACCTCCGCCGCGCGCGTCAACCTCGGCGACGGCGCCCCGGGACGACTCGCGCCGGACGCGCCGCCGCTCGCGGCACGTTCCCGCCACCGCGCCTCCTTCTCGCGCTGCGCATCGTACAGCCGCGCGACCCTCGCGGCGGCCGCGCCTCTCGTGCCCTCGCGCATCCCGCAGTGGTCGTGGTCCGACGCGATGTTTGAAAAAAAAGGGCGACTTCTGCAGCCCGAGAAGCGCGTGTCGGTTTCGTCGGTAGACCTGATCGCAGCCGACCCTGCGTACCGTAGCAGATACGGAATTCCGCGGTCGTCGACGCAAAAGAAATCTGACTAGGATTGGCGCGTACGAAAGTACAACTACTACTTTACAGCCTGGCAGTTCGTGACTGAAAACTCATACCTAAGGTACGATGCCGAAACGACGATTGGCCGACGTTGCCGACGTGTGCCCACCTCCCGCGCTTACCCCTTTCCGTCCGTGCCTTTTCTGAGTCACCTCGGCGGGGTGACCGCGCACAAGATGAGCGCGCCTGGCGTCGCCATCACGCCTCTCCGCGCGAGAGGCATGGAGATTCTGCATCCGTTGCGATGCGACAGAGGGATGACGCGTCCGCGCGCGGTTTTGACCGCGCGCGGGCGCGTATCGCGCGCGTCTTCGAGCGCGAGCGCGGGCGGGGAATCGTCGTCGTTGCGGGGTAAAATCTCAACGCAGCGCGGCAGGAGCAGGGCCCGCGCGAGCGGCGAGGTGCGCCTCGTCGATCGCCCCACGCTCGCGCGCGCGCTCGTATCGTATCGCGCGCTCCGTCGTCGATCGTCCCGTATCCTCACGCGCGCTTTCCCTCCATCGCGCTCGCAGGCCGACGCGCGATCCGTGAGCGTCGCCGCCGTCGCCGGCGTGGACGAGCTGCAGACGGATGCCGCGTCCGCGGGGAGGGCGAAAGCGGCGGCGACGAACGGCGCGCCGAAGAAGGCGAAGAAGGCCGTGCCGCAGAAAATACCGCAGCCTAGGGAGGAGTTCGTGGAGATGAAGGATATCCACGCGGTCGTGCTCGCGGGAGGGCCGGACAGCGGGAACCCGATGACGCGCACGGACTCGAAAGCCGCGCAGCGATTCGCGGCGACGTACCGCCTTATCGACATTCCTCTCGCGAACCTCATCGCGTCGGGGGTGAGCCGGACGTTCGTGCTCACGCAATGGAACGCGCACTCGTTGAATCAGCACGTCCAGGCGGCGTACCCGCAGGATCTGTTCGGGTTCGGGGATAAAGGGTGCGCGCGCGCCCGTCCCGCGAAGCCGTCAGTCGGTCTCCGCCCATTGTTCGTTTCGCCCCTTTGACGCGACGTTCGGGCGCTCTTTTCGGCTTTTCCGAGAAAAATAAGATTATCCACCCGCGATCGCAGTCGCGCGCTGACCTCGCCCTCTCCCCGCGCGCTCCCTCCCCGCGCCGCCCTTCCCCTCCCCTCCCCTCCCCGCAGGTTCGTGGAGTGTCTGCCGTCGTACCAGCGGCCGGAGGAGAAGACCTGGTCGACGGGGAGCGCGGACTCGGTCAGGCGGCACTACCAAGCTGGGACGCTGCAGGGGAAATCGCACGGCGGGTGTCTGTCCGAGCCCAAGGCGTACATCATCTGCAGCGGGGAATCGCTTTACCAGATGGACTACAACGATATTCTCAAGACGCACAACGAGACGGGCGCGGAGATCACGATAGCGACGCAGAAAAGGAAGGTTGGGGACATCGATTATCACAACCTCGGTGTGCTGAGCATGCGCGAGGACATGGCGACCGCGGTGGAGCACTTCAAGGAGAAGCCGAGCGTGGACGAGCTGAAGGAGATCGCGGTGTGCGGCGACGAGAGCGAGAAGTTGGAGGACTGCGAGGTGGCGGTGAACATGGGGATCTACGTCTTCTCGGAGCGCATCATGCGTGATCTCCTCGGGAGGATAGAGTGCGTCGCGGACGACATGTCGCTGGACCTGGGGAAGGATTTCATCCCGATGGCGATCGGCTCGGGGTACGCCGTGCACGCGCACGAGTACGCGGGGTACTGGCAACCGATTCGGACGTTCCGGGACTGGTACGACGCGAACATGGAGCTGTGCCGGAGCGGTTTAACGCCCGAGGAGAAGGCGAACACCGCGGCGTCGTTGGTGTCGCACGAGTTCAAAATTTTCACCATCGCGCGGTGCCTCCCGCCCGCGAAGTTCAACGGCGACGTGTACACGGAGGGCACGATCGCGTCCGAGGGCGTGTGCGTGGGCGCAAACACGAAGCTCACGAACGCGCTGATCGGGCCGTGCGTCGCGATCGGGCCGGACTGCGACATCGCGGACACGATCTTCGTCGGGAACTTGTCGATGAATTCGATTCACAACGCGAACGTCCCGGACGTCGGGAAAGGGAGCGTGTTGCGGGGGGTCGTCGTGGACAGAGACGTCGTCATCGGCGAGGGGTGCGTGATCAACAACGCGCGGGGGTGGAAGTCCCACGAGGCGACGGACGCGGATGGGCACGGGTACGTCATTCAGGATGGGATCGTGACCTTGTTGCAAGGCACCGTTCTGCCGCCGGGCACCGTGATTTGAGCGGGGTTTGGTCTTTTATTTGGTTTTGATTTTTTAGCGAATCGCAAACGAACGCACGGACGCCGTGCGTGCTTCGCGTAGTAAGATGGCAGCGAGTTGTAATCCAGAAAGTTCAAGGAATCGCGCCGGCTACTGTCCTAGACCGCTAATTTGACCTAATTATTTTTTTTCGCCTTAGCCGTCGCCGTCTGAGCGACCTTTAAATCCTCCTTCACGAATAAATACCAGAACCATATGCATCCCGGGGTCACGCAGTGCCACACCGCGTGCGAGTCCACGAGGTGATACGCCGGGGGGTAGTCGAACACCTCCCCGAGCGCGGCGACGTGGAAAGTCGCGCCGAACGCGAGCAGCCACCGCCGCCCGGGATGCCGCCCTCTCCCTCTCCCGCCGCCGCCGCCACCGCCGCCGCCGCCGCCGCCGCGCGATCGAAATCGAAATCCACGAAACGCCCACCATAACATCACGACCCAGAACGCGCCTATCAGCGCGAACATCGCGCGCATGTTGTACTCGTACCGGTACCGCTGGCGCGGCGGGTTGACGTGTCGGACGTGCGCGACCGCCGCCGCGACGAACGCGACGGCGAGCGCCGCGGCCCGTCTCGCGCTCGGCTCGAACGCCCTCACGAACGCGGCGTACAGGGCGTAAAAGAACACGATGTTCACGCCGAGGTAATCCATGTAGTGCGTGAACGGGAGCTCCCTGCAGTGGAATAGAACGCTCCATATCCATGCGTTTATGTTCACGAGCGTGAACCCCAGCCACAGCGCGGCGAAGCGCATCCGACGCTTCGCCGCGCGGGTCAACGTCGGCAGACGCCACGCGTGCGCGCCTCCGTTCGCGACGGACGCGACCGCGGAGACGATCTCCTGCGTCCCCAGCACCCTCGCGAACGGCCACTTGCCGTAGTACTTCTTCGGCTCCAACCCCTCGCGTCTTCGCGCCCTCTCCACGGCGGTCATGCAACGATATTTGCAGTCGCTCGCGCAGTCCCATCGGAGCACCCTCAGCGCCGCGTCGAACTCGCGCGGGGACGTCCCGTTCAGCGATGTCCCTCCGTCCGCGCACGACGACACGCACGCGCCGGCCGTCGTCGTGACGTTCCCCGTGTTCGAGTCCCGAAGCGACGCGCATCCGGTCTTGAAGCAGTCGTGCCGCACGCAGACGTCCATGACCCACGCGTAGTTCTGCGGCTTCTTCGGCGGCGGAGGCGGCGGCGGCGGAGGCTCCGCTGTCGCGACCGCGAGCGTCGGGAGGAAGAGGAGGAGGAGGGAGAGGAGGGAGACGACGCGGCGGACCATCGCCGCGCGCGGTCCGCCGCGCCACGAGCGCGGCGCGGCGAGAGGTGCGGTCGCGGTCGGTCCGCCAACGCATCGTCGGGCTCTTCTCGAGTTTATACTGTTAAGATCTGCCGTAACCCCCCGCGCCCTCTTCACAGCTCTCGCCGCGACGGGAGGCGCACGCCGCCCCCGTCGCCGGCTCCGAGTTTCTTCCTAGCCCTAACCCCGCGCGCGATGCCGCCGGTGGTGAAGAGCGCGCTCGCGTACTACGTCCGAGCGGTCGCGTACGTCTCCCTGTGGGCGGCCGCGTCCGTGACGCTCGTCATGGCGAACAGCTACGCGATCCGCGTCGACGAGTTCGAGTTCCCGATGACGATATCCATGTGTGGGCCGCTTCTCACGTTCCTCGTCGCCCTCGTCGCGGTCCTGAGCGGGCACACCAAGCTGACGCGGCGGATGACCGCGGGGGAGTACGCGCGGACGATGCTCCCCGTCGGCGTGTGCACCGCGTTCAGCCTCGCGATCGGGAACGCCCTCTACCTGTACTTCGAAGTCTCGTCGGTGCAGCTCCTGAAAGCGTTCTCCCCGGTCGTGACCGGCGGCATGCTCGTCGCGCTCGGGATGGATGTCGTCACCGCCCCGAAGCTGTGCGGCGTCGTGATGATGACGGGCGGGACCGCGCTCGCGTGCAGCGGCATGACCGAGTTTAGCGTCGTCGGGTTCTGCATCGTCCTCGGCGGCGAGCTCGTGGAGGGGTCGCGGATGGTCCTGTGGCAGCACGTCCTGAAGACGAAGAAGATGCCGATGATCGAGGGGTTGCTGTACTACGCCCCGGCCGCGTTCGTTTTCCTCGCGACCGGGGTGGCGATCTTCGAGCGGGACGCGTTCTCGGAGTCGGAAAACTCGAGGAAGCTGTCGCGGAAGCCGCACTTGTACTTGGGCATCGGCGTGCTCGGGGCGCTCGTCAGCGTCGGGACCGTGGGGGCGATTCAGATATGTGGCAGTTTAACGTTCAAAGCCCTCGCGCAGGTGAGGAACGCGGTGATCATCTTCGGCGCGGTCTTATTCTACGGCGACGACTTGACGATCAGAGAGGTGTGCGGGTACGTCGTGACGCTGAGCGGGTTCACTTTGTATCAGTATTACAGGACGCAGGAGGACATGAGGGAGATACGCGCGACGGGGTACGACGCGATCGGCGAGGGGGAGAAGGAAGGGTTACTAGCGAAGCAGAAGCGGGGACAGTAGGCGAACCGGCACTGCGAATAATTCATTCATTTAAACGTTCTGCGCGCGCGCACACGTGCAGTAGTCGATCAGTCTAAGCACCGTCCTCCTCCTTCTCCTCTCCTCTCTCTTCCGCGGCCGCCGCCTCCGCGGCCGTGCACGCCGCGTCCGCCTCCGCGGCTTTCGCGCTCAAGCGAATCACGACCTCGGCCGCGGCTTGCAACTCCGCCGCGGTCGCCGCCGAGGCGGTGTCCGCGGCGGCGGCTTCAGCCGCCGCGACGGCGGCGGCGGCGTTCGCTTTTCTCGACCTCGCGGTCGCCGTCTCGGCGTCGTGCAACGCCCGCTTGTTCTTGTCCTCCGCGACTCTGAACACCCTCCGCGCGGCGGCCTCTGCCGCGGACGCCTCCGCGGCTTTCGTCAACGCCGCGTCGGCGACGTCTTCCTTCGTGTAAATCAACTTTCTGAGCATGTCGTGATTCACGCGAATGCGTTCGAGTCGGCTCTTCTCAAACTCGGAGAGCGACCCGGCCTCGGAGAGCGCGGACTGTTTCCCCATCCACTCCGGGTGCATCAGAAGTTCGGGAGTCGCGCCGGCGACGCCTCCGCTCGCGGCGTCCTTCGCGCGTCGTTCCCGGGCCCTTCGCAGCGTTTTTTTAACAACCGCCGAAGACGCGTCCCCGCCGGGCCTGTGCTTCTTCCACGGTATCGGCGCCTCCGCGAACCCGTAGCGCTTGCGCCCGCCGCGGAGCTTGACTTCGTCCAGCCACTGATCCATCGCGTCATCGTCTCCGCAGTCGCCGCCGTCTCGGCGCGCGCCGCCGTCGTCGTCTTCGCTTCCGGGCGGGCACGGGAGCGCGAGCACGGCGTCTTCCTCTTCCTCCTCCTCCTCCTCCTCCTCCTCCTCTTCGTCGCCCTCCTCGTGCGCACGCTCGTCGTGCGCTCGCTCGGCGATCCGCCGCGCCTCGCCCGCGCCGGGCAAGATGTCCGTCCCGTGCTTGTCCGCCTTCAGCGCCACCGCCTGCCCTTTCCTCGCGACGCTGAACGCCTTGAACTCGCGGTTCGTCAGCGGCGCGTCGCACCCCGACGCGTACACCTCCGCGCACGACCACTTGTCCTTCGCCTGCGCGTCGATGAGGGACTGCCCGTACGGGAGCTCGCGCCATCGATCGCACACGTCGCACGCGACCCATGAGTCGCGGTATTTCTTCGCCGCGTCCTCGTGGAGGCGGTCCGTGAGGTCCTCGAACGCGGGGTGCTCCAGGAACGTTCGGTCGAACGGCACGTTGAGCTCGCCGGCGTGAGAGAACTCGTCGTAGAACCTCCGGTACGTCTCCAACTTTTCGCTCTTCGTGACCGTGGGGGCGACCATGCAGAACACCGCGATCCCGAACCCGATCGGGGTGTTGTCGTAGTCCTTGAACCGGATCGCGTCCCTTCGAAGGAATATCCGCGGGAACGGATGCAGCCGCTGGAAGTAGCTCGTGTCCGTGGAGTTCCGACACACGAGCAGAATCCCGGGGCAGAACCCCCACTCCACCTCGTTTATCGCGCGGTTGATGAACCGCCACTGCACTTGCGACTCGTACGACGGGTTCAAGACGACGTGGTACCCTTTCCACTCGTTCTCTTGCTTCAGCCCGTCCTGCTTCTTATCGAACGTCTTCTCCGCGGGAATGTTGGGCCGCCGCTTGTTATTCGTGCACGGATCGAGCAAGCCTCGGATGATCGGCTCGTCGACCGTGGGCACGTTCAAACAGAAGACGCGGCACGCGGCGTCGACGATCCAGTCCGGGGTGAGGCCGTCCTTCGCACTCTCTTCGTTCACGACGTCGACCTCGAGCGCGGGCGGCCGATAGATCTCGAACCCCGACCGTCCGCTGTTCCCGACCGGCGCGTCGACGTTCCCGGGCTCGCCGTCTCCGTCGTCGCTGTCGCTCCACGGCGGCTCGAACGCCTCGAGCTCCGCCTCCGCGACCTCCTGCAGCGCCTTCCTCGCGACGCTGAGGTATATCCTCACGCCTTTCTCGCCCTTCTTCTTCCGGTGGCCCTTCGACGGCGCCGCGGCGGCGAGTAACGTTCCAATCGTCGCCTCGCGTTCGGCGGCGTCCTCGCCGACGTACCGCTTGAGATCCTCCGCGGCGGACCACACGAACGACCCGTCGCCGAAGCATCGCACGAGCGCCCTCGGCGCGACCGCGCTCGCGCCGCGGCGCGCCCACAGCTCCTTCGCGCGCGCGCAGTTCGAGAGCTTCCACACGCGACCGGGCCACCACACGCCGCCGTCTTCGCGTTTCGCGTCGGCGATTCGCGCCCAGACGAGCCGCCCGTGCCGGTAGCCGTCCAGGGGGGCGAGATCGCAGCGAGGCAGGCGCGCTTCCGCGTCCGCGGCGGCGGCCTCCTCCGCGGGGTTGAGCTTCGCATTCTTCTTCTTATTCTTCTTCGGCTTCGGATTGGACTTCGACTTGGACTTCGACGCGCGGCCGCTGTCGCCCGGCTGCCACCCGGTTTTCGGTCTCGATTGCGCCGGCGTCGCCGGCGTGCGCGTCGTCGCCGTCTCCGCGTCGTCGCCGTCGTCCTCGTCGTCCTCGTCTTCGTCCTCGTCTTCGTCCTCGTCCTTGACGCGCTCGTCTTTCATCACGGGAACCATCGCGTCCGCGTGGATCAGCGACGAGTGCGTCGCCATCGGATCGCGGACGTGCGTGAAGAACGGCGGCGTCGGCGGCGTGGGCAACTTCTTCGGCGGAGACGACGCGACGCCGTGCTCCTTCGCGCGTTGGTTTTTCGTCGGCGCCGCCGCGCGAACGACGCTCGGGGATATCGCTTTGTCCTTCCGCGCCGCTCGCTTCGCCGCGGCCGCTCGCTTCTTCGCTTTCTCGGCCCTCAGCTTCTTCCTCGCTTCGTTCCTCGCCTCGATCGCGTTTTTTTTCCTCGTCGCGAGCGATCTCGCTTTCCTCTCCTGGTCCCCGAAGTTGTGCAGCGGCGCGGGGTCGTACGTCGCGCTCGGCGCTTTCCTCGCGCGCGCGGACGCGTTGATCTCGAGCTGAAGCCGCCGCGCGATCTCTGCGTCGGTCATCGCGGCCGCGTCGGAGGCTGTCGGGAACGACGACATCGGATCCGCCAAAAAATACCAAAAATCCAGTCCAGTTGTTAACGCGACGCCTCGATACGCGAGCTACCGCGAGCTTCGGAAGCGAACGAGCGCGGGGGGGGACGGCGACGGCGTCGTGTAGAGCTCCTCTTCCCCGGGTACCGTCCGCGGGAGGGTCGACGCGCGCGCGCGCGCACTGACCTGCGCTCCGAGAGAACCGATCGCGACAGGAACAGAAACTTTTGGATTGTTCGGATATTTCTTCTAGAAAGAATCAGCCAATATCGTGTGTCTACGCCCTAGTCTAAGCTAGCACCCCCACCCCGCGCGAATCAGTTCGACTTCTTCCTCCGAGACCGCGTCCCCGCCGCCGCAGAAACCGCGCGCGTCTCCCCCGCGCGCTGCTCGAAACCGAGGTACGCCGCCGCCGCGCACATGGCGGTGGAACAGAGGAAAAACCTAACCGCGTCCCCGAGCCCCGATCCGCAGTACGCGCGCACGAGCTCTCGGAGTCCGTCCATGCCGACGACGTAACCGACCATGTTCCCCGCGACGAGGACGTGGACGTTCAGCCCGCCGAGGAGGGACCGTAACGCACGATAAGTGAACGTTTCTTTGTACACAGCGGACGGAAAGAGCGCGTTCCCGAGCGCGACGACGCCAACCTCCGGCGCGAGAAACGCGGCGAATATGAGCGACCAGTACATCAGCCGCCACGATATCTCATCGTGCCACGCGCCGACGAACCCGAATATCACCCACGCGTTCAAGACTCGGTACTTCGCCCCGCCCAGAGGGATGTATAAATACCGGACGAGGAACTTGTTATACGACGCGTGCCACCCGCGCCAAAACCCCGCGATCGTCGAGTTGTTATTCACGCACCGCAGCATGTTCTCCGGGGCTTCGACGCCGCCGAGGAGCGCCCAGAGGCGGAAGAATCTCCACATCACCGCGAACTTGAGCCACATGAAGTTCAACACCATCAAGCTCGTGACGCCCACCTCCATGGGACCGAAATCACCGCCGTGGCTAGCCCCGGGTTCGATCGCGACCCGCCGCCACGTCCACGCCCTCGTCTTCGCGATCGCGTTCGCGTACTGCGTGTGCGTCCACAGCTCGCACAGCGACAAAATCAACCCAAACTTCACGACCGCGTACGTGATCACCCCGCGAGCGGAGTACGTCCGCTGCGGCGCGTACATCTGCGACGCGAACGCGTTGAACGTGATCGTCGGCCCGGCGAGATACAGCGGCGGGTACAGCCCGTGCGCGACGTACTCCGCGAGCGAGTACCGAACGTCGGGGGACGCGGTCTCGACGATCGCGGCATACGCGGCGCGCGCGCCGTCGTCGTCGTCGTCGTCGTCGTCGTCGTCGTCGTCGCGCATCGCGGGCGCGGGCGCGCGAGGCTCGAGGTCGTCGTCGTCGTTTTTCTTCGCGCGCGCGTCCGCGTCCCCCCGCCGCCTCGACCGCGACCGCGACCGCGACCGCCGCGCGTGCAGGTCCAACCCGTACGAGATCAGCCGCAGCGTCAGGAGGTTGAAGCTGATGTACCACCGCGGCATCGCGCCCTTGAACGACGCTCCGTCCATCCACGCCAACGACGCGGCGATGTCGCCGAAGCGCCATCGCGCGGCGTGGTACTGCGACAGACCGAGGCACGCCGCGCCGCTGATCCACGTCGCGACGGCGCCGACGCGGGGCGTCCCGGCGGCGGCGGCGACGACGACAAAGTGCGCGAGCATCAGCGCGAGGATCCACAGCGTCCCGAGCCCGTGCAGGTAAGAGACGAACGCGAGGCCGTAGACGACGTGGAACGGGACGATCCACGACTTGGGCGCGCGGCGTCGGACGAGCGCCACGAGCGGCGTCGTGATCGCCGCGAGCGCGAGAAGCTTCGGGAGCCCGCCGCGGAAATCTCTCCACTGCGCGTCCGACAGGTCGTTCGCGCGCGCGCCGAACATCCACCCGCGGGTCAGCCCGGGCAGGCGCGGGACGTCCGTCCCGGGGTGCCGTCCGTACCTCGCCGGGTGGGGCTCCTCGCCGCCGTTTCCGCCGAACCCGAGAAAGCGCTCCGCGGACGCGAAGGACGCGCGCGCGGAGGGCGACAGCGACGGATCGTACCGCGCGGACACCGCGGCGCCCTTCGCGACCGCGGCGGTCATGAGGACGACGGCGACGACGAGCGCGATGGTCCGCTCGAGCGTCCTCGCCGCGCTCGCGCGGGGGGACGGCGCGCGCGGAGGAGCTCGCATCGTGCCGTCGCCCCGCCGCGCGAGCGGCACTGCGCGTCGCTCGCCGAAACGCCCCGACGGACGGACGATGACGATGACGTCGATTCGTTCTTGGAAGACGCCGACGACGCGAGATCCCGCCGCACTCCGCGACGCCCCCGACGCCTCGGACCCCGCTCGCGCGCGACATGAAACCATCATCCCTCCTCCTCGCGATCCTCGCCGTCGCGTCGTGCTCCGCCGCGACCGCCGCGCGCGCGGTCCCGCTCGCGACGAACACCCTCGCCGCGGACAACTCGCTGACGCTGCAGACGACGCTGTCGTCGTCGCGCCTGTCCTCCTCCTGGCGCGACGACGACGACGACGACGACGCGCCCGCCCCGGGCCCGAAGACGCACACGCTGCCGTACTCGAACCCGAACACGGGCGCGTGCATGGCGAACGAGCAGAAGGTGGCGATTCAAGGCCTCCCCGGGTCGTTCTGCTCCCCGAGGTGCTCGCCCGCGTCGCCGTGTCCGGCGGACACGCACGTCGGCGCGACCGCGCAGGGGGAATGCGTGCTCGAGCCCGCGGGGGCGTCCGAGCCGTCCCAGTGCGCGCTGATTTGCAAGCCCGCGTCGCCGTTCCACGCCGCCGGGCCGACGTGTCCCAAGGGCGCGACGTGCCAGCCGATCCAGGGCGTCGGCATCTGCACGTACGGGGAGTGATGAGCGCGCCGACGCCGACGCTCGAATTCTACGACGAGGAGACTGATGGACGAGACGAGACGACGTTTCGACGACGACGAGAACGGAGACCGGACCCGACCGCGACCGACGAGCCGAACGACGGTCCGCGCCGTGAGATGAAGTACAGTAAGTCCCTTAGACGTCGTCTGTGTCGTGAGAACGTAACGCGTTCATTGCTCATCGTTCGCGTGCTACGCGTGCTATAAGTAGTGTTGCTATCCTCGTCCCCGACTAAAATCCGCCGCTCTCCTCACGCCGGGTACGGGTACTGTACGCCTCTTTCGGCAACGCGACGTGGTGCACGATCGAGTGAAACAACCAGCGCAAAGTCACGACGACGCCGCCGTACTGCTCCTCGAGCGCCCGCACGTCGGCGTCGGCGACGGCGTCGTCGACGATGATCGTCGTCGCTCTCCCGCCGCCGACGCCGCCGACGCCGACGCCGACGCCGCGCGGCGCGACGTCGTCGACGTCCTCGCCCTCGTCCTCGCTGTCCGGCACGCCCTGCTCCGTCTCCGAGGCCGGCGGCGGCGTTGAACTCCCGTCGTCGGCGCCGCGCGTGGACGTGGACGGCGCGCTCGCGAGCGTCGCGCCCCCCGCGATCAGCAATCCCTCGATCTCTTTCACCAGCAGAGGCGTCTCGGGCGAGAGACGCGCCTTCGCGACTTCGCCGGCGAAGACGCCGGGGGCGCACTTCTCTCGTCGCTCGCGCCCGCCCGCGGGGCCGATCGCGACGGAGGACGGGACCGGGTCGTACGCGTCCCCGCGCCCGGAGTCCGCGATCTCGTAGTCGGCTTCGTTCAACCACCGCCCCGCGGCGGCGGAGTCGAGCGCGTAGTCGGCGCGCAAGATCCATATCCCTCTGAGTATCGCCTCGAGGTATCGCACGGTGCGGTACTCGGACACGACGCGATCGTTCGCGCCGCCGCCGAGGTCCATGAGCAGGTGCGTCGTGTTCCTCGACAGGCGGTCTTCGTTTCGAAGCTCGAACGAGGAGCCGTCGCGGACTTTCTCGACCGCCGCGGCGAGTCGTCTCGTCGCCGCCGCGGCGAGTCGTCTCGTCGCCGCCGCGTGCGATCCGCCGCCGCCGCCGCCGCCGGCGGCTTTCCGTTTCGACCCCGTGCTGACCTGCGTGTGCTCGAACACCTTCGGCGACGACGATCGCGTCGTCGCCGCGGCTTTCACGACGACCGCGGCGTCGGCGTCGGCGTCGACGTTGTCGTCCTTCGCCGCGAGCGGCTTCCGTCGCGACTCCCCCGGGGGGAGCACGAGCGCCGCGGCTTCTTCCCTCGCCGCCGCCGCGTTCGTCTTCCTCCGCTCGCGCCTGCGCGCCTCGCGCGCTTCGTCCTCTCTCGCCGCGGCGGCCGGGTCCAGTGGACCCGCCTCGCCCGCCGCGTCCGCGTCGGTTGACGTTCCATCTTCCTCCGCGAGCGCGAACGCGGCGACGGACGCGAGGACGTCCTTGTCCAGTTTCTCCAACGCGCGTCGAAGCTTCTTCAGCGTCATCTTCTTCGGCGCGGATCGACCGTGCGCGGCGGCGTACATCGACCGCGCCTGCGTCAGCGTCATCGTATCCGGCTGCGTCACCGACTGCGTGGGCTGCGTCGGCGGCGCGGTCGCCGCGGCGAGGGAGGACGTCCGTCGCGTCTGCGTCTCCTCGGCGGCGGCTTCGATCGCCGCCGCCGCCGACCTCGCCGCCGCCGCCGACCTCGCCGCCTCCGTCTCCCGCGTCTCCTCGAGCTCCAGCGCCGCGATCTTCGCGTCGAGCCACGCCGCGTGCGCGTCGATCGTCGCGATCTCCTCCTCGAGGACGCGGCATCGCGCCTGCTTTGGATTCGACGCGGCGGGGGTGTTCACCGCGGGCGGCGCGGCGGCTGATTTCGCGCGTTTCGGCGACGGCTCCTCGACAGCTGGACTCGCGCCCGCCGCGGCGTCCTCCTCCTCCTCAATCGCGCGCGCGTCGTCTCCATCTCCCGCCGCGGGTTCGAGGTCGTCTACTTCGTCCTTCTTCACCGCGCGCTCTTCCTCCTTCGCGGGTCGCGACGCCGCGCGCGGCGTCGTCGGGTTCCCGCGCTCGCGCTCGTCCGCCTCCGCCGTCGCGCGCATCGCGGGAAAGTTGTGCACCAGACACTCGAGCGCGCGGTTCACGCGCAGGTCTTTCACGTACACCGGGTGCGTGCACGCCTCGTCCGGGCACTCGTTCTTGTACACGCCCTTCCCGCGCAGCGTGTCCTCCACGCACGCGCGGCAGAAAGTGTGCGCGCACGGGAGCGTGCACGGACGCGTGAACAGCTGCGAGCACAGCGCGCAGGTCAGATCCGCGGCGATCGCGTCGAGCGGCTCGGCGACCGTGCCGAGGTCGTCGTAGTCCTCCATCGCGGCCGCCGCCTTCGTCGCGGCCGCCGCGGCGGCGACCGCGGTCGCGGACCGCCTTCGTCGCGGCGGCATGACGGCGAGAGCCCTCGCGTCGCGCGCACTGACGGCTACGACGACTCGCGTCGAAGTGCTGACATGACCAAGACGTTTGAAGTCGCCAGTTTCAAAGCACGTTTTTTCACCGGTGAATCATCGGCAATTTTCATCGTTAAAAATGTGGAACATAGGGTGAACATGACCTTTCAACGAGTGGATTTCTAGCTAGGGTGCGAATGCGAACGTCTGTTCGTCTGTGGAAGCCGCTCGAGCTGCGAACGACGACTCGCGCGCGCTACTTCGCCAGCGCGGCGTGCGTCCTCACCCCCACGGGCACGACGCCGCTCCCGTGCATCCTCACCCCGCGCGCGTCCCCCTCCCCCTCCTCCTCCTCGTCGTCCAGCTCGTCGTAATCGTCGCTGCGGAAAAACGTGTACGACAGCGTCACGTCGTTCACGTCCGCCATCGCCGCGTCCGTCGCGAACTCGGGGTCCAGGTAAAAAAACACCGGCATGTCCACCTCCTCGCCCGCGCGCAGCCGCTGTTCCTCGAAGCAGAAGCACTGCACCTTGTTGAAGTGCGACCCGGCTTTGTTCGGCTGGACGTTATACGTCGCCACGCCCGTGACGTCGCGCGCGCTCTCGTTCTTCGCGGTGAAAAACGCGAGCGTCGTCTCCCCCGGACGCACCACGACGGACTTTTGCGTCGGGGTGAACCTCCACGGGAGACCCTCCGCGACGTCGGCGTTGAAGGATATGACGACGTCGCGCGACTTGGCGGCCGCGGTGACCGCCGGTGGGGCGTTCGCCTGCGCCGCGAGCTTCTCCTCCACGGTTTTCCTCCTCGTCGTCCCGCCGAACCCGGTGGCTTGACAGAACATGCGGTACAACGGCACGGACGCGTACGTTAGGCCGACCATGCCGATGGTCATCGCGAAGAGGTACATCCCGCCCGTGCTCGCGGACGCGCGATGACGCGCGGTCTCCGCGGCGATGTAAGCGCGTCGACGCGCCGCGGCGGCGGCTTCGTTCGCCGCCGACGCCGACGCGCCCGCGCCAACGCCCGCGGATCCCGACGACGACCCTCCGCTCGGTCCTCCCCCTCCTCCTCTTCCTCCCCCCGTGGACATCCCCCTGGACGACGCGCTCGATCCCGAGGCCGCGCGCGCTCGAGCGGCGAACGGCAGCGCGGACGACGCGCGCGACGACGACGACGTCGTCGTCGTCGCCGCCGTCGACGCGTCGATCGAGAGGGCACGCGCGACGAGATCGCGCCTCGGCGCCGCCGCCCACGCTTCGAGGTGCCGCGTGGACGATCGCGAGGACGTCGCGCTCGCGGCGAGAGACGCGTTCGCGGCCGCGACGCGACGCGCGGCGTGGCGCAGCATCACGAGAAGACGTGCGCGTCGTCCGTGGCGGCGATCGCCCCGCGCGCGAAATGATTGACGATGACGTCGTCACTCGCACCTCGCGGTCGCGCTCGCGGTCGTCGCGGCCGAGAACAGAAAGACGTTGGTGGGCCGAAAACGCCTTCATCTGGCGACGCGCGCGCGCGCACGCCCGCGTCATGACCGCCCGAGACTCGCGCCCCTCCGCGCTGGAGAACCTCGCGGCGGCGGAGAACAGCGCGCCTCCCTCCCCCCTCGCGCTGACGTCCTCCGCGGGCGCGGTCGCGACGTTCAGATCCGCGGAGGCGGCCGCCCCCGCGAATCGTCTCGCGCACGTCTCGGAGCGCTTCGCGCGGTTCTACAGCGACCTCGAGAACGAGAAAGCGTCGAGAAGAGAGGTCGAGACCGGGCGCAGGAACGCGCTGTACGACCAAGTCCAGAGGCTCGAGCTCGAGCTCGAGAACGAGACGAAGCGCCGCGCGGACGCGGACGAGGAGACGCGACGCGCGATCGAGCGCGAGCTGAAAAACTTCGAACGCGCCGCGGAGACGCGCGTGCAAGACGCCCTCGCCGGCGTCAAATCCACCCTCGACACCCTCGCGTCCTCGCTCGCGGAGCTCCACGCGGGCCTTCGCGAGGAACGCGAGCAGCGGAGGGTCGACGTCGAGCACCTCGCGAGCAGCGTCGTCGCCAAGGTGGACGAGTGCGCCTCCGCCGTCGACGACGAGCGCGTCGACCGGCTGCGACGCGAGGCGGCGACGCTGAGGTGCGTTCTATCTCACACCGGTCCCCGTACAGTACGACCGCGTCGGCGTGGTGCACGCCGTTCCTTGAGGACTTTTCCCGGCGCGCGCATCTCTCCGCTCATCCCTCCCTCGCTTTCAATCCCGACACACCTCGACGCCTTTCAACTCCGACCGACGCCTTCCGACTCCCTCGTCCCGACGTTCGCTCGTACGGAACGCGCCTCAGACGCGTCGGCGAGGACGTGCTGCGGCTGCAGGAGAAGGTGGACGGCGAGCGGAGCGTCCGCGAGGCTGCTCTCGCGGACGTCTCGAGCGCGGTGGCGGAGCTGCGGCGCGCGAAGCGAGGGGACGAGGACGCCTTCCACGTCGTCGCGTTGGGCGAGATCGCCGCGGTGAAGGCGCGTTCTATACACTGGTTCCCATATGACCCCGTTCGCGTGGTGAACGCCGTTTCTTAAGGACTTCGCCCGGCGATTCTCTCCGCCCACACCACGCTTTCAATACCCGCCCTCGGCGCCTTTCAACTCCAACTGACGCCTTTCAACTCCACCCCGACGTTCGCTCGTATGGAATGGCCCTAAGGCGGCGATCAACGCGGAGAAGGAGGAACGCGTCGCGGAGGACGAGAGCATCGTGCGCGCGATCAACGAGTACACGCGCGCGCTTCAGGATGGGCTGCGGATCGTGAACCAGAGCTGAGGGGGGGAGTGGGGCGCCGAGGGATCGCGGCGCGCTGCGGGGGGGGTACGTAGACGGGGTTCGGCGACGCGCGTAGATAGAAGACCAAGGAATCGCAATCGTTTTATTGGACGGGACGAGACGCTGAAACGTGTCACACCCACGGCGCGGTCAGCGCGCGCGTCTGAGCCGTCGCGGACACGCGCGCCCCGGCGCGGGATGTTATGTTCGCGCGCGCGCGCATAGCGAACGTCGTCTCGTCGTCGCTGCTCTCGCGCGTCGCGCGTCGTCCCCCGCGTCGCGACGCGGGCGCGACCTCCTCCGGCGGCGCGATGGCGCGAGAGGCGTCGTGGAGCGACGGGCCCGACGGCGCTCGGAGAAGAACCCCCCCGGACGCGCCGCACGGGCCGGTCGTCGCGCTGTACGACAAGTGCGTCGCGACGCTCCCGTCCGTCCCGGGGGTGCGGCCCGTGCACGACGACCACGTGCGCGCGATCATGCCGTACCTCGAGGCTGTCACCGCGCGCGACCTCGCGCTCGAGGTGCCCGACGAGGCGAAGACGCCGCCGTCGACGTCGACATCGCGATTGGACCGCGCGGGCTTGCGCGGCGGCGGCGGCGGCGGCGGCGGCGGCGACGGCGACTTCTTCCGCCGGGGAGAGAGAGAGAGAGTCGGCGAGAGAGAGAGAGAGAGGTCGTCGCCGTCGTCGTCCCCCGAGCCCGGCGCTCGACGCGGGCTGGAGTACCTCCACCTCCACGAGGACCTCGCGTTCACGCTCGGCGTCTTCAAATTCCTCGCCGCCGGCGACGCGATACCGACGCACGACCACCCGGGGATGACGGTCATGTCCAAAATTCTCTACGGCGCCGTTCACGTGAAATCGTACGACTGGGTCGTCGCCCCGGAGGACGAAGGGAAGCCGCCGCCGCCGGTCCCGGTCGGGACGCCGAGGCTCGCGAGGGTGGTGCGCGACGGTGTCGTCGCCGCGGGGACGACGCCGCTCGCGCTGTTCCCGACCCGCGGAGGGAACGTCCACGGGTTCACCGCGATCACGCCGACGGCGATGTTGGACGTCCAGGCGCCGCCGTACGCGCTCGGCGCGGGGAGAGACTGCCATTACTTCCACGAGGTGAGCGAAGGGCCGGGAGGGGAGCCCGCGGGCGCCGGCTACGCGTGGCTCGCGGCGGCGCCGTCGCAGCCGGAGAGTTTCCGCATCGATCACGGGACGTACCGAGGGCCGAAGTTCGGGAGCAACGCGACGGAGGGGGGGTACTACACGTACGAGGGGGGTCACATGATGCACTGAGTGGGTCGTTGACGTGCGCGTTGATCGTTGCGTAGTCGGGATAGCCATTCTACAGTCAAGCCTGCGACGAGTCTTTTCGCCTTCTGCTGCCATGCCAGGCGTATACCATCATTTGGACGCGCGTCGGATCTCATCATAGGCATCGCGCGCGGAGGAGGGATCGCGCGATACCGATGCCGGCGCCTGATGTCGCCACGCACGTCAAGGCGGCACTGGCGTCGTCCAAAGTCGACGACGAGGTGAGCGAGTACGTCTCGGACATGATGGGAGGGATGCTCGACGACGCGGACGACGGCGCGTCGCGCGACGAGCTCGTCGAGGAGCTCGTGGACGCCGCGGGGGCGATGCTGCTCGAGTTTATAGACGAGAGCGCGGTGAAGGCGCTGTGCGAGAGCGCGGTGAATCACCACAAGGGCGGCGAGAGCGCCGGCGGCGACGGCGGCGGCGGCGGCGGCGGCGGCGGCGGCGGCGGCGGCGGCGACGGTGCCGACGAAAAGAAGGACTACTGCCTCGACCTCCAGGGCATCATCCTCGCGTTCGCCGGGAAAGTCCTCCTGCGACCGACGTCGCTGCGGCTCGAAATCGGGCGAAGGTACGGCGTCGTCGGCCAGAATGGCGCGGGGAAGACGACGCTCCTCACGAGGCTCGCCGCCGGGGACATCAACGGCTTCCCCCCGCGGCTTCGATGCGTCTTCGTCCAGCACGAAGTTCTCGTCTCGCTCGCGGCCCCGGTGAAGGACTTTCTCAAGTCCCAAGCGATCGAGCTCGGCGCGGATGCGAACGACGTGGCGCCGTGCTTACGCGCCGTCGGGTTCACGGACGAGCTCGCGCGCAAGACGGTCACGGAGCTGTCCGGGGGATGGCGGATGCGACTCGCGATCGCGCGAGCGATGTTACAGAAAGCCGACCTCCTCCTCCTGGACGAGCCGACGAACCACCTCGACGTCGGCGCGGTCGACTGGCTCGCCTCGCACCTCTGCGCGCTGACGAACACGACCGTGCTCGTGGTCTCGCACGACTACGACTTCCTCACGACCGTCGCCACCGACATCGTGCACTTCGAGGATCAGACGTTGACGACGTACGACGGCGGGTTTCAAAACTTTCGAGCCGCGAACCCGCGGCTGGTGCTTCCGCGCATGAAGAAAGACCTCGTGGACGCGATCAAAACCGACGCGGAAGCCGCGGGCGAGGCCGCGATCGGCGACGGCATGGGCGCCGGCGACGGCGCTGGCGACGGCGACGCGAGCAGGCTGCGCGCGTCCGCGGTGTTGGGCGCGAGCGGCGGAAAAAGCGGCGAGCTCGGCACGCGCGCGTCCGCGTACGCGCCGAGCGGGTCCGTCGCGGGGGGGTTCGCCGCGGCGATGACCGGGACGTCCCGCGGCGGCGTCGGGAAGTCGACCGGGGGCGGGGATAAGCCGCTCATCTCGTTCCCGGACCCGGGACCGTTGGACGGCGTAAAGAATAAGCATCAGGCGGTGTTGAGGGTCGAGGAGGTTTCGTTTTCGTACGCGACGTCTTCGGCGAAGGTTTTGGACGGCGTCAACGCGCGCGTGTACCTCTCCTCGCGCGTCGCCATCGTCGGCGCGAACGGGGCGGGTAAGACGACGCTTCTGAAGAACATCGTGGGCGAGCTCGAGCCCACGGACGGGAGCGTGTGGAAGCATCATAACCTGCGGATATCGTACATCGCGCAGCACAGCATGCATCACTTGGAGTCGAACCTCGAGATGTCGCCGAAGGAGTACATCCAGCGAAGGTTCTTCTTGGGCAGGGATAAAGAGCTCGCCGCGATGGCGACCATGGAGATGACAGACGAGGAGAAGGCGGCGATGACGGTGAAAGGGAACGTGTGCGAGATCCTCGGCAGGGCGATGAAGGGCGGGTCGCTGTGTTACGAAGTCCGAAAGTGGGGCGACCGCCCGGGCGTCACGAGGTGGGAACCGAAGGAATTCTTAAAGTCCTCGTACGTCATGAAAATGACGCGGCACTTCGACGAGAAGCTCAAGGCGAGCCAGAGCGGGCTGGACATTCGCCCGCTGACGTCCGCGGAGGTGTACGCGCACCTCGGCGATTTTGGGATATCCACGGAGCTCGCCGATTCGAAACTCAAGCGCATGTCCGGCGGGCAAAAAAGCCGCCTCGTCCTCGCCGCGGCGATGTGGACGAAGCCGCACGTGATCGCCCTGGACGAGCCGACGAACTACTTGGACAACGAAACCCTCGCGGCGCTGACCGATGCGCTTCGAAAGTTTAAAGGCGGTGTCCTGACGGTGTCGCACAACGCCGGGTTCGTCGCGGATCTGTGCACGGACTCGTGGCGCGTGTACCAAGGTAAGGTCGTCTCCGCGGAGGAGGGCGGCAAGGCTGGGAAAAAGTCCACGGCGACGCGGCGAAGAGAGCGCGCGGAGGGCAAGGAAGCCGCGAAAGCGGAGGAGAAGGAAGAGAAGGCGAAAGAGCTCGCGGAGGCGGACGCCGAGCGCGCCGTCGACGGGAAGCGCCCGGGCGGCGCGACGCTCGGCGGCGTCGACGTCGACCGCACCGTCACCGGCGTCCTCGCGTCGCGGCCGACGGCGCTGGACGTTCGCGTCGAGCGGTTTAGCATGCAAGTCAACGGCGTGGAGCTCGTGAGCGACTGCGCGATCGAGCTCAACCACGGGCGACGGTACGGCGTGTTAGGCGTGAACGGCTGCGGGAAGAGCAACCTCCTCGCCGCGCTCGCGAATCGCGAGGTGCCGATCCCCGAGCACGTGGACGTGTATCACCTGAGAGAGGAAGCGGAGCCGACGGAACGCACCGCGCTCGAGGCGGTCGTGGATCACATCAAAGCCGAGGTGAACCGCCTGCAGAAGCTCGAGGCCGCGGTCCTCGCGGAGGGCGGACCCGGGGACGAGCGCTTGCAGCCGCTGTACGAGCGCTTAGAAGAGCTCGACCCGGCGATGTTTGAAGCGCGTGCGGCGGAGCTGCTTCACGGGTTGGGCTTTGACCGGCCGATGATGCGCCGCGCGACGAAGGACATGTCCGGCGGGTGGCGGATGCGCGTCGCGCTCGCGCGCGCGCTCTTCGCCGCGCCCGCGCTTCTTCTCTTGGACGAGCCCACGAACCACCTCGACCTGAGCGCGTGCGTGTGGCTCGAGCATTACCTCTCGAAGTACGACAAGTGTCTGCTCGTGATCTCGCACTCGCAGGACTTTCTGAACGGCGTCTGCACGCACGTGATTCGATTATCGAACAAACGTCTGACGTACTACACCGGCGACTACGACACGTACCAGAAGACGCTCAGGAACGAGGAGGTGATTCAACAGAAGAAGCACGACAAAGAGCAGGCGGACATTAAGCACCTGAGGGAGTTTATCGCGTCGTGCGGGACGTACGCGAACATGATGAAGCAGGCCAACTCGAAGCAGAAAATTCTGGACAAGATGGAAGCGGCGGGGCTGACGCCGTCGCCGAAAGCGGACAAGACGTTCTCGTTCTCGTTCCCGGAGTGCCATAAGCTTCCGCCGCCGGTGTTGCCGTTCAAGAACGTGTCGTTCCGGTACCCCGGCGCGGACGAGAGCGCGGGGATGCTCCTGAAAGATTTGGAGTTTGGCGTCGACACGGACTCGAGGATCGCGCTCGTGGGCCCAAACGGCGCAGGCAAGTCGACGCTCCTCAAGCTCATGACCGGCGAGATCGAACCCGTGGCCGGGACGGTGTCGAGACACGCGTCGTTATCCATCGGGAGGTACCACCAGCACTCCGTGGACGTGTTAGATCCGGGGAGTCACCCCGTGGATTTCTTCGCGGGAACGTACGCGGCGATGAAAAAACCAGTCGACGAGTGGCGCGGGTTCCTCGGGAAGTTCGGCATCAGCGGAAGAGCGCAGACGACGCCGATCGGTTTACTCTCCGACGGTCAAAAGTCGAGACTCGTGTTCGCGATGATTTGCGTCGGGAAGCCGAACCTCCTCCTCCTGGACGAGCCGACGAACCATCTGGACATCGACGCGATCGACTCTCTCGCGGAGGCGATAAACGCCTACGCCGGCGGATTGGTCCTCGTGTCGCACGACTTCCGTCTGATCGACCAGGTCGCGAAGGAGATCTGGGTCTGCGACGGCGGCGGCGTCGAGGTGTGGAAGGACGACATACGGGCGTACAAGCGGAAGCTCGCGAAAGCCGCGGGGCTGTGAACGACGTCATCTGAGATGTTGTAACGGACCTCTAGTCTAGTCCTTCCGCGCGAAACTTCGCGCGGGTCGCCACCTTACCTTCTTCATTCCGTCTGCGAAACGCGTCTCCCTCCCTCCCTCTCTCTCACTCCCTCATCGCCTCCTCGACGAAGACGACGCGAGCGCGCCGATCAACCCGCCGATGACCGCCGCGCCCACGGACACGGCGCCCACGCCGATCACTCCGTCCCGCGCGATCTTCTCCTCCGCGGCGGTCTTCAGCGCCTCCGCTTGTCGGCACTCCCGGTCGTGCCGCAACGCGTCCGTCGCGGCTTCCTTCGCGCTGAGGTAGTCCCCCTCGTTGAAGTGCGCGACCGCGGTGATGTACCGCCGGTCCCTCGGCAGCACGGCGTCGCCCCATTCGTACGTGCGGTCGCGCAAGAGCTCGATCGCGCGCGTCGCGTGCCCCGCGGCTTTCGAGTGCGCGAGCGCCCACGCGAGGCGAAATCGCGCGGTGTCCTGCGCCGCCCGGTCCGAGCTCGACGACGCGGCGACTGCGGAGGGGGGGGACGCGACGCGGGGGAAAGCGTGACGTTTGGAGCGCGCGTGGGGGCGAGATCGCGCGCGACTAGGCACCCCTCGGAAAACAACGACGCGGCCCGCGGGATCTGACGACGATTTCGTCGCGCACCTTCGGCGTACGCGCGGTCCGCCTCCAAGCACATCTCCATGTCCGTCTCCGGGAGGTCCGGGCCCGTGGACGTGAAGAGATCCGTGATCTCTTTCACGCCCTTCGTGATGTTCGCTTGGATTTTGGTCCAGTTGTCCATGGCGTGCGGTCGCGCGCGAGGGAGTGAGTGGAACGAGGAGACGTTCTTGAGTCACGATTTTTGAGTCAGAGGTTCAGACAACAAAACATTAGCCAGACAGCCGCTACGAAACAACTTAACAACTCACGGCAAGAGCCTCTCGGCCTCGCCAAACGCCACGTTCGCGCTCGCCTTCCGCCGTCTGACGACGACGACCGCGACCGCGGCGGCGACGGTCGCGCCGATCAACGCCGCGCCGGCGACGCCCTCTCTCTTCGCGATCGTCACCGCGCCGCCGAGCGCGGTTTCGATGAACGCGTCCGCGGCTTCGATGGCGCCGCGCGACGCGGGCTCGTTCCCGAGTAACGTCCCCGGGTTCGCCGTTTCGTCCCGGAAGTACTCCTGCTTGAACACCGACCCTTCGACGCACTTCGCCTCCATCTCCTTTTTGTCCATGACGACCCCGACTTTCGTGACGATCGGGTACACGGACTCGAAGAGGAGACCGCACGTGCCGAATAAGCCGTGGTCGTGCGGCTCCGCGCGCTCGAGCTTGAAGTATCCCTTCTCGCCAAAGTCCTCGCCGTACGTGTTACGAACGAGCCAGTACTTCATCCCGTTCTCGACGCCCCAGCCGACGACGAGCGCGGCGTGGTTGATCGACGAGATCCCCGCGCCCGCGGGCGGACACTCCTTCGCGGTGATGACGCCGCCGTCGTAAAAGTGCAGACGCTCGCCGTTGATGCCCACCGCCACCGGTCCCGTCTCGTAAATCGCCCGCATCAGCGCCTCGTTCCCGGCGGTCATCTTCAGGTCGCACATCCCCGGCGTCGTGAGCGTGGACTTCACGTTCGCGGCGCACTGCAACGTCTCGTCGTCCTGCGACGACGACGGCACCGCGGCGTCGTAATCGCTCGCCAAGGCGATGCCGCCGTTTTTCTCGATCCAGTTGAACGACGTGTACATGTTCCCCGTCGCGCACGCGTTGTCGTCCTTGTCGCAGTCCATGAGCTGCAGGATAGAGAGTTTAGGCGCGTCCATCCTCTTGCGCGTCTTCTTCGTGATATCGACCGCGTACGTCGCCGCGATCGAATCCGCGGTGACGAACGCCCAGCACGACGCGCACGACGACGACTGCTCGTGGATCGGGCCGACGACGGCGCCGTACTCCGCGCCCGGTTTCGTCCACGCGAACTCCTCGGGGAACCCGCCGTGGGAGGAGGGGGAGGCGGCGGGGGACGACTTCTTCGACGCCGCTCGCTTCGCGTGCGTATGCTTCGGCTTCGAATGCGCGGGCGCGGGCGCGGGCTCGTGCGCCGGCTCGGGCGCCGCCGCCGGCTCGGGCGCCGCCGCCGGCTCCCCCTCCTCCCACGCCGCCGGCGCCGCTCGGTGCCCCGCCGCGGTCTTCTCCCCCGCGATCGCGTCGTCGACGATGTCTTCCACGGATGAGTTGTTCACCGTCGCCTTCCCTAGCCTCGCCGCCGCCCAGGCTTTCATCTCGTCGTGCACGGCCCGGACGCGCCTCGCGGACGGCTTGTACGTCAACGCCGCGCGTTTGAACTCCTCGGGGGCGAGGTCCGCGTGCTTCCCTAACGTCATCCTCCACGTCTTCGTCGCGTCCGCGTTGTGCGCGTCCACGGTGAGCTTGTTCGCGTGGAAGATTTTCTCCCTGCGATGGATCGCGCGCGAGTTGGAGGGAGGACGAAGAAGCGGGGGACGTCAGCGATCGTCCCGTCTTCGGCTTCGAACGAAACGAGGGTTCGGGGAAGAATCGACGGAAACGGAACGGGTCGCGCGGGGACGCGATCGCGGTCTGCTCGCCCCCCGCGAGCGCGGCGGGTTCGATCGCATCGAGCCCGAGACGCACCTCAAGCGCGATTCCTCGCACGATACGACGCCGTCGCCGCAGTAGTTCTTCCCGTGCTTCGCGACGTACGCGGCGAACGCCGCGCTGTGCGGGGAGGACGTCGCGGCGTCGTCGCGAGCGTTCGGCGCGGCGATCCCCGCGGCCCGCGCGGTGGAGAGCGATCCGAGAACCGCGACGACCGCGCAGAAGAGGAGGAGCGCGTTCGCGAGGGAGAGCGAACGGAACATGATCGATCGTCGACGCGAGAAGCGCTTCGCGAGTATCGCGCGTCGGCCCCGCGCGCCGTCTTCTGCCGCGCGGGCACGATCAATTGGTGTTACAGCGCTGAGAGCTGCGACTCTGCGACTCTTGGAGGTGACAGTTTGGTACGTAAGGTTGTGGGCCGTTGTCGACGCAGCAGTGCGGATGTTACTGTACAGCGACGCGACGCGTCGTCGGCTCGCTCGAGGCACTCCTCCTCCGCGTCGCGCGCCGTCGAACGCGCGGCACCTCCCGCCGCCCTCTCTCGCGATGGGCGCCGCGAGCTCGAAGAAGATGGCCGCGAACAAAGAGGCCAAGCTCGCGGTCGCGGTCTCCGGGATCTTCTTCGCGTTCTCCTACTTCGCGGTGCTGCAGGAGGACGTGTATCGCGCGTCGTACGCGGTCCCGGGCGCAGGGCGCGGCGCCACGGAGAAGTTCACGTCCACGTTCCTCGTCCTCGCGGTCGAGCGCGGCGTGAACGCGCTCGCGGGCGCGATCGGTCTCGCGCTCGTGGGCGGCAGCGGCATCCGAGTCCCGCGACGCCAGATCCTCACGTCCGGCGTGTCGCAGATGCTCGCGATGGCGTCCGCGAACGAGGCGCTGCGGTACGTCTCGTACGCGACGCAAGTGCTCGGGAAGTCGTGCAAGATGGTCCCGGTCATGATCGGCGGCGTCGCCGCGGGGCGAAAGTTCCCGCGCGCGCAGTACCTCCAAGTCCTCGCGATCACCCTCGGGGTTGCGGTGTTCAACTTTGGGAAGAAGGCGTCGTCATCGGGGAAAGGCGCCGGCGGCGACAGCGCGTACGGCCTCGGCCTCATCGGCGCGTCGCTCGTCATGGACTTCGTCACCGCGTCGTTGCAGGACCGCGTGAAGAGCGCGACGCGAAGGCTGAACCCGGGTGAGAAGCACGCGAAGACGTCGATGTTCGAGTCGATGTTGTACACGAATGCGTCCGGCGTCGTCGTCGCGCTCGCGCTCGCGGCGCGCACGGGACAGCTGTCCTCCGGCGTGGCGTTCTGCTCCCGGCACCCGGAGGCGACGCGCGTCGTGATGAATTACGCGCTCGCGTCCGTCGTCGGGCAGCTGTTCATTTACTTCACGATAACCGAGTTCGATCCGCTCGTGTTGAGCGGCGTCACGACGACGAGGAAGATTTTCTCCACCGTGTACTCCGTGCTTCGCGACCCGGATCCTAAAAACGCGCTGACTCGGACGCAGTGGACCGGGTGCGGCGTCGTGTTCGCCGCGTTAGGGTACGATGTCCTGGAGAAGTTCGTGAAGGGTGGGGGGAAGAAAAAAATCGGCGGCGGCGGGGACGGCGAGGCGCCGAGGCGGAGCGCGCGGAAGAAGGAGTTGTAGTACCAATCTCTTCGCCGCGCCAAATAAACTTATGTGTACAATTCGTTTCAACTCGTCTATCGCCTTCGCGTCGTCGTCACCGCGACACCGCGACGGGCTCTTCGTCCAAGCTCCCGGTGACGACGATCTCAACCGCCGCGCCCTCTTCCTCGTCGAACGACGACTCGACGATGATGGCCCCGCTCTCTTTCACCAACGCGGTCGCGTCCCCCGCGACGACCTCGTGCTCAAAGTCCGCGTCGGAGAGCCCGTAGCAATTCTCCATGAACATCTCCCCGGCTTTCACCCTGACGACGTGGCTCGGCTCCAACGCCTCGCAGAACTCTTTGTTGTGCGACACCGCGAAGACGGTCCCTTCCCACCCGCGCAGGCCGTCCGTCAGCGCGTTCACCGCGCCGATGTCGAGGTGGTTGGACGGCTCGTCGAGCAGCAGAACGTTCCTCGGGCGAAGCACGAACGCCGCGAGCGCGACGCGCGCCTTTTCTCCGCCGCTCAACGACCCGATCGTCCGAAGCGCCATGTGGCCGCTCATCCCGAGCGCGCCGAGCGCGTTCCTCGCCTTTTCCTCCTTCAGAAGCGCGTCGTCCTCTCTCGCGGACGCGAGCACGTAATCCAGCGCTCTCTCCGCGGACGGGAGCTCCTGCGCGAGGTCCTGCGAGAAGACGCCGATTTTCACGCGTTCGCCCACGACGCGTTCGCCGCCGACGACGGGCAACGTCCCGGCGAGCGATTTCAACAGCGTCGACTTCCCCGCGCCGTTCGGGCCGAGGACGACGATCCGCTGCCCGCGCTCGAGCTTCAGCGCGCCCTGCAAGATGGGCGCCCTCGCGTCGTACCCGAGCTTCGCACCGCCGCCCGGGCCCGGGCCTCGCAGCTCGAGGACGTCGTTGTCCGACGCCGGCGGGTCCATGAGCTTGAGGATCATCTTCGACGCGTCACCGGCGGCGCCGTCGCTGAACGACGCCGTCGCCGCGGACTCGTTCTTCCTCATCTCGACGCGGAGCTTCTCGAGGAGCTTCGCTCTGCTCTGCGCCTGGCTCGCCTTGCTCGCGTTCGCGCTGAACCGGCGAACGAAATCCTCCAACTCCGCGGCTTCGACGCGCTGCTTCTCGTACAACGCCTTCGCGACGCGTATGCGCTCGTCCCTCGCCTCTAAGAACGCGGTGTAGTTGCCGACGTACCAGTGCAGCCCTTTCCCTCGCACCTCCGCGATGTGCGAGCACGCGCCGTCGAGGAGTTCCTTCTCGTGCGACACGATCACCGTCGTCGACGGAGACGATTTGATCCACGCGCTCAGCCACTTTTTCGACGCCTCGTCGAGGTGGTTCGTGGGCTCATCCAGGAGCAACAGGCCGTTGTCCTGCGACCCCGCGGGGGATAACAAGAGCCTCGCGAGCGCGACGCGCATCTGCCACCCGCCGGATAAGTCGTCGCACACCACGTCCCACTGCGACCTCGCGAACCCGAGGCCGTCGAGCACGCTCGCGATGCGTTTCTCCGCGCCGTTGCCGCCGGCGGCGTCGAACTCTTCCAACGCCGCCATGTACGCGTCCGCGCCCTTGCACGCCTCTTCCACCTCCGCGCTCTCGCACTGAAGCTCCGCGGCTCTCAGCGCCGCCTCCGCGGCGTTGATTCGCGTCATCCGCGCCCGCGCTTCTTGGTACACCGTGAGCTCGCTTCCGCTCACCGCGGTCTGTTCGAAGTACCCGACCTCGAGGTCCGAAGAGATGGCGATCGCGCCGTCGTCGAGCGCGCGTCGTCCCGCGATGCATTTCAGCAGCGTCGACTTCCCGCAGCCGTTGCCGCCGACGAGGCCGACGACCTGGGACTTCATGACGGTCATCGAGCCGTCGCGGAGGAGGTCCGTGTCCGCGACGGAGAGCATCACGTCCGTGAGTTTCATCGCCGCGCCGGAGGCGTCGCCGTAGGGCACGCGGAGCTCGTCCTCCTCGGACCGTCGCTTCGGCGGCGTCGTCGTCGGCTTCGGCGTCGTCGTCGTCGGCGTCGTTCCGGCGCGGGAGGACGCGTCGTTGGTCTTCGGCGGCGGCGGCGGCGCGGACTTCGCCTTCCTCGCGCCTTTCTTCCCAGCCTTGCACGTCACCGTCGCGACGCCGCGGCGCGCGGGGACGCACGCGCGGCTCTTTCCGAGAGAACACGTCATCCATTCGGTGCCCGACGCGGACGACAGCGCGCGCGCGGACGCGGACGACATCGCGCGCGTGGGAGCGGAAGAGACGGGGTGGGCCTTCCGCGCGCGTGCGAACCGAGCGCGCGCGTGCGAGTTCGCGAGGAGAGCGCGCGCGTGTGCTCGCGCGCGTGCGTCGATGACGGTTCGCGGCGGCGCGTGTCGTGATTTATCATCATCGGCGGACGTTTCACGTGCGTTTCCGAGGCTCACAGCGACCGAGAGCTCTGACTGAAACGCCTTACGATAAATGTAGTATCGAGTACGCCGTACTCGGCGGCAAAAGAGGTCGAGCTCCGTCGCCGACGACGCCGCGCGTCGAAACGTAACGCACACGTCATCGCTACTCCCCGCCGGCTACGACTACTCGCTGCGCGGGGTACGCCCCGCACACGTCGCAAAACGTCGCGTCGCCGATCTCGAAGCGACACCCCGCGCAGCCTTCGCCGGGTCCCAGCCATTTTTTCGTCGGGTGTCTGAGGACGTCGTCTTCGCCGCCGCCGTCGCCGCCGCCGCCGCCGCCGCCGCCGAAAGCTTTTACGTACGCGCGGAAGTTCACCAGGTGCTCTTTGTTCTTGATCACCACCCCTCGCGCCGCCCACGCGTCTCTCTCCTCCTCGAACGCGTCGTCCGCGACGACTTCCGACCAGAACGCGTCGTTCGAGACGACGGCGACGCCCGAGCCGACCTCGATCGGATCCTTCCGTCGCCAACTCGCGACGGTGTCGAACGCGCGACGCAGCGGCAGCTTCCCCGCGACGTGCTCGATCGCGTCCCCTTCCAGGGTCAACCTGATCGGAACGACCCCGACGCAATCCGCGCGGTCCGTCTCCGCCGTCGCCCAACGCGCGAACGCGTCGGACGTAAACGGCGCGCGCGACGAGACGCCGCGAGCCGCCGCCAGCGCCGCCGTCGCGAACGTCCACGTCGCGCACATCTCGTCCCTCTTCCGCCTCCACGTCCCGGGCGGGTCGTCCTCGCCCCACGTGAACGAGTACCCGCCCAGGAGCTCGTCCGCGCCGTCGCCGACGACGGCGTCCTTCATCCCCAACGCCGCCGCGCGTCGCAACGCGGCGGCGACGACGAGCGCGTTCCGAAGCGTCATCCCGTCGAACGTCCGCAACGACTCGACGCACGACGGGAGGTACTCCGCGATGAGATCCGCGGGCGTGACCTCGACGACGTGGTGCGCGAGGCCGTGCTCGGCCGCGACCGCGGCGGCGAACGCGCGGTCGGGCGCGTCCGGCCCGCACAAGACCGTGATCGCGCACGCGTACGTCACGCCGAGATCCGCGCTCGCGCGCATTATCGCGGCGGTGTCGACGCCGCCGCTCAGGATGATGCACCGCGTGGGCGCCGCCGTGGTTGCGGCGACCGCGGCGACCGCGTCGAGCAGCTTCTCCCTGCACGCGCGCGCGACGACGTCATCCCTCGCGGCGGCGGCGGAGGCGCTCATCGGTGTGACGGCGCGGCGCGGAGGACTGATGACGCGACCGGCGGAAACTCCGAGACGTAGAAGAGTGTGCGACTGGTCGATCGAACTCTCCGTCAGTTCCGACGACGCGGCGACCGGACCGGACCGAACCGAACCTCCGCGATGGGCAGCGAGAAGTACGTCCTCGGGATCGACGGCGGCACCGGCGGCATCCGCGCCGGGCTCTTCGCCGTCGCGACCGGGGAGCCGATCGCGTTCGCGGACACGCCGTACGACACGTCGTACCCCAAGCCAGGGCACGCGGAGCAATCGCCTTCGGACTGGTGGGACGGCCTCGGCGCGAGCTCGCGGAAGGTTCTGCGCGAGTCCGGGATCGACCCGCGCGACGTCGCGGGCGTGTGCGTGGACACGACGTGCTGCACCGTCGTCGCGCTGGACGCGGACGCGAACGCGCTGAGGCCGGCGATCCTGTGGATGGACATGCGCGCGTCGGACCAGACGAAGCAAGTCCTCGCGACGCGCGATCCCGCGCTGAGCGTGAACGGCGACGGCGCCGGCCCGGTCAGCGCGGAGTGGATGATCCCGAAGGCGCTGTGGCTCGCGCAGTGCGAGCCGGAGACGTTCCGCGACGCGGCGATGATATGCGAGTACCAGGACTACGTGAACGTGAAGCTCACGGGGCGGTACTGCGGCTCCGCGAACAACGTCGCGGTGCGTTGGCACTTCGTCGACGGCCGCGGGCCGCCGACGTCTCTCCTGAAGTCGCTGAACATCCCGGAGCTCCTCGAGAAGTGGCCGAAAGACATCGTGGGGCTCGGCGACGTCGTCGGCGCGCTGACGCGCGACGCGGCGACGCACCTGGGCCTCCCCGCGGGCGTCCCCGTCGCGCAGGGCGGCGCCGACGCGTTCGTCGCGATGGTCGGCCTCGGGACGATCGAACCCGGGCAGCTCGCGCTCATCACCGGGAGCTCGCACTTGCACTTGGGCGTGACCGACCGCAGGTTTCACGGGCGAGGGATATGGGGCACGTACTCGTGCGCGCTCGTGGGGGGGCACGACGTCGTGGAGGGCGGGCAGACGTCCACGGGGTCCGTCGTGAACTGGTTTAAGACGTTGTGCGGCGGCGGCGATGGGTTTTACGACGAAGTGAACGCCGCCGCCGCGGAGGTGCCGCCCGGGTGCGAGGGTCTGGTCGTTCAGGAGCATCTGCAAGGAAACAGGACGCCGCACACGGACCCGCTCTCGCGCGGGGTCGTCTCCGGTCTGACGTTACGACACGGCCGCGCGCACGTGTTTCGCGCGATTTTGGAAGGGATCTCTTTCGGAACGCGTCTCATCTTCGACGCGATGGAAGCGAACGGGTACAAGCCGTCCGAGGTCGTCGTCGCCGGCGGCGCCACGCGAAGCGACCTGTGGCTGCAAATACACGCGGACGTCGCGAACGTGCCGTTCAAGCGGACGAAGTGCGCGGACGCGCCGGCGCTCGGGGCGGCGATCCTGGCGGCGGTCGGCGCGGGGTGTTACGCCACCGTCGCGGACGCCGCGCGCGCGATGGTGCACATGGAAGGGGTCGTGCACCCTCGACCGGAGGTGCACGCGCAGTACGCGAGGGCGTACGCGGCGTACAAGGCGACGTACCCGGCGTTGAGGCGCGTCATTCATCGGCAAGGGAGCGAGGCGGCGTTCGCGACGTCGGTCGACGACGCCGATGCCGCGACGGACGAAACCCCGGTCGCGAAGATCGCGCCGTCGCTGCTCGCGGCGGACCAAGGCGACCTCGCCGGGGAGGTCTCGCGGATGATTCACGACGGCGCGGACTGGCTGCACGTGGACATCATGGACGGACACTTCGTGAACAACCTCACGATCGGTCCCCCCGTGGTGGCGCATTTACGCGCGCGGGCGAGAGACGCGTTCTTGGACTGCCACCTCTCGTGCTCGAACCCGGGGTCGCTGATCGACGGCCTCGCCGCCGCGCGCGCGTCGAGCGTGACGTTTCACATCGAGGCCGTGGGCGGGGGCGACGGCGACGGCGACGCGACGAGCGAAGCCGCGGCGTTGGCGGCCACGATCCGCGCGCGCGGGATGCGCGCCGCCGTGGCGTTGAAGCCGTCCACGCCCATCGAGACCGTCTTCCCCCTCGTGGACGCGGACGCGGTCGACATGGTCCTGTGCCTCACCGTCGAGCCCGGGTTCGGCGGGCAGAAGTTCACCGCGAGCGTGTGCGATAAAGTCCGCGCGCTTCGACGGCGGCGGCCGCGGTTGGACATTCAGGTGGACGGCGGGTTGAACGAGGACACCGTCGTCGCGGCGGCGTGCGCGGGGGCGAACGTCGTGGTCGCCGGCAGCGCGGTGTTCGGTTCGGACGACCCGGGGAGGGTGATTCGGGGGTTGCGACGCGCGGTCGTGGACGCGCGGCGGACGAAGCCTTGGCTGGGGTGACGCGCGACGTGGGCGCGGTGAGTGCGCGGGAGTAGCGCGCGGGCGACACCGTGATACGAAGGTAGCACGCAGCACGGGCGAAAATGATAAAATCGCATCTCGTCTCGAACGCCCCGAGCGGAATTCATTTCGCGGCGCGCAGGGCGCCGTGTCGCCATCGCAATGATGGCGGCATGGCTCCGCGCCCGCGCGGGCGCGGAGGACGCGTATCTCTACCTCGTGTTCTTCCTCCTCTCCGCCGCGCAGGCGTTGCCCATCACCGCGACCGCGCTCGTGCTGAACGACGACCTCGGGATGCGATCTCGCCCCGAAGCTCTGAACGCGTACTTCGCCGTGGAGTTCAGCCTCAGCGCGCTGAAACCCGCGTGGGCGGCGCTGTCCGACCTCGCGCCGATACGCGGCAAGAGGCGCGTGCCGTACATGGTGCTCGGCGCGCTGTCGCACGCGCTCGCGCTGCAGTTTTACGCGCGCGTGCGAACGATCGCGCAGCTGTACGCCGCGGGCGTCGCGGCGTCGCTGACGTTCGCGATGTGCGAATCCGGCGCGGACGGGATGCTCGTCCAGCTCGGCGGCGGCGACGCGTCGCGCGCGATGAACCTCCAGGCGCGCGGGATGACGGCGAGGAACCTCGGCGGGCTCGTCGCGTCCGCGCTCAGCGTCCCGGCGCTGCTGTGGTTCTCGCCGCGGACGGTGATGTCGCTCGCGGGCGTGGTCGCGGTCGCCGCCGCGATGGCCGCGTCGCGCGCGCGCGAGGAGGCGTCGGCGTCGGCGCCGGCGCCGGCGGCGGGCGGCGACGGGCCGTCGTTCGTCCCGGTCCGCGGCGACGAGGAGGACGGCGAGGGCGACGACGAGGCTTCGGACGGAGGAAGAAGAGACGCGCGCCGCCGCCGCGGTCGATGGACCGCGCTGGCGTCGCGTCGCGTCGTCTGCGCGGCGGGATTCATCTTCCTCTCTCGCGTCGCGCCCACCGCCGGGGTTACGTACGACGCGTTCGCGTACAGCGTCTTCGCGCTCCCGAACTGGGCGTTCAGCGGCTTACTGCTCGTCTCCACGTTCGCCTCGGTGCTCGCATCGTGGGCGTACGACGCGTTGTCGCGTCGCGGCGGCGTCGACCTCGGCGCGACGGCGCTCCTCGGCGCGTGCGTCGACGCCGCGTGCGGGTTGACGCGCGTGAGCGTCGCGACGGCGGCGGCGCGCGGCGCGTCGTCGTCGACGCGGCGACGCGCGCCCGCGCCCGCGCTGATCGCGTCCGCGCTCGCGTCGTCGTTCGGGATGACGCTCAACTACGTCCCGACGCTGGCGCTCGCCGCGGCGGCCGCGCCGAGGGGGTTGGAGGCGGTCGGGTATTCGTCGTTGGTGTGCGTCGCGGACGCGGCTACGGCTATCGGGTCCGTCGTCGCCGCGCGCGCGACGACGGCGTTTCGATTGGGGGATCCGGGAGCGTCTCCGGGGTCTTCGGGGGGGAGGTCGTGGAAGGATCTGGACGTCTTCGTGTGGACGTGCGCGGGGTGTAAGCTGTTGCCGCTGCTAGCGCTGCCGCTAGTGGCGCGCGTCGTCGGCGACGCGAAACCGCGGCGGGGGGCGCGCGGCGACGAAGACGACGACGAAGACGAAGACGACCGCGGCGGCGACGGGAGCGAGGACGACGACGTCGGCGACGTCTTCGGCGAGGACGGCGACGATTTAGGCGCGCGTTTGTTAACGCGACGTGGTAGTTAGTGAGTTCTTAGATTAATCAGCGGCGACGGTGTTTAGCGAACGCGTCGCGGGTCGCTCGCGTCCGTCTCTCCTTCCCTCGCAAACAGAACGCGCGCGCGTTCTTCATCATTTTAGAATCGACTTTTCTTTCGCCGACACGAGCTCCTCGATCTTCTTCACGAACGCCTCGCTCATCTTCTGCACGTCCTTCTCCGCGCGATTCCCCTCGTCCTCGGTCATCGTCGCTTTCTTGATGACGTCCATCCCTTTCCTCCGCGCGTTCCTCACCGAGATCTTCGCCGTCTCCCCGGCTCTGTGGCACAGCTTCGCGACTTGCACCTTCGTCTCGTGCGTCATCTCCGGCACGGGCACGAGGAGCGTCCCGTCCCCGTCCTCTTGCGGGTTAAACCCCAACGGGCTCTCCGTGATCGCGTTTTGAACCGCGCCTTTCAGGGTCGGGTCGTATAACATAACCGCCAAAGTTTGAGCGTTACGCGCGGTCACCGACCCGAGGTTCCTCAGCGGCGTCGGCTCGCCGTACGCGTCCACGACGAGGCTCTCGAGCATCCCCGGCGACGCGCGTCCGGTGCGCAGTTTCCCGAGGTCCCGCTCCAGGGCTTCCACCGCGGCGTCCATGAGCGCCGAGACGACGGCTTTGTCGAACTCGACCACGGGGGCGTCGTCGGAGGCGTCGTCGGAGACGTCGTCGGAGGCGTCGGAGGCGTCGTCGTCGTCCGCCGCCGCGGACGCCGCGGACGCCGCGCCCTTGTCCTTCCCCTTTGCTTTTTTCTTTTTTCCGCGCACGTGCGCGAGCTCGTGGCGTCGCGTCGACGCCGCGCGCTCGACCGACGCGCGCGGGATCGACGCCGCCGCGATCGCGCTGACGCGTGAGCCCGCGGTGTGGTACGCCCTCGACGCGAACGCGCCGTGGCTCGCGCCGGCGGCGCGCGAAGACGACGACGACGACGAAGACGCGCGATCGTCCAAGAAGGATCCCTCCGTCGTCGTCGTCGTCGTCGTCGTCGTCGAGCGCGCGTCGCGTCCGAGCGCTCGGACGGGCGCGAACTCCGTCGCGACCGCCCACGCCCGGGACGATCGCAGCGCGCGCGACGCGTGTCGCATCGCCATCGTCCTCGGAGGGATGAAGTCCGAGAGGCGCGGAAACTTCGACGCGACGAGCGCGGCGCGTCGCGTTGTGCGCGCGTGACCGCGCCGCGTCGGAAGACTCGACGGACTCTCTCTCGAAAAAAATCTCCGAAGTTCCCGCCGAAACGAGATCGGTCCAGAACGCGTCGCGCGATGGCGTCGGCGCTGTCCTCGCGCGTCGCCGCGACGGACGTATCGTTCTCCCCGCGAACCCCCGCGCGCCGTCGCGCCTCGACGGATGCGAGACCGCGGAGATCGATTTCGCGCGGCGGCGGCGTGCGCGCGTCCGCCTCTCGGGGACGGGGGCAGGATCATCCGCTTTTCGACGTCGCCGCGCGTGACGTTTCGCGAAGCTACGCGACGTCGGTGGGAACGCCGACCGATCCGACGCCGACGCTCCCTCCCGGGACCATAGGCGGCGTCGTGTTCGTGTCGTCCTTCCTCGCCGCGCTTCTGAGGAAACGCGCGCGACGGAGCGGCTCCTCCTCGGACGCGGACCTGCGACGGAAGTTCCGCGGAGATCTCATACGTCAGCGACTGAAGCGCGCGGTCGGGAGGAACTGGATGGGCCAGACGATGAGCTTGGGCCGATCGAACGACGCGACCGAAGTGGACACGCGCGAGCGCGACTTCGCCGGAGACCGGCTGCGGAGCACGAGGGACATCGCGTTCGCGCGCGCGAGCGGGCTCGTCCGCGCGGACAAGACGAAACCGCGGGAGGAGGACGTCGCGTGGACGCTCGCGGCGACGCGACGCAACGCCGTCGCCGCCGCGGAATTCGCCGCGGTGTCCCGCGGGGAACGGCTCAACGGCGCGAGCATGACCTCGCCGCCGCGGTCGCAGTCGCAGTCGCGGCAACAACAACAACAGCAGCAGCAGTCGTCGACGGACGTCCCGATAACCCTGTGCGTGACGTGCCCGGTGCGGCCCGGCCAACGCGTCGCCGTCCTCGGAGAGCCCGCCGCGTTCGGCGGCTGGGACGCGAGCCGAGCCGCGCTGCTCGACCGCGTCGGCGAGGACCGGTGGCAGAAGGCGTGCCGCGTCCCGGCCGGCGAGATGGAGTACAGGTACGCGCTCGTGTACGTGCGACCGAACGGCGAGGTCGTGCTCGAGACCGAGGTGGGCGGGCCGAGAACGAGGAGGGTCTCATCAGACGCGGGGCCCGGGGGCGGGAACGCGTTGATGATCGACGAGACGTCGCCCGTCTTCGGCGCGCCAGCCGGCGCGTCGCCGGCGCGCGGCGAGAGGGCGCCGGCGCGGCGACCCCCGCGACGCGAGAAGAGGGAGAGCGAGGAGGTGATACGGAAGAGGGCGACGCGCGTCGCGGAGAGGCACGACGTGGACGTTGACACCGCGCTCGAGGTACTGCGGCTAGTGAAGAACGACGAGCGACTCGCCGGGAAGTTGCTGGGGACGATGACGCGCGGGATCGGCGGGCGGCGGCGGCGCGTCGCCGCCTCCGTCGCCGCGCCGCGCGGACGCGTGGCGTCCGACGACGCCGGTCGCGGAGGACGATCGCACCGCCGCCGCGGCCAACTCCGGGTCCGGGTACGACCCGGACGTGAGCGAGACGTTCATGTCGTCGGACGTGAAAGTCGTGGA